TACATCGAAAGACACATTATAGCGAGAAATACATTTTTTGTTATTTGGTCCAAATTTTCGAATTAATATGTACATATCGTCAGACGGACATTTTAGTAATTGTATGACAACCGAGCTTCTGATTATATGTATATTTATATAATTTGTCAATGTGCAGTAGCATGTGATAAAGACATAGGGCCGTGACTTCTTCCGTGTCCGGAAATATTGTTGTAATTGTGGCATCTGCGGTTACTGTGCTCTGTAGTGATAATATGTTCGTTAAATAAATTATTGTACAATCTCTCATTGATATTCAGAACAATACGCCTTTGCTTATAATCTCCACGCTGGGAAGTAAATTGATAATCATCAATCGCCACACCGCTTAGGTAAGGGGTCGGCAACCTTTATGGTTTGCAAGTCTTGGGGCCGAACATATTTTTGAAAAGTTAAAAACCGAACAGATCGCCGATAAATGACAATGTTTTCACACAGATCAGAAGTTGAAATTTTGAAAAGCGCGCGCAAAGACTGCGACAACTCGTGAATTCAACTCAGTCGTGTTACTAAAAGAAAAAAATTACAAAAGACAATTAATGTGATACTTGTTGTTGCGCCACGCTTGATAGCTTTTCGACATCAGGTGACATGCTGGATGAAGCCAAGATTAGGACATTTTCTAAAGGTAGGCTTATCATACGTCCCGGTTTAGCCGGGACAGTCCGGGTTTTAGCATGTATTTCAGTCATCCCGGCGATAGACTTAAAGGTCCCGGTTTTGCAGTATGGCAGTCGTAAATAAATTTTTTATTTGATACTATTACAATGTTGTTTTCCAACGGAGGCATCCGATTCACCACTGATTTTCGTCTCACTTGACTAACTAAGATGAAGTTGAAGTACTAGTTATGATATGAAGTATGAACCAGGCGTTAATTCAACAAGGTACTGTCGTTAAATCACCAAAATACCGATAACAAAGTGCAAGTTTTCTGATGAGTTGAACGATTTCCATAATTTGAGAAATGACCAATTGAGGATATTTTAATAGGATTTGCTGCTAATTTTGATGCATGTAACTACCCACAACGGCATGGAAAACTATTACTAAGCCCCTGGAATCGAACCAAGGTTGGCACGTCCAATCCGCACTGTGCTGTTTTTTATTTCTTAGTAATATGGTATGCCTAGCTAAAGGGCTTACAAATACGAGATCTCAGATTGTTTCTTGTAAGGTTAATTTCCTAATATAATTGCTTGCATGCATATGTACTTCCAAACATCGAATGATTTGTCAAATTTGAATAGGGATTCAAGAAGATAATTTTATAAAAATCAAGCAGTGATATATATTCTTCGAATAGAAAATGGATTTCATTTCCTCATTGCATTGCGCGTCAAAAAGCTCTATATTCTAATATTTTTTGCGCCATTGAACCCTCTGCACTCATCATCAACTCGCGTGTAGCACTTTGTCTAATTACAATTAAATAGTATACTCGTTAAACGAGTAGCTGTTCACTAAATTGTTAGGTTATAATATAATTTAATCTCGTCTCGCAATAAATTCTGTTACGTAAAGAATTTAATCAACTCCTCGAGCGTGGATTATAAAATTAATTCATCGTCAAAAACGTCGTTTTGTCGCTATAATTCAGTGAAGCGTCGTGGGCCGAATTGTTTTACTCGTAGATTGCCGACCCCTTGCTTTGGTAAACGTAGCGAACCTCAATCTATGCAGTAGAAATTTGTAAGCAAAATCGTCATGAAGTATTCATCATTTTAGTAAGGAAATACCCAAATTACGTTACAAAATTTTACAAAGTAGATATGTTACTATAAAATAAGGAATTTGTTTACTATGACAAGAAGTAAAGAGGTTTTCACATAAATAATAATTCACTCATGTCGCACAGAATTCGCGCGCACTCGTATTCCTGATATTTCATCTCGGATTGTTTATCTGCTTTTAAATCTGCCTTCGAATAATTTCAGGGCGTATTCATGGCGTGGCGTCATCATTTGGAGCATTATGCCATCACATTTTCAAGTCTTGTGAAACTTCAAAAACTTAATTACGCACATAAACTTACATATCACACAAAGGTTCTTCACGTAGTTCAAATAACATACACGAAACAAAAGGGTCGCAACAATATATTTCGCCCTCACAAAAGATTAATTACCTTTACTTACTTTACTTAAATCGGGATGTTTTTGAAAGTGGACACCACACTTCACCAATAACATTCTATAAATATTCATCGCTTAATTGTTATATTATGTAAGGCGTAGGCGGTAATCACAATGTTTGAATAAAAACTGAATACAATGAAATACAATGATTTAAGTTCCTCTAAACCTGCTGGTATCCCACAAATGAAAGTCCCCGTGATTTTTGTCGATCGTGGCCGATAGCGAACATTCCAACCGTCTAATTAGTGATATTTTTTCATGTAGCTTTAAACAAACATTTTTCACTGAGACACATTGGCAATGCTAGTAAATAACATATACTTTACATTCTGAGAATGGCGGCACTCAGCATGTAGAATTAAGAGGAGCTTTCTTAATTCATCTTGAATTGATAATGGGAACGAGTGAATCTTTCACAAGAATGCCAGCCCTAATATTTATTTAGAACTATGAAGTTAGACCCACATTGGTATATATATATATTAGCAAAACAAATGAATAACGTTTACCATTTTGGCCAGAGTGCATGTGTTACCTGTACTTTAACATAAATAGATCATTTAAAATATGAAAATACATTTCCCTGATATCCATTCTTAAGCATGATATAGTTTTAAATTTCCAAATTTGAATGGAGATGCATCTAATTCTTCAAAATTCCAACACACACAATATACAGGGTGTCCATAAAGTCTCTTCACAGTTTCAATTTTGTTAGGAAGTCAGTTATCAATATATCTTAACCAGGTTTCTTGTTTTTCAATCAGTAATTGTTAAAGTATTTTTACTTCATTTATTACACTTTGAGGGCCAAAACAATATGTCTATATGATATCGATAAATTCCCTTAACAATTTTTGAAAAATTAAAGACTTTATATACACCCTACTATATATATATCTGTAAACCGTGTAGTGTTTTGTACATGAGGAATTATTAAAATAGTTTAGATTTCATAGCCTATAAGATACACTTCGAAATACAGATATGTGTGGTTTGGCGTATCCATTAGCCGGTTAGAATTGTACGAAAGTAGGTGCAATATTTGTATTAAACTGTACAACATGATTAATCGGTTTGTCCAGATATAAAGTTGCGGGTCCACACCACAAGAAAACGTGCCTTTTACGAGTAGAGTGAAGTTGCTAGTAAGAATTACCCACTTAGGTAATAATTTCACATTAGTATGGGAAATGGGTATCGCGTTTCATATGAATTTTCAAGATAGGCATAAATAGCGACTGCATAACACACGGAAAATATTCTGTTTCCAAATAAACTGATGTTTCTATCTAAGATCTGATGTCTTTTATATACAACTATTTTTGATTTACAAAGCACTCGGTTTCATCATCACTCACGACATTGTTTTAACTCGGGCCCACTTCAAATAAAATGTCATACGAGTATCAAACAATAGTTATAAGAAACAATACTATAATTGATCAACGAATTCCTCGGGAGATTATCATTTCATATTGTATTTTACCCAACACGTTCTTCCATGGGAACCGTTAACTCTTTTGCAACTTGCTTTAGATATCATCCTTGTTTTAAGGCCATCAAAATCACAAACGTTAGTCATGTATTATGTATGCACTACTGTGTGTTGAGGATGGTACAAATAGTACGAGCAGTAGCTATGAATATACAGAAAAAAAATCATTGATTATTCATTTTTAAATAAATTTTAGCTAAATTTAGGTGACAAGCTTTTAGGTTCATGGGATCATTGGGTCAATATCGTAATGTTTTGCACACGCGCCAATAATAAAGTTTGGGACGCAATTTAAATTGCTAGCTTATTCATTACGATAATTCTTTTCTTTGTAAAATGGATATCAGATACTTTAATTATTCAATCCATTTGTTCACGAAGATTTAAATCTATTTCTATATCATACAACAAAAGCATAGTAAACAATGTAGATTCTATTATGCGATCAGACGATTTGATCCGCCTTTCTTACTGATGATAATTCTTGACTAAAGAACGGGGTTGGAGTTGTCATAAACAATCTAGATACGCTGATACGGGATATTTTAATTAGTTATGTCATTCGTTGTCTGTAATATTTTTCTGTATTTTGGCTAAATATATGAAGAGTATAGGATTTTCATATAGGACAATGTTGCGATATCAGCTCAAATGAGTCCAAGTTTCAGATCGTAGAGCTCTTGTATTTATATATAAACAAAGCTTAGAAGATATCTAACAGAAAGTTGGAATTAACACTTGAATTGATTAGCAATTTTCTAAAATTTCAAATTCTACAAAGTAGCTTTTTGACGCTTTAATAAAGTTCGCATTGAAATACGATTTTTAGTTTAAGTTTATATGTTCTTGATTTTATTATAATATTTAAAAAACCTATTTCATGTTTCATTTGGTCAATTCGCTTTAGTATTGCTTATAAAAAACTTGCCCTTGTTTAACTGAAAGATTTTAATCGATGCTAACCTTTATTAATCTGTGAAATATTTTCGAATACAGATGCACCCATTTTATAATAGATGTTTTTATATATTAACCGATATAGTTACTTTATCCATCAGATTCACAAGCCATGCTAGTGTTATATGTTAACCTAAATAGGAAACTATTATAGCTTTTATTTTTCTGGAAACACTAAGTTCTCTTTAAGAAGAGTAATATTAGTTAGTTGCAGAAGCGCTTGCAGATCGCAGATACCGCAATTAGGAATTGGACAAATGAAACGACGAATCTTTTCCGATCTGTTTATCAAAGTTTGTACTTTTCCAACTGAAGCTTGAAGAAAACTCTAGACATTCTTTATCCATTAATTTTCGATATGTTTCAGGTTTTAGTAAAAGTAGAACTATGTGGAAGGTTATTCACTTCTCCGTATTGATTCTACTGTTTGTGGCATTCCAACAACCATGTTCAAGTCAAGAAACTGGACCCGAATTAGCGAATATCACCGTCATAGGTTACATATTAACGTTGATTTAATACTAGTTCCTAAGCAAATAATGTCAATAATTTTCGAAATACATATTTGAATAAAACATGAAATCAATTAGGATCAAACTTCGAAGCTTAAAAAAATAAATATCCTAAAACTCACACATGACGATAAAGTGAATAAATCGTAAACAAACGTCAACATTATCTGCAATTTAATTATTAAAATTTTTCTATAAACGATTCCATCTGGAATAGTTTTATCTTATAACGATAAATTTTTGTTTTCTTCCAACTTCAGTTAACGGCGAAGAACGTACATTTGCAGTGGAGAAACAATACCTCCCATTGTTTAGCGAATTAGCAAAGGCAATTGTCGAAAGCTTGAATGGGGGTAAGATACGTATTCAACTTGGTAATATCATATTTGAGAGAAATATTAATGCATATTATAGGTAGAGTTGAAAATTTTGATTTACTGTCGAAAGTAGTATTAACTATCAAGTATTCATACAAAAAAATAGTGGTTAAATGGGACTTTGTTGGTGTGCTGATTGTAGCTGCGACGTGTGCGTGTTATTCATTGCTATTTAAAGGGAGCACAGAACGAATGATAAACGCATTCTAACCTGTTTATACCTCCCATAATTTGAATGAATCATATTTTACTTTTGACCAACTATCTACAATCGATGTAAGTTTGTAAAGATCAATCAAAATTCATGAACATCAGTTTTTTATTAATTAGACTTGGACGAGTGCAAGTCAGGAGTTCATACTTGCAACCTTACAGCGGAGCATTGTGTAAACTTGGATGGAAATTTTCATTGCCCATGTAAAGATGGATACGTCCGACACACAACTAACGCGACATGCGGTAAGATCTAAGTTACCAATCGTTGTTGTGCTAACTTTTGTAAATATTACAAAATAATCGATTACTTTTATCTGGAAAAGTAGGTAATTTTTTTTATTGTAGTAAATTTTTCGTGCAGCATTACGGTCGGGTTAACACTTGAATGTAAAATAAGCAAAGCATCATTCTAGAATCTAGAATATATACTCATCAACAACGTTGATTAACCCCGCTCTTTGTTTTGGCCTATTTCATCTCTCTTTTATTTATCGTTTATTTATATGAAATATTTTACAAAATATACAAGTTTAAAGCTCAACTATTTATTAATTGTTTTTACAGAATTGGATCTTTGCAAACAAAGTGGTACAAATTGCACCGGACTAAAAGTTTGCAACAACGATGCTGCTGATTTACGATGCATATGCAGGGACGGGCATGTAGAGAATGGCACCGAATGCGTGGGTGGGTTGACGTCAATTTTTCGATATAAAATAATTGTTCAAGTCAGTCTTATATATAGAACCATTATGGTTGATGGTTTATTAATTTTAAATGTTATCCAGTCTAACGCTTGATGATTTGAATAAGTTGAGCATCAGAAAACTTAGAAAAAAAATGTGTGTATGGGGTGTATTCTCAGAGATACAATAATGTACTTCCTTTGTTTAATAACTTTTTTCAGCTGGTAAAAATCTGAGTTATCTTACTTATAAAAAGATTCTTAGTATTTAAATAAAGGATACTATGATATTGTGTATTGAACTACAAGTACTTTCTATCTGTTTGCTTCTTACCTCGTACCCGTATGTGATCGTTCTAAAAAGGAGGATTGAACGAAATAGTGTTGATAAATAAAAATAACATATATATCAATTCTTTCCACGAAATAGCAAATATATATACTCGAGCATCGGTTCTAGATCATATAGGTGATGAACGTGTTCTAACTCAACTGTTATCTAACGAAAGATTACAAATACTTCTTGAAAAGAGACTTCATTATTTCCCTTTTTGGAAAATTAGCAGCAATGGTTGAGCTCGCTCATAAAAAGAAGCTTGAAAGGAAGAATATTAATAAAATGGTCTGTCCGAATTTTACTCAACAAAAGTAAAAATGAATATTTAATATACGCCAGAAAACGGAGTCGTCTTAACCGATTGGGAATAATCATTTTAAATACATCCAGATTTTCAATGATTATAGTTCTTTTTAGTCGTTACGAAAGTATTTATTCGTCGTAATGAACTAATATTATTTCACGCTTCCCTGTCTTTAAACACGATGCAAAACTTTTTTACAAAAGCTACGTAATCGGACGTTTACTTGATATTCCTTCTCCCCATCAACTAAAAAGTTTTCATTTTTTCAGTGATAACTTCGTGCGACGCAAATGACTGTCCAGTAAATTCTACTTGCGTAGAAGACGGCCAGTCTTATAATTGCATTTGTAACAGCGGGTATGAACTCGAAACCGCAACGGGATCTGGTGGAATGCAGAGTAGTTCGTGCGAAGGTGGGTTCTGTAAATATAAATCATCAGTCTGATTCATTGTGGTTTTATATTTTGTAGGTATTATTATTTTTGAGTTAACATTTTGGATTTAAAAGTATTACCTCGAATTTTTGATTGAAATTAGTATAAGGATCAGATTATTAAAAATGACCCGAATCGGATTTGATACATAAAAGGGGTCGACCGAGTTGTCCGCAGATTCCGTCTGATATGATCTCTTCAATTCTCTGTCGGTAGAGACGGACAAATTGGCATACGCGGTATCGATTCGACAAACATCTCCAAAAGATGTATATTTTTTTATTTATATTATAATATCCTTAGACATCGATGAATGCACTGTTGGTACTCATGATTGCGATAACAATGCTGATTGTAGCAACACAATTGGTTCATTTACATGCATGTGTCAGTCGGGATATACTGGAAACGGGAAGAATTGTACAGGTACATTAACTAACGCCAGAATATCAAAGCAACAAGTACTGCTAAAATTGTCTGTAAAAATAGATTTGTTTCAAAATTAATTCATGTGTTTCAATTTTATAGATATCAATGAGTGTGCTTCAGATCTTACAAACGACTGTTCACAATCATGTACAAATACAAAGGGAAGTCACACTTGTGAGTGTTACGATGGATTCTCTGGCGATGGTATTAACTGTGAAGGTAAAGAATTTCATTGTATACTCCTCATTCTTCGTTACTGCCATTTAAAGTATCGGATTTACTTTAAGACAAATGCCCAAGAATTATTATATCGCGGTTCCATTCATTCAATCACTGGTCAATACAGCTGTTGCTGAGGCGATTTCAAAAATCTAAAGTCATATCATCAAACATGAGATTCGAACTAGTTTTTGCAGTATATTCGCAATGATCTTGTTGCATGAGTCAAAAAAATAAAACCGAAAAACTTTTAAATAATCGATAGTAAATTATATTCAGATATCAATGAATGTTTAAACGGGGATGCGAATTGTCACGCCACACTTGCAACGTGTAAGAATACACAAGGCAGTTCAGAATGCCATTGTAATGAAGGATACTCAGGAGACGGCGTAACGTGTGCAGGTACCCTATATGATATGGATATATGAAGATATTTCGTATGATATCCATTGCATGAAAAACGAATTTCACTTAATTAAAACAATGTGTCATGGGATTATTACGAGATATTGCAAAATTAGCAAAATGAAATAAAATATTAATGTCGTGCTCGAAGACAACGCAGCTTTTTATTGCGTACCAGGGTATTTTTAGCGTTTCAAAATTATGATTGACGAGCGTGATAGATTTTTCTATGTCTATGTAAAAAAGTTGTATGTTTTTGTTAAATAACAAAAATGGCTTGTAATTGAAGTTAATGTTGATCATATAGTGATCGACGAGCCGTTTCCAGAAACGATGATTATCAGCTATATGATATTATTACAATTGTCCTTAGATATTTATGTCCCGTATATATAAGAAAATGAATCATATATTCAGATGTTAACGAATGTACGACAGCACAAGACAATTGCAACGATACTCTTGCAACTTGCGGTAATACAGAAGGAAGTTTCGAATGCACATGCATGAATGGGTATACAGGAGATGGAGTTGACTGTCAAGGTATCACATTTGGGTCACATATCACAAGTCCAAAAAAGATAGCTGTGCAGGCCTACGAATAGACATGTAGACAACGGAGGAAGCACGCATAATTTGTATTCAGTCTCTGTCTATAAATACGTTATGCTGTTAATTTTTTATTGCCGAGAATTTTCAATGATTCGTGTCATTCATGTGTTTCGAAGGGCTAATATTTGATTAGTGTTGAGATTATATTTAGAGGTTGTAACTTTAGAGGTTGTTGATTTAATGAAACGCATTTGCTTTTTCATGCTTAGATATTAATGAATGTACAGACGATACGCACGACTGTAACATGCAAACAGAAGTATGTGTCAATTCACCGGGTGATTTTTCTTGCGAATGTGCGCCAAATTACGAAAGACATAGTTCAGGTCTATGCGCAAGTAAGTATATAATAATGATGATTTGATAAAAATGAATCATTTTCTTAACTTTAAAAAGTCGCTTGTTTTTGTTTGTTTTTGGACTCTTTAATGAAATAATTTTTTGTACCATAGGTATTTTTTTCAAACAGACATGGATAATTACATAATAACGTGTCCAAAAACGAAACTATTATACTCCTCGCACACGGTCATCTTCAATTATACATATATTATACATGGCTTAATATGTAAAACTACACTGCATATCATTTTCAACATATTCCACCTGAAGCATAAAGCCTCAGCCCAACTTAAAAACAAATTGTCATTGAGCATTCCGCAGTGATTTTATCTATTAACAGTAGAGGGGTTTGCGACAACGGCATCGATAACCACTCGGCTAAGCTCAAGTTCAAGAAAACGTCGACAGACCTCTGATATTGCAACAGAAGTAAGTCTAGTCTGGTATTAACATTAAATGATATAGTGGTGAATTTTACATTCGCATCTTCGGTATAGTTACTATGTACTGTATCTATGTTGAATCTGTCAATATATCATCAAAGTAAATGTTAAATACCAGGGTAATTAAACAAAATTAACTGCTTCTGAATATATCGGTATACCTACAATCATTCACCTATATATAGTCACGCCATGGCGGAATACGAAACTTTGCATAAACGTAATAAAATCATCGTTTCAATAATAAAAGACCGCTAATCAAATGCCACATATTGTACATATGCATATTTGACCTAATCAACGATATTTTTTTTAAAAAAATAGCCCGAGCTAATGATGGAATAGTCGTAAGCTAAAGTTTATTTTAAGTAATTGTTTTCGTTGAAAAGAGTAAGAGAAGAGCGTTTAGTATTTTTTTGGAATTGACATCAAAAATAGACAGCTCGGCTCATTTCTCATCTATGTAGTTTAAAATTCCGACATTCACAATTCTATAATTAGCTTTTTTAGCACACACTTTTCGTTGAAATGAGTCACTAGCCTAATTAATACACATACTGACTATAGAAACGGAAATAAAATTATATCAAATCCATGTGCAAAAATGATACGAACACTAAATTTGACTTTAATTAAAGAAATAAAAGCATTCGGCAATTTCTCAATTGTTCTCGGGTAAGTCAAAACTCCCATTTGAAACGTCGTCATTCTGACAAAATTTTAATTGTTCGAATTGTTATATCAGAAAATTCTTTTCTATTAGAATTCCTTGAATGCTTATTTTCTCTTTAGCTTGAAAAATTCCTTACTAATTTGTTGAGTGGCAGAGGACTTGACGCCGACGTGAGTGTGCAAGTGATAAGCGAAACATTTAACAACGCTGACAATTCAACTATATACGAACTTTTAATTTCGGCTGATCCTCAATTGGCAACATTTCTTCAAGAGGCCTTTACAAATTTGGAAGGGCAAACTCTTGGTGGCCTGACTATTGCAAAAATATCTTGTAAGTAGTAGTAAATCATTCATTTCAATTGTGGCATTGCGTATAACTGACGTTGTAGCTAAATGTGAGACTTTTTCTCATACCACAGACAAAGAGTTGATAGCTGTTCATTTTAAGCACTGTAATCGATTTTAAATCGTAATCGAAAAATGTGAAGTTAAAAAGAAAGCCGAAAGAAGTGACTTACCTACGTATAGGAATCTAAAAGTTTTAGGTACTCGTGCTCTCCATTCACTATATTCGATCAACGTATTTATGTTGATGTAGGTAAAATAAACGACAAACACGAAACCGGCGAATGAAAGTTGAGTGAATTGTAATATTAAATCCTAAAAATAATGTCTTATCGACTTTTGGGTGTATAAGAGCCGCTTTATAATACGTGGACAAATACGCACCATGCGCTCAAAGTCTAGATAGTATTTCTATTTCTTATTAATTTAAATCGCCGAAAGTATCGTTTCATGGCACACCTTGATAGTTTTGGTGCAGCGTTTTAAGCCTTTAATTTTTTGAGCTTAATTATTTTAAATTCTAAATTAAGAAGAAGCTGGTGGAAAATTAGAGGAACATTATAGCGTTATTCCAGGGAGAGAGCAACTTGACTTGTCCCATAATTGTCATACTATTCTCTAGGAGCATAAATATAGTTCATGCTATATGTTCTTGATCAAGATTGATACGTTACTTTGGCAGAATAATATAGTGTTCATATCAAGTGAGATTTATACAATTGGGTGCTGAGACAAGTTTAGAGCATGTGTGAGAAAAAGAGACAATTAAGATCAAAAGGAAAAAGAATTTGGCATGTATGAGACAAGTCTGGGGCTAGATATTTTTGAGACAAAATACCGATGAAAAAAAAAACAAGATGTGTTTATTGAAAAGTTGAAGAACCATTTCCTTGTCTTGTTCTGAACGCATAATGGTATAAATACGTACGAGACTCCTAAGCCTGACATTTTCCAACGGTTACTTACTAACTTCATTTCCCACTTTTTTATCAAATGTATTCGATAGTTTCAAAATGAGTTAAGCTTGCCAAGGACTAATACAATATCAAAATGCTACAACACATGACGTAGTTAAACACGTTTTTATTCGGAAGTTATTCCCGCATCGGTAGGTCGGTTTATTTGACATCTGAGGTATTATATCAAACTCTTTCATTTCAGACAAAGAGACACTGACATTTGAAGGAAGCGTAAATCTTGCAGGGACTGGTTTAACAGAGGATGATATTTGTACTCGGGTCTGTTTTTTTTTCTGTGCATTGTAACAAAAATTGCAATATCACAAGTTGTCGATTTTTATTTGTTGTTTCTTAGGTCGAAGATTATGTTCGAAATGATCTCACGTTATCCAACACAATTACGGCTACCACCGAAGTTTTCTGTAATTCTACTGCAACGGGGAATGTTGTTGATTTCAACCTCACAGTCGCTGGTGCTGATTCCGGAACTGTAGATCTGGGATTGATTTTGCAACAATTTAGCAATTTCACTATCAATGGTAAGATAGCAAGATTGAATAAATAATAAAATTAACTACCGTGTTTCTTTTGTTTCAAACAAAATTACAAAGTAGAGAATTACAAGATTTTCTAATATACAAAATATGAAAACCGATTTGAATTTACTAAAAATTACATATTTTTTATTGAAAAAAATAACTGCCAAAAATAGATTATTCAAAAATGAAAAATGATTTTCTGGAATGTCTTAAGTCACCATATTCATAAATTTCATCAAACATTCCATTTAACTGAATTTTCGGGCGAATTTTTGCACCTGCAGTTTCACGTCGAGCAATAATTCTTGAAAGTTTTCCTCTTTTACACGTTTTAGATTAATCATTTAAAACGTGCAGGAGAAATTTCTTGCTATCGTACAAGTCAAACAATAAATAAAATTCGTGTTTTCGACTAGGGGTTATTTTAAGGGTAGGGTTCAAAATCGTTTTCAAAATTCAGGCTAGGTCTTATTTTGGAGGAAACATGGTCTGTATATATAGCAAGATAAATGTTTGAATGGCAATGGTCTTCAATGTGGTGAATATTCAATTTACAGCGACGGTGAGTTGTCTGTTGAGCCCTTGTTTACCTGACGCAACCTGTACAGATGTAGGATTCGGTTCAAGAAAATGTAGCTGCAACCTCAATTTGTATGATAACGACATCACTGAACCCGGAACAAATTGCGGTAAGCATTCGTTTTCAGCATGAGCGAATGAACTCACCAGATAGAAATTTCACAACAAGATATATTCTAATTTCACAGAGACCTACATCAGCTTTACATATCCCCCTATACTATATGTCAATAACGATATCACCATCGTTTTTGCGAACAGTAATCTTTCAAAGCTGCTTCGATTTTATTTTACATACTTGACATTGTGCAATCTCATGTTTGCGCCTGACTTGTGATGTTAGGATCGTTCTCTTTTGCAAGTTCAGTGATAGTAATAATGGACGTTGTCATTCAGAAGGCATATTGTCTTTTTCACATGCGTATTTGAGTAACGCTATGCGTTTGATTCGAAATTTACGAAACAGGTATCGCACAGAAAATTTCTTGTCTTTACCTTGTCAAAGCATTCCATCAATTCGGTGCATATGTTGATGTAGTAAAAAGAAGGTAGGGTAGTTAGTATCATGGCGCATTTGTTTTAATTTACTAATTCAAGGTACTATTTATAACGATGAATCTAATTTGTTTCTAAACCTGAACTCTATTTTCATAGTTAACCCGATCCACACCGTATACTGCAACAAAGACCAAATCGGAGTCGAGTTATACGCTGCATATTTCACCGACCTTGGTCTCGAAGCAGCTAATATTCATCTGATCGATGAAACTTGCACTGGAGTAGTTAACGTTTCCAACCTCGCCTTTCGCAATAATTTGGGAACTTGTGGCTGGGTGACGGTAAGTTTGCTGAATAATAATAATTATACAAACAAATGTCATTTTGACGTTCAAGATTAACTATAGCATATTGGACGTGGACGACATTAGCAGTTGGACGTGTTTTAACTTGAAAGTGTTTCTAATATGATACCAACACTAAAATTAGAACTAAACTTAAGTCATAACACACAAGAATTAGACGACCTGTCGTGCCGAGTAATGACATTACAGCGCCCTGTCTTCGGAACGCCAAAACAATCATATAAAATGCCCATTGGTTCAGTAAAAACAACAACAAACGAGTTAGCTGAGAGACTAATTACTACGACTCGGCGGCATATGTCCATTGCAAACTGGATTTTGTCTGGCTGTCAGCATGCTTGGAACTGTTTATGTCGTATTCGGAAATATATAGTGTGTCTGTGAAAGCTTGAAGTTTTTCAAAATTGCAAAGGAAATTTATCGATACCATATATTGTTTTGGCCCTCACAGATGTATTGAATGAAGTAAAAACTTAACTTACCAATTACTGATTAACAAACCTGGTTAACATATATTGAGAACTGACTTCATAACAAAATTGAAATTGTAAAGGTACTTCATGGACCCCCTTATATAAATACATGTCTCCGGAAACGGTGTGTATGCAGTATCTTCGTAAGGTTCAGAAATAGACAGCATATCACCAGGAAATACAACAACAGTTTAGCAACCAACCATCAGCAATAGATTTGCTACATAACTTTTCTGGAGATCTGTTTTGTGCAAAATTTGTTCTAGTGTCCGTTATTTTTTGTTGGTTGCCACTTCTATATCGATGGCTAGACACATACGTTACCAGAAATTTTTTCCTATTTGCAGGAATACGACGGAGATCAGATCATCTATAAAAACAATGTAACGAACGTGATAAATAGTGTTGCAACACATCAAATAGCAATAATGTTTCCAGTCAGTTGTTCCTATTCCCGACAGTTTGGAACTGGAGACAATGATCAGACATCACCTTCAATTACTGTTCTTCCATCGTGAGCACATTTTATTAGAATATTTTATATGGCCTATGTATTTGATTTTCTGTTGTACAATATTGTTTAATTTTTCAACGTATATCCAGGTCCTCACGAATATACAAACCCTGTTTGTAAATTCTTTGACTCTAGCATCAAAACACTTGCAAGCGCAGGGTAACATGTTAGGGTCAACACAACAAGTTTCTTCCTGCCATAATAGTGTCATTATTTTGTTACTTGTACAGTTGACGGTATATTATTCTGGTACAATATGTGTATTCTTGATATTCAATCTATCTTAACCTTGACAATCATATGCGCAATATCCAACATTCGATGCCCTTTACTGTGCCCAAGCTACCTCACCACGACAACATTGTAAGGCTGCATTGCACTATAATTTCCATGGTTACGTAGACTGTGGTGCTTGGAGTCGACCTTTTTTTTAAACGGCGACTGCTTGGCATGTACTAGGTCGCCTTAAAGTACCTATTGTTTTTTTCATTTATTTATTAAATAACATATTTTGTTCGACTAGATTGTATTTATCTCGTTTTGTTATACTTCCCCAAAGGCGCCGCCGCTAGATAACCAGTTTTGGTTTTCGCGTCTCCTTTCACCCTGAAATATGTGTATGTTCGTATTTTAGCATGGTGAAGAAATAAATTACTGATTACTGATTACTTGATTCCTGGGAAACCACATTATACACATAATATAACATTCTCCGGACTCCGGAATTCGGAAACGCAATATTTGTTCAAAACAACCCCAAACTCATTGTCAATAATTTATTGGTACAAACTTTTAATGTTTTTATGCCACGACACAATTAGAATGCCTTATTTTGCGATAACCGCCTTTTACACATTTACGACTGGAGTTCACTGAAGAACTATGTAAGTTAAGGGTTATTTTGGTTTCAGAACATTTTCAATGCAGGGATAAATACTTAATTAACCAATCCATTTTCGTGGTCATTAGAATAAAACAATCTTCTATTTAAACACTTTATTATTGTAATTATATTTTGTTGAAGGACGGTAATTATAACTGATGCATCTGGTACGGGGGAACTAGAGGTTACGCTAGCAGTTTTTGATAACGACAATTTTTCCTTGGCTCTGGACAGTAATAAAGTTATGGAATTTGGCGACCCACTGTTCGTTGAGGTATGTGTTGCGTGTCAGAATTGCAATCTTTCCGGTTTATAAAATACACAATACATGAATCTTGTATATTTTCACATTATGCAGTTTTAAAACAAAATTTCTTCTGTAGCTCACCCATTCCGCGTCAGCTACGGATAACTATTTGAAAGCAACAGACTGCTGGACCACACCTTCCGACGACCCAGATGATACAACACGACATGATGTGATCACGGACGAGTAAGCTTGACTGATGTTTGTTTGTGGTTCCTATATTGCTATTTGAAACGTGTATAAAATCGGGTCGTGTATCTTGAATTTTCTCAATTGTCCGAATATTCCTTTTTTTTCATTTCGATGTGTAAAAATCCGTTTTACGATCTAACAATCTGGTTTATCAACTCGTGTGCTGTATCTATTTTCAAAAAGCATTCAGAATTGTAAATCAATTGTATTCTGAAGTTTTACTGGGATGCTGATTCGTTGAAATACATTTACTGGATTTCCTATCACCGATATCACCAAAGTCTTGGTTTTAAAATGCTTAGCACCTACAACAACTTGAATGTCGATTTGTTTATCCATCGCTTTAGTGAATGAATCTAGCTAAGCTTTGAGAATGCAGAAAATATTTATATTTGTGGTCTGAAACTCTCTTTATCATCATTGGTCCAAACTCATTATAGTATTGCAATAATGATAGTTTAATTATATTTATATACTATAACAAATGTTGTTATGTTACCTTTGTTAAATTGTTGTTAATATGTTCAACGCACAAGTGTTGAATGGTAAATTTCAACTGAATAAAGAACATTTGAAAAAAAAGAGCTGTTTACAGTCTCTAATATGAAAATATATTACAATACTGTGTTCAGAACTAAGCTAGCTTCTCTTTAAAATTTTACTTATCTACTTCAAATACATTTACATTATTTTAGAAATAAATCTTTAATGTCTATATTTTTAACAATTAAACCAATTCGAAAGGGTACCAATCTCTTCTAACCAAATTCAAAATATTTTTCTGACATCTTACCATGCCTCAATTTTTATGCCATGTTCAAAGCATCTGAGCGAATATATATATATGTATATGTCTATGATCAATAACATAGAGGCGCAACCTGGGCTTCATCTGTACAAATTCATGTGGGATTTTCAGGTGTCCAGCTACCTCTGCTTCTGTTGACATAATATCCAACGGAGATGGACAGACGGCCAGGTTCAGGGTGAGCGTTCAGCCCTTTGTGAATGAAGCTAAACTATACGTTCATTGTAATGTCGAAGTCTGTCAGTCATCCTGTCAGAAGGTAAAAAAATAATACAGTTTTTTTAAATGAAACAAAAGTATGTAGAAAAAAATCAATTATCTGTTTTACTGATAGTAAACACACCTCGAATAGCAAAGAATACTATAATGGAATTAGTGCTTGAACGAGGATACAAAAAAATTTCTCAAAAGTATAGAACATTATCATTTATCTTATTGCATTGGTAATATTCCCAGTGGTTCTCAAACGGCGAGCGCGCCCCACAAGGAGGGCGTAGACATTTTTTTTGAAATGTTGTGAAGCTAATTAATAATAAAAATATTTGTTATATTTGACCTTGTCCGCCTTATTTTGGATATATACATTTCTTTATTTTGAATATTTAACTTCAAAGATTTTTTTTTAAACATACTTTTGCCTTACTATCTGTTAATTGTAGTTTATTGTTAGCTAGTTATTTTTGAAGTGGGACACGAGACTTGACAAATTCTAAAGGTTTGAGAACCGCTGCTCTAAACACTTTTATCATAGTTGGCCAAAAGATGTACAAGTTCGTCATTATTACTTTAGTTTTGCACTGACAATTTCTTGGGTCTTTCCAACATTGTGTTTTTTCAACACAATACTTAACTAACCATGCGATTTGTCTGATACAGACCTGTACTACAAAAAGGCGAAGAAAGCGAAATGCAAACGATGGGAAGTCAAATACCGTTTCAGTGGGTCCGATTACAACCCAAGGTAAGCCCTTGTTGGTGAATACATAATACTAAATTCATATGAAATAAATATATCACACTATAAATAATATAGAATACAATTTTTAATCCTGCAATTTCTTCCTCTTTTTAGAAACAGAGGATAACGAAGATGTGTCGGCTACAAGTTCCAATACTGCGGCTATTACATTGGGGTGTATTTCGGCGGTTCTTCTCATTGGCCTGACCGTGCTTGTCGTTCACCGAGTTCGAAAGAAATCCAACGAAGGAGAAGGCATAACAATGCGAAGATTTTGGTGAAGAGAATTAAGTGAAAAAAGTTTTCGAGATTTAAAGTATCGTTAAATTTTGAATGTTTTTTTTATACTTCACGTAGCCATATGTATTTTTCTTGTATAACATTTTAGCTTACGTTCTAGGAAATTTACCTAAACTGTCAAATACAAATACAAGAAAAACTTTTTTCTCTGTAATGTGTTACATATAAACCGTGTTTACCCAAAAATAAGACCTAGCCTGAATTCTTAAAAGGATTTTAATATAAGCCATCCCATTAAAATAAGACTCAGTCGATAGCAAGAAATCTCTCCTACGCGTTTTAAATGATTAATCTAAAAAGAGTGATGGTCATTTTTGAATAATCTATAATTAGATTTTTTTAATTAAAAACGTGTTATTTATAAGTAAATGGATATCGGATTTCATATTTTGTATATATATTCGAAAATCTTGTAATTCCCTACTTTGTATTTTTGTTTTTGATAAATGAAATCACCCCAAAATAAGCCCTAGTGTTTGGAAGAAAAATGAAATAAGACACTATCTTATTTTCGAGAAAACACTGTAGCATACATATGACATCACAACTATATGTATATAGTATATTTTTATCAACCTGTTGTTCAGGTAGTTTAGAACTGAAATTTGTTTCAGACCGTTTCACTATTGCACGTAATCTGTCATAATCTATCACATGTATATACCCATATAAAATTGAGATATTTTTTTTTATTTTTCTTGCATTGTAGAATTAAATAATTACATGTTTTTTGTTAAATCTGATAATTAAAAAGTAAGAGTGGAAAAACAGAATTGAATTCCTTCGATATTTGTCATATATAGGTCTTTGTTTGATTCATTGTACATATTTGCAGACTTGAGATAAATTTGATATCTGTTTTGCTGAAAAATTGCATGAAAATAGTTTTGTATTGAACTAATAAGCAAGTACATTACAATAACTTTCAATCTGTTTGTTATGAATATTTGATGCAAGGTATTGTTGTCTCGTATATGATATTCATTCAAATTTCGTATCAAGTCTTTTTCGGGTTCAATCCACTTAACTATACTATAAGTTTACTTCAGTGCTCAACAATATCGACCAGTTACGTAAAAAGGCTGCCAATAGCCCGGTAAAAGTTTCATAAAACAAAACAACAAAAAGTTGAGTCGATTACTATTTCTATCTGAAATAAGAATGTTTTCGGTGTAATACATGTGTTCGAAAAACTTACCATAAGATACTACAACAAATACGGTGATATCGTTTTTTTACTTACATCCATCCACATCTTCAATCCTCCGGCGGTCTACTTCCGCATCTGGCGAGGGAATAATTTTTTTTGAATTGCATGTCCACGCACCTGTTTCAAATTTTCTCATACCGTACAGGCTAGCGATAAAGTGTTGAAATTCACAACACCCAGTCAACAGTTTTCAGCGTCTAGGAAACGGAGCGTCAGTGAAATTGAAAGCTTTTTCGATCCATTCTTCTTTCTGTCTTAAATGAATGCCGGAGGTGTTGTTGTTATGGCGAATCTAGCGTTTATTTAGTAATCGATACTATACTGGCAGCGATTCGAAGACGCCATTCTATACCCAGAGCTGATTCATTGCCAGTTGGCTCAGTTGAACGGAACTTGTTGTTTTCATGTATTGTTTGAATTTCGTGTGAAAAAAATGAAAAGTGAATGAATTAACTGCTGATCGATTTTCAGGGGGGCTGAACATTGTTAAAATGTAATTGCTTTTTATAGGCAATATAATCTTTATAGAGAATTATTAGTTGTTTTGTTAGAAAAATAGTATTTTCCGACTTAGGCCTATGTTCAAGGGTTTCGAAGACTTATGTTTCGAAAGCAAGTACACCTCCACCGTATAAAATGAACCGGTATCTGCGGTTGTATTTCCCACTGCATCACTGAAACCAACCAATCAAGTTTTCTATCTTGATAATGATCACACTCATATATTTTAGCAGACATAATACATGAGAGCATTTGAAATTCAAGTATGAATATGTATGAAACAAGTATTGGTTGGTAACAAGTCACCTGAGTCGCCAATAGTTGCTTCAATTACATGTTTGCAAAGTTACAAGTAAAAGTCAGAAAGCAAATTTAGGACATTTGTTGTTTGTGTCATTCGTATCCGAAATTATCCTCTCCAAGGCTTTGTATTTTCAACCCGACGACAGATTTCATTGGTGCAGCATTTCGTTTAATTGCGAGGCATGCGATGATGCACAGCGACACCACGAGTAGAAACACAAGGGACATTGTGACAGCCCAGAATCGAACGTCTAAATGCAGAAATAGCACTCTTGAATTTGAAATTATAAACAGAGCATTTGACGGAAGTTCAGTATTGTATAACATTTGATTAGAGATTACGTAATAGCATGAAAAATAGGTGGAAAACAAGCTGTTACGATATTTGATTCTGCGCCTATATATTGTGATGATGGTGCATTCTATTACACAGCGATTGTACAACAGGCGTGACAGTGACACCTACCAAAATGTCACAGAGGCTCTCCACAGTAACCTTTCAATAGAAAATGAGCCTAATTAAATCTATAATAAGATTGTTATACTGTTGGACATGGTAGCAGGCTCGGTCGCCTCTTCAATCACGGCTTATAATTTGTGTGATCATAACTAATATAAACTATTCAGTTAATTAATAGTGAGAGACATGGATTTGGGCATTTTCATGCAGAATATCATTTTTGTAACCATAACAACGTACCTATTATTTCATCTTCCACACGATAGAGAGGCCCAACAGTCTTGTTATGTACTTTTGTTTCTTCTGAAGTTTCTCGCCTTTGTCGATATAGCGATACGTAAGAGTAATCGCTATAAATAGAACGCCTTCTTCGGCTGTCGCAAGTCTAAAAAATTTGAATGAACATCATTTTTGGTGCAAGAAATAAAGAAAGTTAAGATTGGACTAATTTAGTTAAGAAAAAAATGAGGTAATTCTTCCGCCTTGTTCCTATTAAAAATAGCCAATATATTAAAGTGTTTGTGATGTAATATGAAAGTGTCCACCATCTTTTTGATCTGTAGCTATGGAAAGAAAGATTTTGCAGTCACTCGATGTTTACGCCCAAACCGCTAACAAAATAAGTCCAGGTTCCACACAATTGTTATATTGTAACATACTCCTTCTATACATTACGGAAAATTCATACATACTCTCGACTTTCGGTATTTTTTGATACATGTTGGAATTTGATACATCATGTTAGGATTAAATATTAAATTTAGTCGTTAGGCTATATTAATGTCGATCATGAAAGCAGAATTGCCGAATTTGGCAAATGTAGCTATTTATATTTTAACCTTTTTGCGTCTCATGACAGTAGCCTGTTCTCTTTTAACGATAGGTCATTGAACATTGGACATTGGTAAAGAAAGAAATAATCTTATAATAAAACCGGCTGATAACAGTTTTTGAACATTTCTGCGTCTGGATACTCACTGGTCTGCAAGAATTTCCGTCAGCAGTGGAACAAACGACTATGCGACAATGAATGTATGTTGTACTGGCATCAACAAATTTGAAAACTTGAACACTGAAACTTGATTTGCCAATGCCACCGTTACTGAATACATTAACTGTACCTCTAACAGCAGATGCATCTTTACACCTGAAAAATACAACTTTGATTTCATTGCCAGTAGCGAGAACATCTCCTTTAATACCTGTCTGTAAACGGCCTATATAAAAGTGTCGAGAAATAAAAGAAATTTATGAAACAAAAGGTCATAGCAACGATAGGTGAGCAAAAAAATTATATATATTTCAATTCAAGATTCATAAACTTATATGGCGATTGCTATGATTGAAAAGTAAGAATGACATGCGATATAATTATAATTGCTACTCAATAAAACTTCAAAACCAAAAATCCAAACGTTTGCTAATCAGAAGTGGAATGAATAACATAAATCCATAAACAACGATGATAAGTTTTTCGGTTTAATGAACATTTGACAAATTTATTTTCTAGAATTCTTTCTAATACAATCGCATACATACATATTTATATATATATATATATTCACTTATTACCCGTCCTTGATAATATCATAATGTATTGAATCATTGATTGTAGAAGTTGGTGTTGCCCAACATCTGTCAAGTACAACGGCAAGGATTGTGTCTTTAGAGTTCAATTCCGCTCGCAAATACAAAGTATCCGATGTCTGCAAATAAAAATAATCAAGTTATTGAATGTATAGGCGCAGTATAGTCTATCGCGGTGATAATTGATCATTTTCGTGCCATGGATCTCCCTTATAATTCATGTATATATAACTGATAACCCCTTCCTTTCAATGAAAGTTGTTGAAAATGCTATCTGCCCATAAAAAACAGGCAACGGTCTTCATAAATCATAGAGTATTTATAAATCCAATCAATATATTCGTTTTTCAAGCCTTTCATTAGAAGTTTTGACTCGTTAAACAACTCATCTATCTCGTAAATTAGAAAAGCATAGTCAATAGTTCAGACGAGCCCTAAATTAATTTTAAATATTATTTATCCGATTTGGGCCTGCAACCCGGGACAGGAACATCTTGTTATGCAATTGACCTTAGGTAATTCATCATGTATACTTTACGCTACAGGATACACAGAACTCAATGTCTTATATTTCCGGGGTTGATTCTGATACTTATCCCTTGAACAATTTGCAATAGCAATTTATAATTTGAGAGAGATTATGTTATAGATTAAAACCCTATTTTTATGCGCGTCATGTGTTGATTAACTCTAACCCCCGATGACAAATTTGGTTCCGAATGTTACCAAAAATTATTCATAGAACTTGTCGTAAATTAAGTGAAGCACCCCCAAAATTGTATGCATTCTGGTGAAATATGAGCACAATCAGTACCTTGAACTCGCGTTTCTTTTCTTCCACTTCAAATGAGGATGATTTGTACATTTTGAGATCGACGAAAAACTTTCCTTCACCGGCAGTTGACGAAATGTTGATCGAAGATACCTCGCCCTGTAATGCACCGAAAGAGCAAAATATGGATGTATATCCATGGACCATGGTACCGGTATGTTTGAACGATATATACATTTTATATTTTAAGATATTTCTATATTTTGTCAAAAAATGTGTGAATATCAAACTCAATTCAACTGTTAATGAACATTTTAACATAGACCGGTGTTTACTAACTGCGACGAAATCGTTTCATGTAAATTGATACGTTCCATATATTTATATATATATAAATACACTGCAAGGTTGTTTTGTTAAGTAGACTTGGTTGTCCGTCACGTTGCTATAGTTTATTCCAAGTGCATACGTACAAACTTATAAATACAAAGATTTAAAGACAACAAAAAAAGTGAATTTACCTCGAATGACATGGAAGTTGTGATATTCTTTGGATAACTACAACTAAAGGGAATAGACAATTCGGAACCTGTCATAATAATGGCTGTTGATTTCGGTTTGTTGCTGAGAACATTGGAGTAAGTCACGTGAGTAGTATTGTCCTGGAATAAAATTGGATTGGCAAAAGTTTAAGTAATCACACATCCTCAAACGATGCCAAGTACTTAATCTGTTCCTAATACTTACCTTCCTAATACTCCCACAACTTGCTAAATCTTTGGTGATGGCAAATTCGTATTCATTTGACGTAGAGTTGAGAAAACCGGCACAACTTTCGTTCTGTAACCGAAGATCACTCAGTCGAATTGATAGACTTTTTGCGTATTTATATTTGAGTCTCATTTCCATCTTGTCGGATTCGCAATTCACCGATACTGGAGTAACTAAGAAAATCAAAAGTAAGCATTTCACAAAGTGTCGAGGTATGCGTGTAATACAGTAGCCTACTGGGAAATCACAGACAATCACGCGATCTCACAAAAACATGCGGTGGTGAAAAGAAAGTGGAAGTGATGAATGGGGAATTGTAAGCGGTTACTCTAAATTTTCACTTTATTCTTCGGAAGAAGTTGCTCAGGTCTGGGTGATGTCCTGTATAAAGATATATAGCAATATGATTCGACAGAACCGTATATTGTTTTATCTTACCGCATATTGTTCCGTTGTCTGATTGGTCGAAATATTCAGCAGAGCAGTTACAAATAAAACTGCCCACAGTATTGACACATTTAGCAAATTCACTGCATTCTGTTGATGTCTCCTGACATTCATTCAAATCTTCATAAGAAAACAGCATAAAAGAAATAGAATAAAGTCTTTACATTCAATATTTCTAGATGAGTTTATTCGGCAGCTACAATTTTTAATAAGCGCCAGCATATTGAGTAAACATTCACCACTATCCTGAAATTTCACGATGAACAAAAACCCTACAAACTTTGAGCTTCGATTTCCGAATTGGAAACGAAGTGTTGTGAAGAAAACAGAAAAATTTGGTAATTATATTATTAAGTTATCATATCACCAACTTGTTATAATCAAGCAGCAGTAAAAGTGATCTGCTAGTGAACAGCTGATTCACGAACGACCAACTGACCAAATATTAAATATTCATATAATAACATTTCTCTTAGAATAAAAATCCAGATAGCAATCTGCAACCTATCTAGAATAATACTAGCCTGACCTCGCGGGGCTTGTTGTAGCAGACTAACAGTCTTACCACTGCAAAAGTTGATTAATCAATGCAGTGGCACAAAACCTACGTACAGTTGATGAATATGTAATATGGAGTTCTTAATAACCTTCAATTTGACTAGACGAGAACTTCCCAATAGTAGAATCCTCGGTGGCACTTCTTGCTGCTTCCAACAGTTGCCCAACCGTCATGGACGTCCCATCAATCACCAAAATGAAAACTACATTAACACTCCCACTCGTGAAATTTTTGACCTCGGCGGTTACCTTAGCGAAAGGATACCGTTTCTTCTGTAATTCGCTCTTGATTTCACCAACCAACTATAATGTTGATAAAAATTCATAATCAACTGTAGTGCAATATCTAAACTTTGAATAAATTAATAGCCAAAATTGTAGGTTAGCCCGAAATGAAAAGCAGAGGACGAAAAGGATAGTACGAGACAAGTCTTAGTTACATTATATGTATAACATGGGAAAATTTTGTAGTTTTACGACGGAATTCATCTTCAGTAATTGTCTTATATATTATTATATTTAGATCCATCAAATTTTCACAAACTCTATGGTCTGTAAATCAATAATTTTCATGCAAATCTCACATACTCAGCCTTGTACCACTATAGTTACCTCTCGCAATAAGCTTGCATTTTGGTATAGATACCTGGGATGAAAATCTACGTATATGTTTTACATAGTATGACGTAGAATGTTGATCATTGACCATTGACCATTGTTATAGCCAGTGGCTTTCAAATCCATGATGATTTAACAGAAAAATAAACTTAAAAATTCGCAATATGGTAATTAGAAAAAGAACTTACTTCGTCCTCAAATGAATCTTTCAGAGACATGTAAACCTGCGACTGTGGATTGTTCAATTCTGAAGTAAAAGTCTCTTTCAGAAGACGAACTTTTCCAGTGAAAGAAATCGATTTCAAATTGTCTTCTTCTCCACTCTGCGCCATCACTGTTGTAATCACAAAACACTTACATAATTGATTTGTTTTATTGTGGAAAACTGCATATGGCAGAATTTTGAACGGCGAAGAATTTTATGAAAATTTCCCAGGCAATTTATGATTCTACAATATTTTACAATTTCCGAAAATAGAAGATGTTTGTGATGGTGAAATAAGAGTAAGAGGCAGTTTAGAGACACATAGTACTCCGATGGAACGTTCTGATAAATTGCTTTAATGGTTGTTGCTATCTGGGAGATCGTTGTTGTTGTTGTTGAGAAAAATCGCTCTTACTTGGAAACTAATGAACTAGCTAATTTCAAATTTTCTGTTCCTAAAGTATTGTTTGTCCGCTTTTCTTATTGCCAAACCCGCCTTTGTCAGGTCCTCGTAACATATTTGAACAATATCCTGTATCGTAGTTACATTGGTAGCACTTCTTCTTCATCGTGAAATGAAATTACAATTTTTTGAGTTTTATTTTGAAGATATATATAGAACATTTTTTCCACGTTTCCCATATTTTTCCTAAATACGTTTTCTCTACAGGTCATTAGTTGAATGTTCATTCAGTTAAGGAGTAGGCAAATATTCGATTAATCAAGCACTTTAAAATTGTAAAGACAGCAAGATCATTCATCAAGTTGAAATAATAATCTTATTCCAAAAAACCGCATACACGTTACATCATGAATCTATTATCGATGTTATTGTGATGTTGGTGAATTTATAGAATAGAAAGCATATTAACTTTATCGTTTGTTAGAATATGAATCCCGTACTGAAGAGTTAAGATTTGAGAAAAGGTTGTTGGTTTTACCCAAACACATGCATAGTTTACAAAACTAACTGTACACTCTGTACAAAGTAAACGATTGACAATTCTGTTTTGTGATGATACCAAAATAAGACAATATGTTGTACACGTGAGTGAAAATATCTTACACAAAAGTTGGGCAATTATCCACATACCCCTATTATATTTGTAGTCTGAAGTAAGTGGGCGGAAGAAATATAGGGGGATGTCTTATTAATACATTTTTAGGTTTTAATCAAACAAAAAGTTTTCGCCTCCTGTAATCTGAATGAATATGTTTTTACAGTTATTCTTCATTTTGCGGTAACCTATCTCTGATTACTGCCACACACGTTGTTTACCGTTAATCGTCTTTCATGCTAAAACGTCCAGTGAAGATTAAAAATAATTTGTCCTCGATGGGGTCCCAAGATTGTTATGTAATATCACTCAAACGCAATGAAATAGTTTATACAAGAGTGGCACTCGTTTTATTTAATATATAATGTAATGATAAAGATATGTATATGATCGCTCAAAGTAAAACTAACGTTTTTCAAACCCTTTTAAAAAAATTCTGTTTGTCCTTTGTTGTCATAACCACAAAAACACAAAGCCAGTCATTGTATGCTGCCTACTGAAAAACACTACCATTTTATATATATATCTCCCAAACCGATTTTATTTAAATTGGGTAAATTTAACTGGGGATGAAATATAGTATACGTACTTGATATTTGTAATCATTTAGACTAGAATGCGCGACATTGCCTATTTTGTTTTGTCTCATTTCCGTTCACTCACAAATCACAATGTTCAACGCGATTTGAAGTGTAACGATGTTACTGACTGTAAATGTGTGTATATAGAAAAATATTTTAGAATTCGACATGTGTAATAATCGTAAGAATTCTGTGTCATACCTCTGGTCGATGAACTTCACTTAAACTTCTTGCTGAATATTTATTTCATGCCAAAAATGAGCTACGGATTACACTTCAAACATCACGCCATGCACCCCGAATGTCAAGATGGTTTGAAGACTTGATGCGTTTCATTTGATTTTTGAAGCTCGTCCCAGCCTCCCATTGTCACTCACGCTCGCTGGTGAATATACTTTGCCCATTATAATGAGAGTTAATGTGTGAATAACGTTTCAAATCTTATGGCATAGTTTTCGCTAAAGGTTTTCGACTGTACAAAATCTCTATATCACACATGGGCAAAGTACGGTCCGCGGCCGAATACGGCCCGTTGTGTTACTCAATCTACCCCGCCTGGTGCTGCTACAACCAAACTGAAATCATATTTTGATATTTTAGCTAAAAATAACTCAAGGAATTTGTTGAGATTGCGGTTAATTTAGTTTCGACACGAAGCGTATTGTTTTCCACCTTTGCTTTGTAATACTGTACATATAATATAATGTAACTTCTTACGTCACACTTTTATGGCCCGCCAGTCTAAGTGGGCAAAATTTTTGGCTCCTCGTTTAAAAACCGTGCCCACCCCAGCTCTATATCCCCTTGCCCAGAGCTTAGTGTGAAAACGAACTAACGATAAAAAAAAATGGACTATATACAGAAGGAAGGAATAAGTTAATATAATTTTGACTGAATAATGTATTAAAAACAGATGAGCACCATTAGTACGTATCTTCGTATACTGAGTTGTATTTAGCATCATCCACTCAACATAACTTGCTATTACAATTCAGATAACTTATTAAAGTTGTGTGTTTTATCAGAGATAAGTTTATAAACAAGAGAAAGTCGTTACAGGTGCGACCGCATATGTGGCATATTTTGTGGACTAAATAGTTGAAAATGTATCAATTCAATTTTGTTATTTTACGACCAATCGCCGTGGTCGAGCGGTTGTACATGCTAGACCATATATGATAATATCGTTGTTTTTCTCGAAAGCTTTGTATTACTGAACGTTAGTCACAAAAGCGATCAAAACACCATAATGGACGTTATGAACGCCGTGCCAGAACAGACTGCTGTGTTGTTTTTGATAAATACCAATAGCATCCAATAAACATTTTTTGAGCATTCATCATTTTCTCTCTATGTTTTAAAAAGATATTGAAGCGTCTATCGAAAATCATGATCTCATTCCTATACGCGGTTCTTAGTGTATGAATCAACAAATAATTAATCGCGGAACGGATTATATATACTAGTTATGAAAACCGGAAATAAAAAATTTGGCAATGGCTCGATTGGGGCCGGCATTTCCAAATATGTGATATTGAAATTAAATCGAATTACGGAAACACATATTTGCCAATTACAATTACACCAGTAAACAAATATAAAATAGGTATCCTCCATCAAACTTTTTAAATCAAAATATTACGATATTCGGGAAAGAATGTAGATTGTTATTTCATATAAAGAACACCGGTCTATAAACGCCAAACATTTTATTGACCTTGCAATGAAAAAAATGTTTTGAGAACCACGGAATGCAAATTTATCCAATGCTAATATGCCAGAAATTTTATTCAAATTTGATACATAGTTAAAATATTTGATTATGATTCCAAACTTACCGTCGATGCATGCAGTGGATGCCAAAAGTAACACTGCTGCCAAGTACATCATGTCTTTGCCTTTGCAAGAAAATCTTCTTCGTTTTTGCCTATTCAATAAATTCTTCTTCCGACTTGGATATATCTTGCACAAAAATTGTAATTGATGCACGCCGCCCACAAAATCAAGTGAATCGTTTCTCCGATGGAATCTTCTTTTTGTCGAAAATGTTGATGGTTTTCTCACAACGTTCTGTTATTATTAGCCATTGTGTTTTGGATTTTTAATAAGAATCTCACTTTTGGTGATTTTCGTTTATATGTTTCGCATTTCAGTGAGGAATTTTAATATACTCGATTTTATGGCGGTTTGAGGAATTCGCTACTCTCTTTCTCTCATATTCAAATAAATAAAATGCCATCATGATACTTAAAAAAATATTCAGTGAAATATACTGGCAATAATTTTTAATCGATTTTAGGGCCAAGTATTCAGTTATATGAAACTAAGCTCATTTACTGTATAGGATGATTAATAATTCGGTTAATTCAAAATACGTTTTGAGATTTGAGGATCGGGTCTTATTCAGTGAAGAAGTACATTTTTGTAAGATGTTTACTTGCATTTCGGTTCTAACATGTCTAAACATTTCGCAACACTGAAAGCAATGTAACTATTCGCAGTTGAATGACTGAAATCAATCCATATATTCACTAATTCCGAAACTATAAATTAGTTAAAGGAAAATCTTCTAAACAGTAAATTAGTCGTGGAAGATGATCTTCTTCGAATAGCAAACTAAGCTAATGGCAATATTATACGCCGGTGCATTGTAATCCTATCTGATATCTCAGAATGTCGGGATTTTCTCTATTCGAGATTGGAGGTTGAAGCCAGAATATTTTGTATACATTTTAAAATTGACATTGTCTACCAAAATAGATAAAGCAAATGAAAATTTCCAGACACCCAGATATATTGCGACTGACTTTCGCTTGGCAAGTTTAATCTTGTTTGGCTGTTTCGTCGCTTCTCGCCACGCATTATCTGCAGTGGTTCCTTGTCGTTCGTGTGTATCTCTGTTTTATGTTAGCTGGACTTAATGTCTCGTTATATATCCATCGGCCCATTATCAGACTGATTATTGACATTACATAACTGCCATTACCTATTTCGCAGGCTTGTCCATGGGGCATATTTTCCTGTCCTATTCCCATCCCATAGCAAAAATGCCTGTCCCATCCCATGGTATTCCCATTTGAATAAAATTCATTAAAAATTGTTGAATTTAGGTTAAGCGTCTACTAAATAGGACTACATGTACGAAGAGACACGCAACACAACAAAGTTAACTTTATATTCATAACTATTAGTATTATGCATGTGTCCATCAGCCCCTTCACAAAGTATATTGTTAAGGCTGAATATATTTTGCTCTTTATAACTAACAAGATAGCTATGCTCAAATATATGGACACGAAATCCATAACGAAATGTTTTACCATCATTTCCCTGAAAATCATACGGTTTTCGTGTTCAATGGGAAATACAAATGTGTGCTGTCCCATCCCATCCCGTGTGACGTTCCTCATGGACAAGCCTGCCAATTTGTAATGTAGAATTTGAGCAAGTTATGATTAAATTGGTTGATTTGGGGTTCCACACAGCATTCGTCGCAACGCGTATTCGAATGATTTTCCAATTAGATATTTCAATCGCCTGCATTTGTCAGTACATATACTTGGAAAATAAGTTACACTTTCCACTAGGCATACAACAATATACCAGTAAATAGGAATATATTACTCAATACTGGTACAAATTGGGTTAAAATTAATAAAAAATAAATAAAAAGTCAATATTCATTTCAATTGAATTTACATGTACATATAACAAAGTTTTAATAGCAATACAATCGGGTATTCAATAATTCAACCTGTGTTGGAGATGAGTTCAATAACGGGATAGTCAACGAAATTATGTGACGTTGTTGTGATAGTTCTTTGTGATAGTTGTGATAGATGTCAGATAGCTGTGATAGTGATTGTTGCTTGTGATTCTCAGTTCGAAATTAATCTCGGATTTCGACATTTAGTTTATGTGCTTGGCTGGTAAGTCGATAGTGCGAAGCAATGACTTATTGCTTTCAATTTATTCAATCCTGTGCGCCGTTCTCAGTAGTTCTTCGAGTTGCATGATGGGTAAAAACAACGACCCGGAAGTACAAGCCTGAGATTAATTAAATCCCGCACATTTTTATCCCTAATCTGCTACATCAATCCATAATTCTGAGTGAACTGTGGAGTAGACGATGTCACAAATATATATATAGCCTATAGCGTGCTGTGATGCACAATATCATGCTGCTTTCATATGGTTTGGAAAAGACATCGGCGGTGTTTCGCTTTTTATGTATGATAAATAAACCTCTGATATGACTATTGAATTGCTCTACTGGCACTGCCGGATGTACGCTAAACTCGTATTCAAAGGTGATGTTCCTTTCTTCTCTCCAGCTAATTAAAAAACAACAGTTATATATATATACATGATTACTGATAATATACATGTAATCATTTTTCGGGGAGTTGCCGATCTAAATTTTGATCATGTGTGTAACTATAAACCAATGCCTGAGAAACTAACCATTAAGCGCTTTTTTATTTCTGGCATATGCAGGTTTGGTAATTTAAATTTTGTGTGTTGTAACCCATTGCCCGAGAATTTTAATTGCTTTAGATTTATTCATTTCTGGCTTATGCAAGTTTCGTGCCTAAAACAATGCTAGTTGGTAAATAACGTACACAATAAATTTTCGAAATCGCCATTCACACAAGTCGTTCATACTAGAGATGTACTGGTGTATTGGTATCGGCCATGTATCGGCCATGTATCGGCCGATATTCCCGATATATTTACCTTTTTGATATGATCCAGAATGTTTTAAAAGATAAGTTGGAATACTACTTTTTAATTTATTTTTTTGTCTGGAGAGATCGTGAGCTATGAGCCATACATGTCCCCACCCCCGCGAGAGGTGTATAGGATTCACGTGTTTTTAGCTATTTATCAGCCAAACTAGTTCAAATATTTTGGCTATTTTCGCTGTCAAATTTTTATATTGACATTTTTAATAATACATAGTAATTATGAAAAAAATGTATCAACCCAGCACATAACAAAAAGCAACTAAGCGCCCAGTTTCAAATCATACAGTGGAATTGGGGTCTTTATAAACAGCACCTGGACTTTTGGCACGGATATAAATTCTGACTGTTTGTCGTCAAGTACGAGTGTCATTTAGTCCATCGACATCGATAAACTAAATTCCAACACAATTATCCCTCTACGCAGGTATTAATTTTAATTTTGTTCAACTACACAATTACTTTATAGATAGATAGATATTGATATGACCGCCTGGCCCTAGAACCAGGGGTGGGCAACCCCTGGCATGCGTGCCAAACTTGGCACGCGAGACCATTTATTTGGCACGCAAGTGAGGCCTCGGGAACGAGATCATTCTCCTACAGATAAAGAGTTTCAAGACTCTGAATTATCTGATGAAACTAGGTGTTCGTTAATTCGTTATCGTTTGTTAACAATACGTTATTTATTTAAACTCTTTTTGTCCTTTCATGACATATGGCTACAATTCAAAGAAATATTTTATGATGTAACAAATGATTGAGCTCTCGAAAAATATTGCCGAGGACAGCGCAGCATTCATTTGGATACATTCTTACGTGATATTGTTCGCCTGCCACCCTTTCACTTCATTTCTGCTTGATTTATGAAGTTGTACAGCTCATGTAGGTTGAGATACTTGCTAGTTGCTACCTCACTGTTATAAATTTATTTATAATATAAGCAATTTATGAAGGAAATACAAGAGAGAAATGGCAGAAAACTAACTTTTACGTGATTGGGATGCCAATCCCGGAAATCTTTCGTGTCTTGAAAACTTTGCAACTGCATTAGTCTTCATGATTTTATCTGCATATGCTTGTGAATCTATGTTCTCAGTTATGAACTTTAATAAGTCTCGTAAATAGGAGTGGCCTGACTAATGAAACCTGTACATGTTCAAAAGGTTTATTATTGTGTATTTTCGTTTTGAAAGTAGCAAAGCGTTGTTTGTAATTTTGGTCGGCACGCGGAAGAATTTTGTAGATAAATTTAGCCGATTTTGGCACGCGAGCCGAAAAAGGTTGCCCACCCCTGCCCTAGACTGTCTCAAAATATATATATGATAGCAATTGTAAAATATTATAAAATAGTAAATTAAAAAAACATCCTCGACGGTTATAGGTAGGCCTTCTTTTTGTCGGTGCTGGTTGATATTATTTCATGTTGGCTTTGACTTATTGCGATTACGATTAGCCACGAAATAACATATTTGTAAAATGCTTTTAATTTGAACGTAGGACGGCGGCGCTAGAATGTGTGGGTGATATTCGATATTCTTTTAAACACGAATAACGATATTCGAAGGTCGCGGTATCAACATTAAATTTAAATTGGACATCCCGGCTTATGAGTTTCCTAATTGAACACCGAGATTACTAGCGTTACTGTACAATGTATCTTAATCAGTTAGAGCAAACACCAAACATTAATTTCATATTATGTGATATATCTTTTTTTTCGATCTGAAATAATGTGTACTATGTATGAACAACGCCCAAAGGCCATTGTTTCCATCCGTCTGCCCTACACAGCACACCTAATTAAGTAATGGGTATCGGAATATCGTTAATATCGGCCTCTTTGTAGTATCGGCATTGGTATCGGCGTTTTAGCTGGTATCGGTATCGGCGACAAAAGTGGTATCGATACATCTCCAGTTCATACAGCATTCGCGACATTCGAACAAGATCGAACAACGAGAGACAGAAATTAAGAAAGTTATGTCGAAGCCTGTCGCGCTGTCGGCCTCATGGCCTAATGGATAAGGCGTCTGACTTCGAATCAGAAGATTGAGGGTTCGAGTCCCTCTGGGGTCGTGTTCCCTGTTTGACTTTCTTGCACATTTCAATTTCCTATCTTATTTTAATAAAGACAGTTTTTCAACAGTTTCATCGTTCAACTTTTCAAAATTATGTTTTTGAATCGAAATGAGTGATAAGGATCGTAGCTTTAGAAAATATCATACAGGATTTAAAAGACCAGCCAATATTATAATGTTAGTGTGACGTCACAAGCAACAAGCAAAATGATAAATCTTCTTCAAAAGCTGTAATTTTAGTTAGCTTATTGAGCATATCATGTCGTGAGTAGGTTTATTTGGGTATCATTAATATGGAGGTTAACTCGTCAAAATCTGCGACTAGTATTGATGAAAGAACTCGACGAAACTACGCAATGATGGTTCCTTGTCTGAAGAGAACCTGTTTATCCGCAGAGAGTGCCTTGACCGGACGGCCAAATGTGGAAGATGTTCCCTTGTGTGCTAAGTTGCCTATGATTCCTGGAAATAAACTACTGTTGTACACAACAAATCTTTGCGAAAAGGTTCGTAATTTGTTTGTAAAAATATATATTTCAAAGATTATGTAGTTATACGCCAGACAATTAATGGCAATGCTAAGATCTTTGTTCTACCGGAATCTGAAATAAGAATCGGAGCCATGTGTTGTTCGACATTCTGCCTTAATGTAGGCTAGCCATATTTTCTTTCTTGAATATGACTTACCACACAGCTTCACCGTCCGTCCTGCGACTTCGATAGAACTTATCCAAGTGACGTATACGTTAGTAATGAATATAGATGTTTGCATGATCCACATTTGAGAAGTTTTTTTCTTGATCGACCTGCGATGAGAAGAAGACTACGAAAAAATAATTATATCACTCCGGAACAAAAGGTGAACAATCGTTGTAATCAGTTTTGTAGTTATTCTAAATGACGACAACACGTCAGACTATTTCCCACATTTTTTGTAGGTTATTTGTTCACTTCGAGAATATAACCTGTATCGCCAGTACCTGAAACATCTCAGTATTGAATATTTGAATAAGAAATATCTAGAGCAATATGAAAAAGAACGTCAGAAAAATAAAGAAGAGGCAGCTCGGACAATTGAAGAAAAGAAAAATGTAAGTATAAATCTCGACCCTAACGATGGAATAAGTATTAAACCTATTGGAAATTCATGATTATATTATAATTTAAAGTATATAAAATACATACCGAAGTAAAATTCAAAATGAAAATTCGTTGCGGTCATTTATCTTAAACATGTACCCTTACCCAATGTCCTCAGCGAATCCAGAGAATTTTGATACACCAATGTTTTAATAGGCCCCGAAGCCCGCCCTAAAGCAGTGCTTGGTTTTACCCACATTTGCTTGATATCAGGAAGTCAGTAATAGGGCCCGACCGATATATCGGCCTTGTTTTTCGTAAATTTCGAACTATCGGTATCGGCTAATTTTACCGATAGTTATCGGCCAATTACGTGACTGCCGAAGTGTTAAAATTGCGCCGGTAAAGCAGTTTTATCGCTTGCTCATCGGGAGCGGTTCAACCTAATCTTCTTTTTCTTGACTATTTTCATTTCTCCTTTATCAAAAAGCATTCTCTCGCCTTCATTTTGCGGTAGAATTTTTTTCTCCTGGTGCCCGGTGGCAAGAAAATAGCCATTTCATGCATGGTCGTAACCTAAAAGTTTTTATCGGTAATGACTTTCTGAGAAAGTGCACAAAGCGAAAAAGGCAATTTAGCATCGTAGAAAACGCTAGTTCTATAAATGGAATCGATTTGGAGCTGTTGAGTTAGTAATCAAAGGAACATGGTACAAGCAGCTCAGGGCTGAAACAGGTATTGTTGAATCCTTATGATGGTGATACCTTCTTTCAATGGAATTTCTCATGATGGCAGTACTTTGTATTATCCATCTATTTACCAAACCAAATAATTGCCTTCTTGCATTTTGATGGCTGTTGTACAGTAACAATATTATAGTCATCAAATAAAAATTTCATCAAACTAGTTCCGATTTTGTTCAATGCAATTTTGACTTTCTTGAGCAACAGTTTTATCTATATTTTTGGTTGTTATCATTTTGCTGAAAATTACACACAAAAAAAACAACATGATAATAGGATTAAAATAGCATCTACGAGCTTTGCATTGAAACTGAATCCATCAGAATCAAGTAAATTCCGTATTGAAAGTCTGTGCAATGTTCAACTCTCAACAGTTTCCGAAACCCTGATTTTGGAGTCCTCTAATTTTTTTTGACAGTTCATAGAGGCGTGTTATCTGCTATTATAATTCTGAAAACATAGTTAAAGAAAATATCAGCTGTAGGTTTGGTGTAACTGCACATACGTTATCACAACATTGAAGGGGAAGCCTTAATAGAGACAGATTCAGGATTGCGCAATATATATGGTTTGATTCGACAAAAATATTCGATTCGAATCGAAAAAATATTCAATATGGAAAGAGAATACCCTCATTTGAATAACAATAAAAATATAATAGAATTCGATCAACGTTTTGTTATGGATTTCATTTCTTTTGCAAGAAAAACACAGAATTCTCAGAGTCTTGTTTGCTACTTGTATCCATCTATTTATGCGAGGAAACATCGGTATCGTTACCGGCTTATCGGTCTAGTTTTAGAAAACTATCGGTATCGGGATCGGTTTAAAAATGCAGTATCGGTCTGGCCCTACTCAGTAATACTCTGCATGTATTAACTTTAGGATGTTGACAATCCAATAACAGTAAGGATAGAGAAGGCACGTAAAATCCGAATGGCTATAGAAAAAGAACTTGAGGGTAAAAAGAGAGAAGTTTTGAGGGAATCACAAATCTATAAAGAAAGGAGAGCCAGAGAGAAGAGAGAAGAACGTATGCTGAGAATTTTGAACGAGGAAATGAGAGAAAGAGAAAGAGAAAATAAAAACATCAGAAGGCAGCAAAGAAATCGAAGTGAGTAATCTCCATTCCAGAACAACGGTTGAAACAAGCCTTTTTTACCTAAAATTGCTATAGGCACTGGCAGATTTATGAGCGAATTTACCAATCAAGACACTTGGATGAAACAATACAGGGATATGTATCATATGCTATCTTCAAGGTACAGACTCTCAGACGGAAGACGATTTGTTCCAATATACTCAGCCCAACCCGTATACGGCCTTTTCTTTCAAAATTCAGTACATTTTGGAATGTTTCATTATTGAATAAGAAATAGAAGATCGAATAAAACATTCGTTTCAATGCCGCCCAATTCGGAACCAATTCTCTATTTTCTTGATATATTTAGAACATATGTATGAGGGAGGCACTGTTGGATTGGAAACATAAAGAAGACTTGAAGCGAAGGAATTGTTTGAAGAAAAGTTGAAAAAAGAACGGAAACACAAAGAAAGGTTATAAAGTGTAGAAAAATTTCACCTTTGCATATCTTCGTCTCAATGAATCCGAAGTGTTGAAATTATATCATGGAACAGCATATGACGTTTTTCATTTGTCCACGTCTGACGTACTTTTCTGATATATAGTTTCACTATAAAAAAACACTTTTTCAGAATCCTGATAACGAATTATGAAAAAAGAAACAGTTTCACCATCTCAAAATGATCGAGTTGAAAAGGATACTCGTCGATGAAAGAGGCAAGACGAAAAGCCAGGGTTTCTCGTTGGGAGAAATATTTTACAAGAAAACAGAAAGCTCTATCTGGTAAATCTTGTCCGATCTCACGTAAACTTTAACCTTCATTCGTCCGACTAATTAATTTAAAATAAATTTGTATTATGCTTGGACTGTCCGCAATAACAAACCATCAATACGATTTTTCATCTAATTTTCTAACAATAGAATTAAAAATAACCTGTTTCGCGTTTATCATCATATGGCGGTATGTGGTGACCATACATAATGTATTCAGCCGCCCTGGAAGATTTAAAAAAAGAGAAGCAAAAGCTAGAGAACAAGAGAGAAAAATATTGGATGAAAGATTAAAAGCTAGGGGTGGACGGGCATAGCATGCAGACCGAAGAAACCTACATCGATAGATGGGCAAAGAAGGTATACTTACGATTGAGTTTTGAATTTTGACTAACACTTTTTAGTGGTGCCCTCTACATTACACATTGTCTCACAAATTCAATTCGCATATTTGTTACTAACGTGACATATCGATTGTATCATTTACCATGGCTTGGTCGAAGAATTTATATATTTAATTAAGACAAATAATTGGAGGAAGTCAAAAATTGTTTTGATGAATAAAAAAAAATTGAAACGGGCATATATAAATAACACCAATTCTACAAAAATACAAGTATTGCCTACGGATTATATTTACTTAGTAGATCATAGCATTTAGTGCAAGGTAAAAGCAATCCAGTATGAGGTCAAAAACATCGCGAAATCTGAGTTCCTTCTTGGTAATTTGTTGTTTATGTTTAGTCTTTCCGAATCGGCCATTTACAAAGTTGGCGATGGAAGTAAAATGGCGAAAGCCGATCTTGTTCGTCAACTTAGTGCAATGGGATTTCATAACGTCATGATGACGCCTGACATATTGAAGGCGATGTGGAGCGTAAGCAACGAAAAACTACTGGGTATGGTTTACGAATGTATACAGTAGTCGAATTTCTATAATATGATCTATCATCATTTGAATGATGGCCAAAATGCTTTGTTCGGATCTTCTGCGACGTAGTTAATTTAATGCATACGAAAAACACAAATAAATAGTAAGGAAATTTGCAATCATTATGTCTTGCATAAAGAATTAGCATCAAAGTGTCAAGTGTATATATATGCTTTATATTACCACGGAAATACTAATATGAATATAGGTGTTTTAGAACATGCCTTTCGCTAAGCATTCTTCCAACATTTACTGGCAAATTTGATTGATATGCGAGCAAACGAATCTCCAGCGCAAATGTTTTTTCGTGTATCTCCAAAATTGTGGTGTGGCAGTACTCCAGCCTACGGAGACAACGATGCGCCGCTGAGAGTTGATAGCATTAGTACGCAGGGTCATTATACTAAATAAACAAGCCAAATTTAGTTCACTTAATTATTATTGGAAAAAGAACTGTGTAATTCAGTCAAAAGCATATAAAATAATGTGTTTTCATGACTTTCATGACTGACCGTGAATTTTTATTGGTGTTTGCAACAGGGATTTAGAGGCAGTATGTGACCTTCTGAAGGATGTGCAGTCGACTTATCCTTCAGATCTTCTTTAGTTTGGTGCCTATGCCTATCAAAGCCAATTAATTCCATTTTCTCAGTGCCTCTGTTGATATTCTGATATTATTTTAAATTACAGAAAATGGGTACAAGTAAGGTAATGTCCAGACTGCCTGACTACCGAACCACGGGTACCCTACTGGTATAGACTTTTGGTATAAGGTTATGAGGGTTCACCGGTACTGATACATAGCTTATTTAACCTATGGAACAGGTAAGTTGATAAGACGGCTTAATTTCAAGCACTTTGTACGCGCGTTAAAATGTCGTTCGTTTGAATTATCTTAGTATACCAAAAAAAGTCATGCAATGTCCTAACGATACTGAAATCTACATTTTTGTGGAGCGCCGATATTATGTTCAAATTTTGCCTCGGTTTTTTATCAGACTCAAAATTTATTTACTATGCAGAGGATGCACGCTCATCTGGAGACGCCGTGCCAGTGAGGCGAACATTATCACAGCAGGCTCGACAATTCTGTGACGAACTGATGAAGCACGGCTACGCATCTGAGTACGTACGTCACGTCATTGAAATCGCCCATGAAATGGAAGAAACTTCACGCAATGTTGTCTCACAGGTTATCGACGTCAGTAAAAATGTTCTACTACCGATGCTTGAAGCGTACGAAGAAAAGACTGGAATCAACGTATCCACTGCGCAGGTATAAAACAGGTCTCACACCGAGTAACGCTAAGAATTTCTGTATTTGCAACGATAGTTCATTTGGGTTCATATTTGGTGAGTATAATCATTACATGTTTCACAAATTTGCTTTTGTAATATTGAAACAAGGAAACCCGAACGACAGAATCGATAAAAATCTCAATTTCTTATAATCAGATACCAGAAACCTTACACGATTTATGCTCTGGTGTTTTCGACGAAGAAGAAGATTTTCTTCCACAAATAGTTTCTTTCAACGATCTAGGAAGAGCAACTATGAGAGCGGGACAAAAAGATTCAAATGTTAGGTAAGCGAATAAATATGATATATTATCCCACAGACTAATCTGCAACCAGTCGTAGTATAACAAGTCTTGTTTCCCATTTTCATCAGTCTGATATATGTTTAGCTTTGTATCATTTGTCACGCTTTTTCTCTGCCTAAATTGAATGCTATCAGTTTGCACATTTACCGGATTTCACTTTAATTTGGAACGCATTTATCTAATTAGAAAACATCAGCTGCACTAAAAATCACACTATTTTTTTTACCTTGCGCTGAAATAATTTTTCGGCTTTCTATATGATTTTGCATATTTTTTCATACTCAGCTTTTCAACTTTTTTGCGTGAAACGCGGCGAAGTATAGTTTCTTGATAGATCGAAAAATAAGGCATCTGAATGCTGTCCCAGGCCGGAGAATCTATTCAAATATAACGACTAGATGCCGTCCTTATGTTCTTTATTCCTTACTGTTATATTCAATTCATAGGTTCGTTGTGTCGAACACGGATTTACCTTTAGAGTTGAAAGGTCACCCGCAATCGACCAACCGACTCCTAAGAGGCGAGTGAAGTTCTCAGATGACTCTCCTGATGAATCAACTGGTATGTTTTATGCTGGCTACTTATGTCTAATTGCCAATGATTGTTTCCAAGGCGGGAAATAAACATTTGAATTAAAGTATCATAGGAAGTATTAGGTTGGATGAGAGTGCTGTAATTCAAATCCTCGTGAAGTTAAAATCTAGTAACATTTTCCGAATATGCGTAATATGTTTGTTGTTGTCTTCCTACCTATATTTTAATGAAACTTTGTCCAGATTTAATAGTAATGCTCTTGTAGATTCATATATAGATATATATATATATATTACGTAGTCATATAAATTGAGTTGAGTTGCAAGCGGAACATTCGTTTTAAATTTTTATGTATTCAGAGTGATTTGGACATTACGCGGAGAACACTCACGTAGTACTTGAGCAGACTATCAACAAATTATCAGAAAAAATAGTCAGAAAGTTTTTGTCAATTGCAATCTTATTCAGCCTGACATGACAAGGTAAGGAAATGTACTAAAACCCCACAAGGCATTGATCACTGTTTACTCCTGGCTTCTAGTTGTTAACAAGTTGAATGATTGCTACCAGACTTATGCACAGTACACAGAGAACATAAATAGTAAATCTAATGGACTGAATAGCATTGCCTCTCACCCCCCCCCCCCCCCCCCCTTTCCCTGGCTACGACTATGTGTGTTACACTTAATCTAATATAGAACCGATGAGGAATTGGAAAGCCATTGAGCATCGTCCCAGGGCTGCGGCTGGAAGTGCCAAGCCTACCAGCACCCCGGGTATAGGGTGTAATGAAGCATTTTCTTGATTTACTTACCATCGTTATGCATGGTCGCTGTTTTTCTTTGCTGATTCTTCGGACCTCAATCGGCGGGGCCCGAACTCACGTTTCTCTAAGTTTATTCATTACCAATCTTGAATAGGATAGGATTTACATATTTATCCCTGGAGAGAGGGAAGCCGATAAGACGGCTTAACCATATGGCAAACAACGGCCTCTCGTCAGGTTACTATTTCATGTCGGGTATGGGATTAGTTGGTTATTTGCTTTCGGAAGCATGAACTTGATGACGGAGGAAGCCGTAACCGACCAGCGGTTACGTAAACCACCCTGCGACGACGAGGAGTTCAGCAATCCTCTCGCACATAACCATCCTTGCATGGGGCTCGAACCTGCGAAGATAAATCAGTGGGACGGTGGCGAGCGTATTCTTAACGCTTAGCACGATGAGCCACATTGCCGCGCACCGCACGCTTTCGTCGCTCCACACGGCCGGATATTACTTTATTGTTCTTAGCATCCTCCCAGTTTTTTAAATTATAAAAAGTTTCTCATGAAATTGATCATCTTCTCACTTACAGAGAAGAAATGCAAGAACGTATTAACGAAGTGGCAAAATCTATTCTTGACGACGTTTTTAATTTTCGGAATAAACAATGTAGAAACCAAGAATGAAGTAGTCGAATCCAGTGTTGAATCTGTTAGCGACGACTCAGGGCATTCATTAGAAGAAAAAATCAGTCATCTTGCTCGTCAACTCATCAACGGCGTCATTTGGGAAGCCAAAGAACCAAGAGGTGATTCTGATTCTGGTATTCAAGTATAGGAATAGCCTTTCATAAAAGTTGATAAATTCAGTTAGTGCCTAAGGTATATGCAGTAATGACGAATATTCAATAATTAGGCCGCAATGTAAGTAATCAATCAAACAATAAAGAAACTCAGTGACGTCGGTAATCCAATTTTTTTCTAAAGTCTTGAGATAGTGGTTTTTAATCGGCTTTTCGGAGCCAATGACCCTTTTGACGAACTTGTCAAAAGTACTCGTCCAAAGGCCACACTTCTTCAAAAGACGGATGCGCCCTCAGATGTGTGTATGTAACAACATTCTCCCGAAGGACTTTCACATGAACACTATTGTGAAACTTGACAATGTTTCTTATGTAATAGTGAAAAAACGAACACTAAAGTGTTTAGAAGTGTAATAACATTTTTATTCATATGAGCTCGATCTTGTGTTATCATGTATTTTGCTAGACCACGTTGGCGGGTATTTTCGTTTTCATTTTTTGAACGCTTGTGAACTTGGGGTGATGCTGTCATCGTCACACAACCAGGACAATCTCCAAATGTTTCCCTTCAGTTGTCGTCGAATAGTGTATAATGCGAAGTAGGGAAGTATATATAAAAATATAAATGCTCAACATTAAGGGGAAATTTATTTATTTCCTATATTTTAAATTTTAATACTTTGAACTCGCATGACATGCCTACGTAATGAATACAGTCTGTGATCGCCTATACTTATTTTCAAGTCACTAACCTTATTATCATGACGTGCTTTTTATTTTTTTACAGATGTAGATTCGACTCGATCGTCTTCTGGAAGTTCTTTCGTATCTACAGGGTCAAGTATGAGCGTTTTAGCTCTCCGTGTTGTCAGGTCCATTCTAGGAACTGTTGACCCGAACACTGGAAAGTCGATTAAAGAGCACACAACATCTTGCGAAAGCCTTCAAGATAAAGTTGCAAAATTATCTGCCTTAGTTGTGGAAGAGGTGCGCATCGTATAATATAGGATAATATTTTTGAAAGAGCGTTAAATATTTTCTGAAACTGATAGACCAGCTGCCATTAAAGCAAAATCGTGTTTTTGTATTCGAGTTTCCTTTCCAACTCAATTTTTTGGCCACATTGTTGTACGCTCGACCATTTTTCTTCAGTGCTAAAATTAGGCCCTTGTTCCAGCAAGCTTATTCCAGTTAAGATCATTCCATTGATGACATTAATGTTTTTTTGTTATAGGGACCGGAGGATAATAACCTCAATGACAATAATAATTTATATATCATCATTTGCTATCAAACTCCATGCCATAAATGCCATTTCTGCTCCCAAAGATTTTTTCGCGGGTAAAGTCAAGACTAATATGCAATACCCTGAGCTCTTCGATCACGTAACCTGTATAACAACTTTTTTTTCTTGTAATAATTTATATTGCCCCCTTCACAGGTTATCAAAGAAAAGCGAAAGCAAACTGGAGTAAATGTTGATTCGAACGGATATGCTGAACTAGAAGAAAAAATATCGAAACTTGCTCTCAATATTGTGACGTCAACAATAGAAGGTATTCGACATATAATAGTACTAAGTGTCTGTTTAACTAAATTTTTACGTTTTGATCGTCCCTCATCCTTCATTAAAGTCAATTCGAAGATAAAGAGTCATTAAAACTTGGTTTACAAGTTACACTCTCATAGATTACAAAACATAGCCAACTGGGTTTAGATATATATAACATACATCGCTTCGTTTGATATAAAAAAAAAACTAGAATTCTAAGAGTGTATATTGTCGCGAATAATAGTAACAAATATTATCTTGTAATTACCTTATCAATCAAAATATAAATTTTACTTGACAGGAAAGCGTCCTCATTCAACATCATCCACATCTTCATTATGCAGCGCCGAACTGGAAGAAAGGGTTATTGAATTATCAGCTCACATCGTAGGAGGAATCATATCCTTGAAAAAATCCTTCCAAAAGACGGCAGACGCAGGGAATCATCAGATATCAAACCTAGTAAGTAATATTTCAAATCATATTATCAAGTTAGAGTATAGGAAAGCCTCAACTGCGTCACCATGAGTTTAATACCATTTTGTGCCTTTGTGCGGATTCCGGTTCGGTATAGGTTATAGTGAGAAATAGAGGTGGCCTCAACAGCCATTTGGATTGCCTCCTCCGTGAAAGACTATACTATACAGCTGCCATAAGACAACTAAGATAAGACGGCGGGCATTACCTGAGACAGAATCTATTCTCGGTTTTGATACATTCAAACAATTGTTCGGTTTGTTCGTGCGAACCCGTTCTTGGAATGTTGTTGCTATCAGCGAACCACAGCGGACGACAAGAGTTCTATTTGACGTTTCGAATGTTATGTATTGATTTATATATATATATATCGTAGTAAAGCGTGCTATGTTAATGTAGCTTATGTAGTGGACAAACATGCGTTTTACGAAATGAGGGAATCAGTTGTTAGTACGTTAGAAAAACTGTTATTACGATTTTGAATCACATCACTGCGAACAACCATTTATTTTAGGGGTGTGCAACCTTTAATACAGAAGTGCCAGATACAAATAACTGGGTAAAACCGCGGGCCGCAACTTTATTTAACATAGGCTTTCTAGTAGTCACACAAGTTTCGGTTATTGATCTTATGACATGCGTTGTTCGCTTCGCACAAGCTAGCTGTTAGGCCATTGTAACGTCATAGGCATAGATAATAAAATGGACTCAGGTATAGACTTTGCAACGCAAAGAGATTGGAATTACTCGCACATACCAGATTAAACTAAATTAAAAAGCTCATTTCGTGGGCCGCACACAATTCAAAATTGGCACTTCTTCGCGGGCCACACAATTATTCTTGTGGGCCGCATTTTGCCCGTGGGCCGCAGGTTGCACACTCCTGATCTAGTTTACCATTTAGTTTGATGGCAATATCACTTGCTGATTTATCTTGTACTGTTGAAGGTAATAGTGTTGAACGTGTCCTCAGAGAAATATTCAACTTGGACGCATTAGCAAATGCACCAACGAATGTTCTTCAGAGAGTTACGGAAAGAGATGTTCGGAGATTATCTGATGATATTGCAAGGTACTTACTTTATTGATGCAATAGAAATAGAGACGTGTAAATATTTAACATGGTTTCTATGTCCGCCAAAACGACGAAGGATACTCCGTTAAGTTGGCATTTTTAACTCAGACCGCAATCGGCATGTAAGTATACAGTAGTTTGAAACGAACTTGCTTTTCAGACGTAAATCCGATTCAACACCAAAATAAATTTTCTTACATATTTGAATCTCTGAAACGACAATAATTTATGAATAAATATGACTTCTGTTGCAACAAAATGCTGGGTTAAATTGTTTGTGTGTTCGTTTAATTAATTAAATTACAAATCGAAACCGGAACTGGATAGAGCCGACGTGATTTTGAGATTTAGAGTTTATTTGCTGGCGTGAAATCGTTTTTAAAATCGGAATCGTAAATTAAAAAAATTGGGAGCTAACCTTGGGACATTCAAACTAGTGAAACGTTAGATTCGAAGACTAAAAATTTCTTAGTCATATTTCGTAGTAGTACCAAAGTGGTGATCTAGAATCAAATCAAAAATTTTTCAACTTGATGTCGAAGCTGACAGTTTTGCTACCGGAAGTCGGATGAACGTATTCTCCAATCTGGTTCCTTGGTGAATAGCCAGTTACGATTTCCCATTCCCAAATTAATGTTTTTCTCATTTGATTTGCCAACTTTTAATGTACGTTGCGAAGCTTGCATAGTAATAACATTTCGCTGTTACATTTCAGACGACTTGTACCTCCCAGAGATGACTCCTCTGCTATGTCATCGGGAATGAGCAAACTAGCTGAAGCCCTAACCGGGGAAGCTATGGCAAAATTAATGGATAGTAATGAAAGTACCGTAGGGTCGTCTATGTCCAACGCAGTAACTGCTCTAGCAGACACTATTGTCGTGGTAAACTTTTATGTTATTTCTAATACATATTCTTCATTTGGATAGATACGAAATCTTTTCAAGCGTTGTGTAAATTCTAATCTTAACTGAATCAAAAATGAAAATCAAACGATATTTTCTTAATTAGACAACAACCAACTTTGTTGTAGTGGGAATGGAGTGAATTGTTTTCACCTAGAGCAGAGTTTTGGACACGAAGTGTACATTTTTATTCGAATTCGCGTGCTTTAAGTAGGACGGACACGAAACTGCCACGTGTTTCCATGCAATCGAATATATTTATTACACACTCTTGTGCTTTATGTATGGCGTCATGAATTTCTAAACACTGGATGCTAAGACTCCCTACGCAGACCCAACAAAGAACTAGAACTCACATCAGCGCATTATTGCATCAATCTTTCCTAGTAATATTGGCCATGAAAACACATTTTACCAGTCAAAGATTTCCACAGCGGCTGTTTGGTTGCGCAGATATAACTGTATTATAGCAAAATGCGGGTCACCGTTCTATTTTCTTATGCTCGAGAAGTAAGCGTAAGAGTAGACCACGCATTGCCTTATATATATATATATATATATTACTTTAATGAAATTTTTGTTCTTAAAATATTAAAATGATGTTTGAAGTGTACTCACAGGAAACACTGACTGACCAACAACTACTTTCTGATGAATCCAAATTGAGTTCGGCTATCAGTGAAATTGCACAAGTAATAACCGACAGTGCATTGGAAAGCAAACTCTCTTCCCAATCTGCTATGAGTTCTGGAGCTAGTAGACTAGCTGGGGCTGTCATTGGAGAAACAGTGAGCAATGTAAGACAATATAACTTTAGAATAATATTACTCAAATTACCTACGTAAGCCAAATATTTTCGAATTGGCTATATATTCACAAGCTCGGAAGAAAACTTCGGACGTTCTCATTCAGTCAATTTAATCTTTTAAATGTTGGTTTCGAGAATTCTTATAACTGGGAAATTTATGTTTTGTAGTTTTGACTTGGATCTGGTATATCTTATATCTCCTGTCAAGTTCTAATTTGCAAAACTTAGGCCCAGCAGCAGTAGGGCACGGATTTATGGTCAAACCCACCATTTGAGTGGCCTCTCCGATATGGGATATTGGGGTGCTATATAGACATCTGGCTTTTTAGCCAGCTAGAAAAGACGTGTAACGCTAATCAGGCTCATTCTTTGGATGATTTCAAATGAGTCTAGCGCAAATGCAAAATGGTGATAAATGGGTACTCCAGTAGTATGTGTACCAGGTCAGGGTTAAACCATAATTTTATTTCGATTTTCTTTATTTCTAGTACAATTACGAGTTCGGGGACTGTCTGTGTTAGCCAAGTGAATAAACCCCTGCCCACAGGTTTCGGTTCCTTTGCAGAACTTGATGTAAAATAGGCGAACAAAATGAGTTACCTTTATATTGGTACACAGACTTCTGGAGCGCCGATAAATGTGCCAAAATTCGTGTTAAATTTGTCGTAAAAATTCCGGATTAAAAAAGTGAGCCGTGGTTATATAAAGTGTTGAAAAGTATAACAAAGATTAATACAATCGAAAGCAAAATAAAAGTAAAGAGAAAGGGGCGAAACAGATCACATGTACCGGAGCATTTTGAAGCCAAAGTAAAATCTCTCGCGACCACAAAATGTTGACTAACCACGTTTAATAAGACCTATATTTTGCTTATTTAGCAGATATAGCGACATGAAACCTGGACTTTTAATATTATAACAGGCAATTGATCAGACGGTGAAAAGTTCGACTGAATCAGTTATCAATAGTGGAATTAGCGATCTTGCTGATACAACTGTAGATGAAACTGTACATCGGGCTTGTATCGTGGATAGTTCAACTAAATCTGCAATAAGTTCGGGTATAAAGGTTAGCAAAGTTTCAACAAGTGTATCATTAACAGTTAACCATTGGATCCATTTGTCACAAATCACTTTTCCGTCGAATATTATTTAAAATAATTATTTGAGTAAGCATGAGAGTGTACAGTAGGGGTTCTCGTGAATTCCTGCCTATTTTGGAAATATTTATTCTTCTTTCCCCTTATTCATAAAAATCCTTTATTTGTTTGATCTTGATCTTTTGCTAATGTTATGCGCAAGTCACTCTCCCGTTTTTGTACAGTTTAGGTATTCTATAAGGTGTTCACGAATAGGTATTATACTAATTATAAAAAAAAATAAAGAATGTTACTGATACTACAGCGAATACAAAGAAAAATCCCCAAAACGGCCTCCATGAGGAATTTCTCCCCTGTTGGGAAACGTTGGTGTACAGAGATGAACTCAGAGTAGCATTCCTTACAATGTGAAAGGCTAGAACGGGACCAATCCGTCGCTGATGGTTCTTTTATCATAAAGCACATTTAATCAAATAATGTCCTGAGCGCGAGCATTGGCAAATAAGTGATGGTCACGCGAATTAAAAAGACACTCATTCAAAAATATTTAACATTGAAGAAAATTTTAGCGTAATTTATGCAGATGTACAAACTTTGCTATTGTTTGAACACCATCCTACTCACTGACAAATAAGAAGTAGGTGTTCTAAAAAAGTTAGTAAAAAATACTTGAATCTAATACTACTGCTACGTATAAATACAATTTGGAGATACACCCCACCCTTTTCAATATCTGTATTGAAAAAGTTCTGATCTGTCAACTTTTTTTGTAGATGTTAGCAGAAAAAATCACTCAACAAGCTTTAGACATGGCTGCCGCTGATCCTGAAGGAATAGGAAGTTCAACTCGTTCAGCGATTAGTTCAGGTGCAAGTCAACTTGCTCTTCACATTGCACAAATGATAACAGGACAAGGAAGGTTTGTATGAAATTGTATGATCATTGACAAGAAACAAACTATATTAAAATTTTGATAAAATATTGATGCTTGATATATATATATAAATGCTTGATAAAATATTCGCTCAAAAATTTAATAAAAGATAATGATATTGTACTTTAAAATCGTTTCATACGACACTCGCCCAGAATTTCAGTGTGCTCGATGACCCAGTGGGTAGAGCGCTGAAATTTAACTGTGTTAGCATCACTGAATATCCTCGCATATGAGACTCTCTAAAAACGGCCATGAAACAGTGAATTCATAAAAATTCGCATATAAGCCGACCCTAAAATTCGTACGCTCTTATCGTGAGAACTTATTTTAATACTCTTGTTACATTAACATACACGCTGCTTCATATTTAGGTATCTTTTTATGCTATTAATTATAATGCGACACTGATTCACTTACTCAATATCTATCATACTTACAGCATTTCTGCTTCTACTCTGGAATCGGTCCTCAGTTCTGCAGTGAGTGATCTTGTAGCGGACATGATTACTCGACAGGTTCTTCAGAAAATAGGCGAGAAAGACAATTCAATACAAACTCCTCATCTTGCTAATGAAATAACAAGACTCGTGCAGAATATTCTTGGTGTTCATACAAGGTAAATATATTTTACAATATTTTAGAATGATTTCTTAACAGAAAGAATATTTAGAAATTTGAATACATAGAGCAGCGGTTCCCAACCGGTGACTAGGCTTGCACGTAATTGACAAAAATCAATTCCGTAATTACGGCCAAATCGATTACGTAATGACCCCGTAATTGCGATATTTTTTTCACACATTTAAACCTAGCATACCAACCAATTTAATCCACTTCTATTCCGAATGGGACATCGAAGTTTGGTTTTCATATTCCCGGCAGTACCACACGCCGGAGACAGATGTTAAAGACAAATATCAAGGAGTGAATTCAAAATAATTTTATTCTGATTTTTATCTTTTGTATTAGCTTTGATTTTCCTTTATCAACTTTATCACCAAATTTTATGCGATCAATTTATCATTACCAACACTGGTAATATATTTAAGAAACGATAGTTCACTTTTTTAAAATCGTATTGACGTATTAATACGACTTTCGTATTGAATAAAAATTCCGGGTTGCTAATTTATTAATCAACTACAAGCGTATTCTCTCGTTTGATTATACTTTCGCTTGCCTCGCGACGAAGACTTGTTATTTCACCGTTTTTTACAATATCCGACTTTACTACTTAGTTAGCATTTTATAATAATTATTGATGCCGACTTATTGACGATATTCCGAATTCCATGCTTCATTTTACATTAAATCATTTCGCGGCCTAAATGTTATAACATTATTTACGATAAATTTAGATCAAATATTAATTATTTGCGCATTATTTAAAATACCGTACTTATATGACATGCCTTCTCCGAAAATACAAAGTTATATCGCAAAACAATGCATTTTGTGACATTTATTTTGCACTCATGAAAATATTAATTTATTTTTCTAACTCAAGTCGACAATCCTATTTGCCAAGATTGACACAAGTTTGGTCGAGTGCCGGTGGTATTCAGGTCGACGATAAATCAAAATAAGTTGCCGCATTTGGTAAAGACAGGTAATCATATTTGGCCGACATATTGCGATTTGCGAGGCATTGTGGAAAACATATTGAGCAATGCCAAGTCCGGACAGATATATAACGATAAAACCGGTAACAGAACATCAAGATTTTGTAATAGAAAATGGATTTCGCGCAGAATAAACACGGGAAATCCCGTCGTAATGTTGTTTCTCTGCCGTCTCAATCGCTTTACCGATGCCGAAAGGACTAAGTTGCGTTGGTTCATTACGCAATTTCTCTTCCGTCTCTTGCTGTTTGATAAGCGCGACATTAATTATCACGACATTTACAAATAGACCATGTTTTATAAGTTGATCTCTTACATTCTTCACTCATTTCACCCGAAGAAGTTGAAACCAGGTGTGTTGGCGTCCATCGGTCTCGACACAATTCTATTCCTTATTTACGGTTAATATGTACATTGGCCATCTTAGATAAGTTGATAATAGGTTAGTAAATGACGCGTTATGCCCTCCCCATCTGCCTAACAAGAGAGAGAAAACGGCTGCAAATACCGGAACTCTAACTTCTTTTACTTAAACTTTAATTTTTTATAATCGACGGAATTGACTGCTCTGAAGAGAGCTCGTTTCAATCGCGAAAGCGCTCGACCAATAATTACGACTTTACGTAATTCGTGACTTCGCTTGCGTAATTCGAAATAATTCCGTAATTCCGTAAATTTGTAAATTACGTGCAAGCCTACCGGTGACCCGTGGCTTCCCAAGGGAGCCACAATGCAATTGGAGGGAGCCATCATGCTAGGCGCGAAACTGATTTTGCTTTTGCCTTTACAAGAAAACTCCCTTTTCTTCCAAGTTTCATTGCTTGACAAGGTTATTTCACCGGGTGTTTTCACTTTTTTGTGCATGAATTGTTTGAAGATAATGGGATTCAGAATCTATAATAATATAATAAGATTCAGAATAAACTGGACAACTTAATTAGGTTAGGCCCGGATTTGGAAATTTGAAACTATTCGTTTCCAAAACTGGTGATATTGAGCTACGGGAAAAATGAGAAGTTTTACCAGTTTACAAACTCGGCGATATAATATACAATATAACCTTTTATTTAACTAACCTTTTTTCAATTCTCCATATTATTTACGATATCTTACTCACTTCTCATTTTACATCTTTCATTCAGTGAAAGCAAAACATCAAAAACATCTTTGGACACGAGATCAAGCAAAGGTAAATTTTAAAAATATTTACAACGGTATTCGTTCAGCATATTTTGCATTTTGAATTTCAGCACATTGAATCATTTCAGTTATTCACTTGATCGTAATTACCTGATACATAAATCATAATGGTATCACTCCTTCATGGAGGAGACTTAATGAGAATACTTAATGAGAATAAGTTCGTTTATCTAGCCTTGTTCTATGAACCCTCCTTTCCTATTTGCCTCTAAAATATAGCTTTATATTTTAGGCTTAGGTACCTTAGGTGTATATACAGACAGGATAGATCTTTTGCCGCTTATTCACCGTTACAAACTTATATTATAATAAACTACAAAACCACACGCGTGAAATATCATTCACTTATGCGAACTCGAGACAGTAATCTTCGAAACCGCATATTCGGTTTTGTTTTGACCTATAATCAACCAACCGTGACCAGATTGTTTACGTTTTGTCCCATTTTTGTGTTTGTATGTTTCATTGGTCGTAAAGGTTAAGCATAGTATTTGCACAATTTTGGTTGTCGTATGGTCTGAGGTCTACCATAAGGTTTGCAGTGATGACAAAAAGTAACATAGTGTTGTTTTCACTATAACTGATCAGTCACATACGATTACCCTAAATGCACAGCTTACCTCAACACGTTTCTAATTACCTATGAACTTAGCGTGTACCAACATTGTCTAAATAACACTCCACAAATTACATATTGTACACTTTAATGTTTATAAATTACTGCTGTATTGTAATATGGCCCAAATTTCTGAATCGTGTTGAGAAAACTTGTAAACTACTTGTAGAGCATTATTGTATTATAGTTGTTGTATTGCTAATATTACTATAATACTTGCCATATCTTGTTTTGTCTATAACTTGATAGAATTTGTTTTATTTTTATCAGATGTGAGCAGTTCAAGTGCACTGGAATCTGGCGTTAGTGATCTGGCATCTGATGTTGTCAAAGAATTATTGTTGACTAAAGATTCAGAAGAAAGACGTAAGATTGATATTTGTATAGTTCGAGGGAAAAATGGAAACAGTCAACCTAGTTTTAATTGTGAAGTGTATCAGTTGGCCCTAAAGCACAAGAGAACAGGTTAATGATGGCAGAAGAAACAGGGGTTATGATGATTTATATAGAAAACAGTTGTAAGTGTTAAGGACAATACCGAATCTGCCCTACATCTCGAGTGTTAGGGCCCATCGTAAAAATACAGTTTCATAACAAATGCTCACTCGTGATTGCCCAGTTGTCGATCGATGCAAAAAAAAATCCTTATGTTCTTCTTATAATCCCAAGATATAACGCGTAAAATACCCAACATTGTTTTAAACAGTTGACGAAGAGCCGTAAAAACTTCTAATGCAGTATACTTATGAACAAATAATCAGTTATAACACTTACTAAAGTTGATAAATTTATTAAAATTCAAACAAATGACTAAAATATATTTTCATCCTGGTCTCGCCCCACGAATTCACATTCGCCAACAGGCGAATGCTACCTGTACAAGTTAAACCCGTAAATAACTCGGCGAGCTGATTATAACTGAAGTTCTCGGTCTTTCTGAAGTCGCGGTCTTTTACGCTTGAGTCTGTGCTTGCTTAGAGAACCGTTGTCAGGCAAACTTCTAAATTTGTAATTTTCTGTAATTATAATTTAAGTATTGTATTATTTTAGCGTCTGATGAAAGTGCTGCTTCTGCGATCAGTGCAGTCGCTGCTCGATATGTTCATGAAGTACTTGGTGTTGTAATTGATGACATCAAAGTTGAAGATGATATCATTCCCGTTCACGTTCAAGTAAGTACATATGGTTTCAATAAATATTAGTTTACTGAATTTACTGGGATTTTATTTCGGATGTACTGTCATATAACAATATATAAGTACACTTGAAAAATAAATGATAAGTTCCTTCACTTCGTGGGCATAGCTATTGTATCATGGGCGAACCGAAAGCCAGTTTAATCACTTCGAAAATTGACCTAGTCAAATTCCACAGTTCTAATCAAGGGGATTCTGAATAAGTATCCGTTGTAGATCACTGTTTATTACCACTTTTTATATTTTGAGTTTTATATTTTTTTTATTCATTTACACTTTCCATAATTTCACTTCAGAATTGAATTAAAAACAAAACGCTGCATATCCAGTATTTTGTTACTTTTGTCCTTTTATAATCTGGTATGCCCTAGAAGTATAGCATTTCCCTAGTATTTCATAACTTCCTTTTGGTGTTATTCATTAGCTAATTTTATGGCCATAGTTCACCACATGTGACCAGCAATTGGGATGACTTGAATGTTGCATTCTTTTTAATCGGCATCCCCATCCAAAGCAGCTACTGGCGCTAGATACTAAGTGCGCCTAGGATTACATTAAGAAATTGTCGTTGTTGGAACTAAAATTAGTTTTTCCCTACCTGCTTGACCAACTTATCCAATAGGTGAAGTGGGTTTTTCCCAACTAAACTGTCTGGGCCGCCGTTTTGCCCCAACTTTTGCTAAATTTTAGAAATTTCGCGTTGTACGATTTTGATGAACAAGTATTCAACTAACAAAATATGATGGTACTGATACCAGCTCTGGTCCATACATTTTGGCATCTTCGATTTACTGTCATATACATTATTTTTCAGTCTTTTCATGCTGTTCCTCCTAACCGCAGCTCAGAAGATTTATCAAATACACAGTCTGTTGTTCAGAAAAGATCGACTGATCAGATACCACACCCCCCTAGGACACAAAAAACACACCACCGTAAAGGTGCAAGAAAAGTTCGAACTAAAATGCGTGGAATGTCGACAGGGAGTTTGCTACAAACGGAGAGTAAACCAACTCGACGTCACACTAATTTTGCTTCATCTTTTACGGACTGGCGTAATAACGGTTGGTTTTATTGATGCTTACGACTCATCTCACAACTCTGCTGTGAACAAGGCTATTTACCATAACATTATATGTCTCAGAATGTTTCCGTCACAGCCATCTACGAATTGATAAACAAAGAAAATGTTGTTATATATCTTTCTGGGGCACTCCCATAGTATGTGTACCAGGTTAGGGTTAGGCCATAATTTTATTCCGATTTTCCTTATTTTAGTTCTATTACGAGTTCGGCGACTGTCTGTGTTAGCCAAGTGAAGGCTCATAGGTTTCAGTCCATTTTTACAACTTGATGTAAAGTAGGCGAACAAAATTAGTTACCTACATATTGGTACATACACTTCTGGAGCCCCCTTTTTCTTCTACTTTCCACCGAATACATATATTTATCGTGAGCTGCATTGAATCTATCTGACGAAGAATGAAATTGTTTGAAAGTTTTACTTTTCTTACTAAGATGATGTTTTATATTTACAGCTAACAACACCAGAGGCAAATCATTGAATCAATTGCAGGAAAATCATGCACAACAATATAAACTGAGTAGTCAGTGAGTAAAGAGTATTTTAGTTCGTATATTTGTAAAACTATTTAAAATTGTCAAAAGAAAAAGCATAAAATGAAAAAATGTTGTTATACAGGGCATTCATAAAATTCCTTTACAGTTTCAATTTTGTTATGAAGTCAGTTCTCAATATATCCTGATTAAGTATATTTACTTCATTTAATACATCTGTCAGGGCCAAAATAATATATGGTATCGATAAATTTCCTTTGCAATTTTAAACATTTTTAAGACTAATGGACACCGTATATTAATTACCCTTGTAACACTTTGGGGACACACGGTAGACTATTCATTTACAATAATCACTTTTGTTTTTGAGACTTACATCACTTATTGTTCTGGAGAATCAGTTGTATTAGATTAGGAATTTTGATGTTTAAACTTTCATTGTATCAGTGGTGGCAACCAATATCAACGTTTCGTAATAGATATTTGTGCTGAGCAAGTCTCATCGGAATTAGTTCGATAGCCTATTTTGAACGCCTAAAATTGTACTTGTATTTTGATAAGTATTAGTCTGGTAGGTTTGGAATCTCAAACTCGGTTGTGGGATTTTCGAAATGCCATTTTTAAATCATTGTCAAGCTTTCGAGAATTTTCTTTAAATTGCATACCCAAATTGTAGTTAACTGAAATCTTTATTTACTACTTGAATGCTACAAGACGCGTAACTAATCCATCACATATCTGATATTGATAAACATTTTCTATACCAGAACCCAATTTGCTGGAGATCTATGCGCAGGGACAACTTCATCCGAAGACTTCAACAATGTCATGGAAAGTCTGGCTGCACGTATCGTTGCGTCTGTTGTTTTAAGACACAATGAAGGTTTGTATGTTTGTTATTTTAATCTAATTGTTGTACTTTTGTGTAATTGTGTAATTATCAGGGATTTTTTTCTGGGAATTCTAGAAATAGATTCTAAGTTTGATAATTATGAGCATGAGGGATTTTGATGAGCAAACTTCACAAGTAATGTACGAAATAACTACCAACATTGTTTAAATAACATTTCACAAATTACATATTGTACACTTTTATATTGTTCGCTCATATGCTTTTACATAGCCTACTTTCAATTTGAGAGTTTTTGAAAGACTGGTCGAAACCCCCGAAAGGCCCGATGCTTATCAAATGAAGTCTAATAAATTTCAACCGGTTACAACTCTTGCATGTATATACACAGATGAACAACCACAGTCAGAAATCGCTCAAGACTTGAACGAATCTAACAGCGTTGAACATTTGGTTGGTTCGCTCGCTTTGGGGGTTGTGACGTCACTTCTAGGTCTCGACGTGTTGAGCGAAACTGGCCCAGTTGATGCAAATTTATCACCAAGCCGGGATGACGGCACACAACAGTCGCATCAACATATAGGAACAAAGTAGGTAGTTCAAAAACGCAATAGAACTGTATTCTGGATATGGCAGTCTATTTTCACCTACGATTGTTCACGGACTTGACGATAAAATTTGAAAAGATCTCATGATGTATTACAGAGCGTATACACGATTATTTCTTTAGTTAATGACGGTAATTGATGCTTATCATACAGTCAATTTGGGTTTTAGATTTCGCAGAAAAAACATCAATCCGAACTCATGAACTGTTTTTAGAGCTTTCCTGTGGTCTGTTCAATATTACTTGTGTTTATATCGATGTATGTGATAATGATTAACATAGGAATTATTTTTAGTTTTTTTAATCCAGTTTACTAACTTCCAATGTTCCATCGTAGTCGTACATTAATTAGATACTAATTATATGCAAACTGGACCAAATCAGATCATTTAAACACCGTGATTTTCAGTGAAAATGAAGCTGAGGATGCACCTGGACCTTCAGCAGGTGCCAATGTCAAACAGAATAATGTCGCAGAAAATATAAACAACGTGAAACAAAAGAGTGAAGATCATACGCAGCCCATACCAAAAATATTGAGCATTCTTTGTTCGGAAGATGGCGCTGGTAAGTTAGCTGAATTTGCACTGAAAAGCGTCCTTATTCAGAACATAGAGTTGTGCGTCATCATTGGACTTGAGATGTAAGCCAAAAATACAAAACGGAACATTGTTTTATATTATTGTTATATTGCATTGTTTATCATGACTCGGATGTTTAGGGTTTGAATTCCAGACAGGAGTCATACTTGGTATTGGAATAAAACATGACCGCATTAGGCCGTTAACGGCGATGGTACTGAACTTTGGGACCAAATTTTCGAAACCAGTTACGGTGATTATTTCAAGACAAAACCATTGTTTACACCAAATAATATTTATTCATGTTCATTCAGATCTATTTTGCTATGAACAAAATTTTTTATTCATTTCTAAAGTTATTTTTCAGCAATTTGTAGGTTTTCTATAACATCTTCGGACTTTTAACTCACATAAGACATAAATTTTGAACGAATACGAATAACTAATATTCGTTTTCGGAATGTTTTGTAACTGTACATCCAATATCTCGTATTTTCTAGATTTATCAGACAAGAAAGAAACCGGTGTGCGTTACTGTGAAGACAGTGCTGTTGAACATCCACACAGGTAAAATATTTCAGAAAATTTGAAAGATTGTATTACCTCTGTGATAAATTATCGATATACATCTTTTATGATCTAGATTTAAACATGCAACGAAATTAAGCACAGTCTGTTTAAGAATAGATTTAGTCCCAATCCTGGATGGGTGAGTGAACTAGATGTTCAAATGAACCAATGATGCCGCTGAAGAGTGTGAATTATTACGATAGTTCGTGAATTTATAGTTGCATTTTATTGACAAAAAGAATATTTTATTATAGTGTGAAATGATCGATCTTTTCAATATATTAAGCGTTTAGATATTTTCACTTGACACTACGTATGTATATATATATATATGATTCCGCCGTTTTTCAAATAGAAAACTTACTTTATTATGATGGATAACGTCAAAACTTCACGTCTTTGCGTGAAAACCTTAAATATATTCTGTCATTTTAGTGGAAGAATTATCATTTTGCTATATAACGTTACATCTGTGATCTTTTTTTTTTACTTCAGAGTGCGGAGCCCGTCGACTAAAGACAGAGAAATGCGTCTTCGCGCCAAAAAGAAAATAGCACCAGGTAATAATGCGTTCTTTCTAGATTAATCCGCATTCGCCAAATTTCCTGCATTCTTGTAATAAATCCTACCTTATTTCATTTATCTTGTTGCCAAAATCGTGTTTAATATTATGGTATTCAATTTTAAAGGTATATTTAAATTTGTATGCTACAACAGTACACAATGGGACATTTATAAATAAAAGTTTAAATCGATAATTTAATAGAATATACCTAATCTAAACAGTTTTGTCTGTCCTATGACACATATTTAGTTCTTATTTTAATGAAATTCCATTTTCAGTATCTGGCAACACTACATTCCATTCTTCTGGTAAAGATAAAACTATTTCGAAGGCACACCGACGTAAAAAATCCAACTCGAGCTCATTTGAAAGTACGCCCCTGAAACCTTCAGCCGGATTTATAAACAGGTATATTGGATTTATCATGACGAATTCGTTTCAAGACTGTTTACGGAAGCTTTCGGACGATAGTTTTGATCATGTCGATTTCCTGGTTGTTACTCTGATCAAAGCAACTGTCAACACTACAGCATCCATTTTTGGAAAGCTACGGATAAAGAATTCACAAAATGTTACAGGGACATATTATTTCAAAATTGAAAATCTATTTAACAAATCCTTTTTAATTCAACTCCCAAATTTATACTAACATAAGTGCACGACTACTATGTAGTTATGATGATGAATCGTCGGAAACGTTTTCATGAATGCATTTTGAGTTGTGGTTTTAGGGCATAACAAGAAAATAAAGTTGTTTTTGACAATACGGGTTTTACGATAAATCCTATATCGTGAAAATTTGGAAATGAATTGAAGTCGATTGGGATATTTGAGTTTGATATCGTAAAATAAATGTTTTATTCGAAACACTTTTAAAGTTCACCATTTTGTTCAGTAGTCATCCAAACTATACGTTATTCAATTAATCGGGTTACTCCAATGTTTGACATAGTTCTGGTTTTCGAATAAATAATTCATCGACCTGCATTTCCAGATCTATATCCTAATATGACCTCTTGACAACGCAAGATAAATTCAAAGTAAATTTTTTATTATCAATGTTGCACGACGGTTTAACCAAATTTACCCAACTGTTAAAGGTACTTGGTTATTGACAAACTTTGATTTTTTTCATATATACTTGAAGACAATCGATTGAAGATAGACATAGCAGACATTGTCGTCCAAATGAATACTCCGACGCAAAATTCTTGGGAAAAACCACGGAAAAGTTGTGAAAGTTGCACTTGACATATTTTATGTTTTTTATTTTCATAGAGCTATAAAGATAATAATAGTAATAAACTTAGTTCCGCGTTTGGTCTCGGGTTATATTTTCATTTGTATTTGAATGCCTGTTGAAAATGGAAAAGCTTTAATTGCTATAGAAATAGAAGATAGATCGGTTACTCGATGTTTGACCCCAGAAAATATCTTCCTTTAGTTTATACCATTGCGCAAGTATTTATGTTCATAACCACAACTGTGATTCGAAATAATCGCTCACCGTTAAAAAGTACCGACAGCTAAATTTATCCCAGTATATCGCAGCTTTCTGGGGACAGTTTTTTTGGTTAAACCGTAACTCTTCCAGAGACGAAACGATCCTTAAATTATTTGATTTGTACCTGAATATTTGATATATCTCAGTTGAAATGACAGGACGAGTCAGCATTTACAGCCATGCTTGAAAATGTGTTCGAGTGAAAAAGTGCATGTGCGGCAGAATAAATTTCTGTTATTACGTCGCCGTTAAATTGTTATTGATGATTAACCATAGTCAAGGAAATGGATGCTCGGAGTAACACCCGTTTCAATTCATTGAGGTGTTACGACATTTTTGTTCTTATTTACTTGCATTGATTCCTTGACAAGGACGACTTTAAGAATAATGTTAAACTAAATTTACGTCGGAATATTAATCCCGAATAAAGCATTTTTCATGAATTTATGGACGATGGTACGAAATAGGCCAATCTGTAAAGCATTGTCTGGGCGGATCGTATAGCATCGTTTATTTTGTCGATTCACGTTCCACTTGCTGCTGTATGATCCGAGTAAGTTTTTACAAGAAGAAATTGTATATAATTGTGATTTGATTCATATAAAATGAAATTTTTGAAAGTTGTATGTTTTCAAAAAAGAAAATCATGCAAACTGAGGTTACAGTTTATCGAATCGTATTTTGGTCCAGAATTAAACCCAGAAAAGGGCATTAAACAATCTTGGAGACAAGAAGAATTGGACCGGAAAGACTTATTTTTGCTCAATTTTCGTTCTTCGTCGTTATTGGACAGCATTCAATAAAATGTTTGACGGATTTGAAAGAGGAGTATTGCATCTGAGGAGCAATTGTTCAACTTCGTGAGCTCTCTTGACGACTTTCATTTTGTTGACCGGTGTGACAGCATCAAATGGACACGATTTTGCATCACGATATTCTGTCTACACTGATGTAATAGGTTGCAGTCCGTTTTGTGGTATTCACTGAAAATAATTCAGGGTTCAAGATCATGTCCGATACTCGTATCAATAACTAGTTATATGGTCTCATTACTTTTAGTACAACAAAAGTAAATATTACACACCTTAGAACTGGTTAATCCGTGGGATGCGAGGCGTGTCGTCGTGCGTTTTCCCCGCGTGACGACGAATGGGTTGTGGGTTAGTTTAGATCCGATGCAAAACGATGCCGGAGAATCGACGAACGGTTTTCGGCAAAACAGTTTACACTCCAGGTAGTCAGTCAGAAGTGTTTTGTTACATAATGCGAAAATTTTCAGTGGTGGACGTCAGCTTTAATATGTTATAAGAAACAACTTTAGATATTAGCTTACATAATAGTGTCTCTTCGGTAAATTCGTTATTCTACCAATATTCTCAAGGTAACGCACTTATGTATATATATATGATAAGCCAGGCGAGCAGGCCAGTTTACATAAAGTTCTTTATTCAAGGAATCTTGGTGAAAAAAATGATCTTCGAAAATGATAGTTCGAGCGTTATTAATTATTATACGTCAGTTCTTTGCGTATTACTCTCTGAACACAACAGTCCTGATGCAATTATAGGTAAACCGTTAAATGACATTTAAATTACACTGCATAATATGTAAACGCGAAACATTGAAAATTTAACAATATTTGCTTATAATACTCATTTTGTTGAATCTTCATCACTTTATTAAAGTAAATTTAATTTATCTGCTGTGAAACTAATTTCTCCGCGCTATTCGATTGCGAAAACGACTGAATCTACTTTCTAAATTGATTTCTCTCCGACTCGTCTTGTCTGAATTGAATTCAATGGAACTGTGTTGACATGTTTTATTTTGACGTCATTTTATCTTTTGTTCCGATTTTCCACTTGATAGCTTCCGACTAATGAAAAATATATTTTTATCTGAAGAAAATGAGATACATTCAACGTAGGATAATTAATAAGAAATAAAAAGCCCGGTAATTAGTGACGTGTACAATTGTTACATGAGTAAAAGAAGTTTTTGTTTTCATAATTCAAATGAATAAAATTAGTGGTAACTCAGCCTTGATTTTATGGTAAAATATATTATGTTCAAAAATAATACATTTTTCATAGTTGTTTTCAATTTAATAAACATCCTATTACCTCACGCTATAGTTCAATGTACCACCTGGGTGCAGCATCTGTAATAAATTCAAAACGGTCATGGTGTTTTTGTCGCCGTGTCGTTATCAGGTTACGTTAATCACGTATCGGAATTATATAAAGTAAAATGGCATTTTAAGGAATATCAAGTTGCTTTTATGTATAATTGATTGCCTTAATCAGACATTGTCATTATAGGTACGGTCGTCAAAAATAAAGATGTTTTTCTTAGATGAAATTTTGGATATGCTGAGAGGTTTTTATTTTGCGTGGCAGAAAATGGGAATTTTTTGATGACTCACGACAGGAAAACAATATGTTATCGTTAACACGTATCGGTTGATATTTGTAGATTAACATTTAATTATATTCTATTTATCCATTAGTTAGGAATTTGTTGTTTCGAAGAATTTTTGCAAAGATAATATCGCCCACGAAACATTATCTCTTGTGCGGCCTTTTCAAGTAGCGAAGATTACAATACCGCAAAGCAATACCGTCGATTAGCGAGAAATCAACAAAATTGAAAAAAAAAATGCATTTGCTCCCACGGCCGAAGACAACTAAATTCCAAAACTTTTTTACATGGTTATTGGGCTGAAAATCATATTTGCAACTGCCCGTTTCGTGTGAACAACATAGCACGAATTGAAATAAAAAAAAGTTTGTAAGTTGGATGGCGATGATGGAATGAATATTCGTTGGGGTATTGTTAGCAAGCGAAAGAAGAATTTTCCAAGATAGTTTTGTGGAAGTACAATAAATGTGGAAATGAAATGAATAAAAACGAAACGGTATTAAACTGAATAAACGAGAGAATATCCAGGTGGTCTTAGTACAGCTCGGGTTTCAGTAAGTCAATATGCATATTAGTCATCGGTAGCAAACATTAATATTTAATGTAAGAAAGGTATCCTGGAACCCTAAATTAAGAATTTTCGAGGCAAATATACTTGGGATAATACCGCAAAATTTGCATGTACAGTTTTGTACAGGCATCATGGTGATGGTATTCTGTTATTTCATTTAGTTTACTAGATGTATCATCGTATTGGGTGCTCTTATATAATGATACAGTGACACCACTTTATTGGTAATGTAACTTTGATGATATCGAGAAACAACCGCTCATTATCTTGTATCTGTAAATCTTCGGAAGTGTGGAGCGAGGTTTTATCAGCTGATGTGGCCATGAATCAACACAAAACGTAGACGACACGCATAAAATATTCATAAATTTAGAGCACAATCATTAATTTAAGACCACCTCGAGGCAGACGAATATACATAATGTATTTAAACTTGTCCTTCGTATTTAAATTGTATTATTTTGCCAAAGAAATAATTGCGCCATCTTTTGCCTCGATCTATCTTTACGAAATATGACAATGTGTGATTAATATTTTGAATGAAATCTCAAGCCAGTAAAAATAATTAATTTGTCTTATTAAAAGATAAAGAATGAGAAAGAGAGTGAATGCATATCTATAATTACAATGAGTGATGTTAATGTGCCGTTTTACAGTTGAAGAGATTTGTTTTTCAACTTTTAAATATCAATTTGGCAATAACTTGTATACATACCCCCGTATTTATCTACAAATAAAACTGGGGTAACTACTTGGTTATTTCAACCTCTTAGTCTGCCTTGAGCCTTACGGGTTTAGACTGGGTTTTTTCAAACTTCAGCCACCTAACATTACTCTGTAAACGCAGCCTTCATTTATGAAAGTTCTGGTCCAAAAAAAATCGTTCGGGTACGCAACTGAATTGTAAATAAAATAGTTAATATCATCTGTTATATATATAATGATGAGTAATTGGATAACTTTTGTCGTGAAATAATTGCAATGTGTTTGAAAATAATCGTTTGTAAAGAATATCACGACGCGGAAGATAACGACCCACAAATGAACATTGGCGATCCGATCTGGGCCGCGTTGGGGTTTCGCAATAAAGTGACCTTATTCTGACCCGCGTTTTTTGAAGAGAATGTGCATTTTGCCACATGTCTTCTCTGTTAGTCAATGCTATTGAAAGTTCTGATTTCACCGAGCAGTAATTAGTTTTTTGATTTAGATTGCAATTGCTAATCTCAATTATGAAAAATTTGATTTTAATGAGGCAAAATCTCAACAATTTTGATATTATTAGTAGAGTTCTGTGTATTACATATATATTGTATTTTGTTGAGGTTGTTGAAAAATCTTGTTTATTTTACTTTACATGGTTGTTACGTATACGTAATTACAGCTCAAAGCTAGTGTGCATTTTTTCGCCAAAAATATCTTACTCGTAACAAATAGCGAATATGGAAAATGAAATTAAGTTTATTGACAGTGCTAACTATTAGTTCACCATACTATCATTCACCATATACTGAAGTTCGAGAAGTCGGCAACATGTTTAGGAAATAGCGTGCCAGGGGAATTAGAGGAATGGGAAGTTAGAACTGATGGAGTGTCAAATCATGAAGTTTTGCTAGAATAGCCACGCTTTCATATTAGAATATTATAAAATGGGAATACTTTTCAAGTTTCATACATTATGTTGTTGTCAGAACTTTGACGTGTGTTCGTGTGAAAATCGGAATATGTTCTATTGATAGAGTGAGTGACAATAGCTAGTGAAAGCTCAAAAGGTCGAGATTATATTCAGTAATAACATGTTATGTCATAAATAACGATCTTTCTAACGCACCATTTATTCGAAATGTGTTATTTTAAGATTAATAAAGTCCTGAAATGGGGCGATATAAAAATTGACCGATATCTATGTATGCGTACATATTGCTTAAATGAATATTTTTCTGCAATTTTCATTTTATCGAAAGCAGTTTCTATAATCTTTCTTCAGTTAGTGTTAAATTTTGTTACATTGTATATGCGCATATTTAGCGGCAAGGAGCAGATAATACTCATCTATTTTAGAATCAGTATGACGTACAACTCATATGCTACGGATTTTGCTTAATCAATTTGCGTACATAAATAATACTTTTTGATTACGTACTTTTTCCATAATAATTAATAGCTTTTTATTAGCACATTCCTGTTGATTTTAGGGCGATGTCATGAAAAATATATTAATTATACTTACAGTCGCAAAATGGTGATAATATGGTTTACAACGGTCTCATTTTTCAACATAGTTGGATGATACATATTTGAAAAAATATTAAATTTTGTTGGAACAAGTGTCAGCCTATCAGTACGAATTTCATAATCTATATAATCCTGAATTTCCAATTCAACTTGACGCAACTATACAGTTTTACGTCATAAAAAAACAAATTTTTTCAATGTAGTTTCAGAAATATTGAAAACAATAAACGACTCCTAAGTAAAAAAAGCAATTTTTTTGTATAGATATTATTCTTAATGTTTATATGAGCAAAATTTATCCATTAATTCACCTTGCAGAAAAGGTTACCAGGTCACTTCCGTTCTAATGCTATTATCAGTTTTCTGCATTGAGTCACAAAAAGGACTTGAAGATATACGACTTTAATCAACAACACATCTCTCACATACATAATTAATTTACCACATCAAAAATAATTTCAAACCCCATTAGAGAATTGACTGAAATATCATTCTTTTGCAAAGATAGTCATGAAATATGTATCACATCAGAAGGGTGGTGGACATTATCAGTCTTGGAATATTTTAAAATGAATTGTTGTGGGGTTTTGCCGTTATTTTGATTGACAATTTGAGAAACGAACATCCAGACTCGTGCATAAATAAAGAATAGATCGGAATGTAAGGAAACAAGACGATGAAAAAGTAACAATGACGTTCTAAAATATATCACAGAGAAATGGGATAGTCACAAACACTAATGATAATCAACACAGAAAACCAAATCGATTAATTTTCAATTCGGAGTGTTGAATTGAAGTATTACTAACAGACAGAGTGTTACATGTTATTATTGACAATCTGTAACAAGACTTTAGAAGCTAGTCTGTTTTGTGACCAAACGGACTTGAGCGATCATGTTTAGTGAGGATTAATCTGTTACCGATATCATTTTGTGGAAATGGGATACGTCGTAATAGATATGGTGGATTAACCATGATTGATGAGGTATTACTGACGCCACGGTGCAGATTTCGTATCTTGTTTAGTTTTTTACAAATTACAAACAACTATTTTACTGTCTTTAAATAGGTGTCTCGTATGCTGGATGAAAAATTAAAAGAATAACAATAACTCGAAAATAAGTAAATTGAATATTTGACGTTCTACCCAAAGTAAACTTAACTACAATAATGAGTTTAATGATGTTGAGAATAAAATACTAATATTAATTCATATTTCCAACCTCGACCCCGAGTTACAACTTTTGTTCCATTCATTTCTGTCTTAGAAAACACCCAAGCAACGGCAACGGTGGTATATGGATGATGGTGCACAATGCCAATACTGATTTTTTTATATCAACTCACTGCGTTTTAATTACCAATAATTTAATAAAAAAATCGACTTTTCATTATGAAATTGAGACGAGTAATTCCATAATATGTTACTCCAATGCGATATATATAAATGATCGATATAATTTAAAGGACCAGTTTTGTTTCCTTGACTCATTATCTGTGGAATTCACCCCGTTTCGAAAGTGTAACAACAACACTATTATTTTGAAAATAATATTTCAAAATAGAACAACGATAATTTTCGAAGGAATTTGCATAAATAATATCTAATCGTTACGTCTTAAGCACGGAGGTTCGCATCATCTTACTGCAGTGCGGATAATAATTTGCAATTGGGAACAGATTCCGAAGTTAATTCAATTAGTAAACCCATGATAAGACCGAAATTGTGTCAAAATATGGTAACTATAACACGGCTATTGACTTAAACGTGTCTCGTTACGCACAGTTTCACTCATTTCTGCGTATTTGAAAATATTTTCATGCTCACACTTGTTCGTGGAAATAGATTGTTGAATCAGCATACTTATGAGGGTAAAAAATCCATCGTCCTATCAATATTTCGATTATTTATATATCCTATTCGGTCTGATTATAATTAATGACTGATTACTCTAATTACTCAATCTTACTATTGATTTCTTGCAATGTTCGTTGCAAATTACCATATTATAAATTATTTTTTACATCACGTGTGTCATGTTAGCAATGTCTCATACGTTTTTGTCGTGATCTAATGATCTAATCTTTTATAATTCTCCATAGCTATCAATCTTTGAGTGACAGTATGAAAATAATATTCTGGACGAGGGAAAACGCGTAGTTGCCTGATAAAAAGTGAATCGTGTAGACTGTAGAGATGTATAAAAAAGGCTCGATTTTTAGATGAGCGAACTTGTGCGCATACTGTTTATAGGACAGGCAGATTGATAGTCGCTACACGTCGTCAACGATTTTTGAGCGATGCCGGTATTTCTACGTTTTAGCCATATAATCACTTTTTAGGTTTCTGGTCTGCCTTAAATTTCCATTTTTGTGTTCTAATCTAATTTGAACAGAAAAATAACATACAAATTCAAATTTGTTAGGGCTATTGAAATAATTTGGATAAATACGGGCCAATTAATTAGTGGTCAAATCTGAAATTGCAGTAATCTGAGCCAGAAAAAAAAACACTCGTTAATAAAGTAACATGTTGCATGACTTTTCGATGTTTTCAAATTGCTGGTGTAAATTCATTTTAAATACGATGGATTTTAGCAATAATTGTGTGATTCACTTTACTGTGATTTTTCTCTTATTCTATCAAAAGATATCGGATAATTTATATCTTCTTTACAACAATAATGGTAAGGTCTTTAGCTATTTCAGTGCCATGCGCTACATAAGTCAGCGCCGATTTTCTCAAATAATATAATCTTCACCTAATTTTTTCTACAGCGTAATATACTAGTCGAAATTTACGCATGGCTTAAAATTTCATTTGTACATGTAAAATATTTGAAGGTTGCTTCTGAACCAATATACTTTCGGAGAACGAGGGAATTATCGAGTAAGTCTTGGGGAATATTCCTAATGTGGAATTCGTGGATAAAAGTGATTCTAATTTTGTTGGCTTCCATCATCAATCAAACGCACGGTAAGTACGGTACTTTCGTTTCAACGAAGTGTTTTAATTTGACTACAAATTATCACATTTATTTGTATTCATTTTTTGGACACGTAGTGGACATAACGATCGTTTTGTTGTTATGTTGTTCTTGTTCTTTGACACGTTTTGAAAAAACCGCTTTTCTCTTTCATTACTGGACCAATCTTGAAATTTTCAGTGAGTAGAGATTATATTTTTTGCTAGAGGGCTATTACTTTTATTTTTAGCTATGACGTCATCAAAATTATGTGGCTCCACGTGTCCATATATTTGAGCATAGCTCTCTTGTTTTTAATAAGAATGTGCGTAGATGTATCATTTTTACCGGTTTCCGATGAATACAATTCTAACACTCTTATGTTAAAGTGAAAGAATAAATTGTGCGTCGTCCAATACTTGAGTCTCGCACAAGGCCAGAATCATTTTTTGAGAAATGGAAATGTTTTGAAATCGAAGGATGAAGAATTTGGCTACCCGATATTTTGTTGTAATGGTCGGGGCGGCCGACCATAAATATTCTTCAAATTTTTCACGGCCAAAAGTATAAGACGCAATCACTCTATCACATCGTTTCCCAACCTTTTTTGATCGCGGACTATTTTCTCACCCGCGAAAACCTTTGCGGACTCAACGTGCGTCTATTGCAACCTGTGCGAAGAAGCAATAAAATCAAATACAACAGAATTGTAACGAATTTCAATATCGGAAATTCACCGCAATTACGCGTTCGTTAAAAAGAGCCGACTTTTTTAGTGTATAATTGGCTTTCTGTCGCACAATATTCAATTCAATGTCTTTCTATATTAATTTAATTGTGTTCATGATAACTCGCGGTTGCGTCGACTTACGACAAGGTGAAAGCATTTCTTCTTTAAAATGCCAATCGGCAATCTGTGAACATGATAATGTGAGACTATATCGCCCGATTATATTTAGTTTTGTTATATATTTTTGCGATCTTGCAAATTTGTTATCGTCGTTAGAAAAATCTCTCTATCTGTTATAAATTTCCAGAAAGTACAACTTGATTCAGTACTTGATAAAAATATATTTAAAATATATTAGTAAATGAAAAATCATTCATCACCTTGCTTTATTATTAATTTCATTGTGATCATTTTAATCTGTGATTGTGTTGGCGAAATAAAAGCAATACTACTTAGAAAATATCATGACAATCCGTGGACACAAAAATGCGTGGTAAAGGGCCCGAATATATTTTGTTTTTATTCGTATTTTTGTGAATTCAACAAATCTGAGCTGTTCGTACAACACGTACTAGACTATGCGGCGTATCAATGTTGAGACAGTAAAGCAAACAATTCTAAGGGAGGATGCCCTAGTATACGTATACTACGGTAGCACCCAAAATTTTGCGTTTTGCAATGTCTAAAAAAGCGTTTTTAATCGGTCGCGGACCATCGTAAAACGAAACTTATGGTGTTCTCCGTTTTGTAATGCCGCTTTTCAATTTGGAAAATTCGGGTTATTACCATCTATCGACGCGTGTGCCGACTTGTGTGTTTTCGTCGAAAATTCGTGAGTGAGTTGTGAAATCCAATCGTTTGATTAGGGGACGCGCACAAGTGACCTGTCGCGTCACCTGTCACCAAAGTTTCTAATATTAAATTGCTATTCTAATAGTTAAATATTCGAATATATGCCCAGCCCTACTCAGTAACCAATAATAATTATTGACTCGATTAATGTTAAGTGAATAAACTTGCTTTTTATGTTTTATGTAAATTCCAACGTAAATTGGCCGATAGTTAAGTTCCGCAAAATCGTTTGCGGCTCGCACGAATTTCTGGCTCGTTGCGGACTCGGACAAACGCTCCGCAGACTCATTTGACACCGCGGACTCGGGTTGGGAAACACTGCTCTACCAGGATGTGATTTGCGTTTAGTCCATAGCGTTTTTAAGGAAGAAATGGCACGGCAGGAGTCAAAATAGCTCGCGATCGACTGATCTGTGATAAGGTCATGCACAAAAAACAAATGAGTACTGAATATGTGAGTAACTGCACACTCGTATACAAACAAATCCACCGCTGCCAATAAGCTCGGTTCTTTGGGCGCATTTTTTTATGAAATCGCCATAATTTTGGTTTTATCTTCTATTTAATTTGTTAACTAGATTATGTAATTGTAACCGAAGTAAATGCTTCATCATTTATTTAGGATTTATTTAAATCATACAATTCTGATTCAAGGCATGCCTAATCTTCAGTCGTAAGTGTTGAATTCCTTAAAAAACATGAATTTCCGCCGAGTCCGATTCTTCGCTCGCTTGGAATTAAAAAAAATTAAGTCGTGAATAAAGTTTATAATACTACTCTCGGAGTGAGAAAATTACTTTCGCATAGAGTGCAAGGGTTATTGTACGATCGTACGTCAGTCAAGGCACACGATATTCGGCAAATTCATTTTTTAATATCGGCATCTGCGAAACTTTTCTTTTGTTGCGTAATAATATACTCTATCGGCCTCGACAGGGCTCAAGTATACTATTTATATGTGTATATCGTATTTTGCGCATGCGCAGTACTGTATTATTCCTGTTTTCAAAACACATAACATGCGTTGCATGAAACTGGTTTGAGGCAGTTTTTTGAGATATATATTTAAGTTATCAAATTTTCTCATCAGACGCGATCGACCACTCAAGACGTGGCGATTGACCGGTCGATCGCGATCGACGTGTTGGCCACCCCTAGTGTATATGACCGACCGCCATTCGGTCACTCTAATTCATTATTCGCTTGTCTATATACAGTTATACACCATTGTTAATAGAAGTACAAAGTTGTCAATCAAATCAATAATTTTCTATACGATGTATTGTGACTCTCAGTATGATTAAAGTTTTACTTTTCCAAATTCTATGTTTTCTTGTGTAGCTTACTATAATGTGATAATTTTCACAGTAAGTAAACGATCCATCCCCTCGTGACTCTAAATATAGTTATTAGCGTATCGTGATTACATAAAAACAGTAGGTGGACGGAATCTACTCATATTACCCATTACCACGTAAAACAATGCAAAAATGCTTCATGCGAAACTGCGTGGGTGAAAACCGCATTTCATATGTCAAAACAGTTTGCGAAACAGTTGTCACGAAAACTTATTTCATCAGATCATCTAAATAAGTGGGGACGCCATTTTCAGGAACATCATTATGCTTGAGCGTAGCGTGCAGAATCAGTGCGTTTATATTCCCGCTTCGCATTGTAAATAATAAGAACCATCGTCTATATAAAAAATAACACACATGAGTAAAAACATCAGTTTGAAGTATGTAGAAATTATTTGCAACCCTTGCTATAATAAACTATTTTTTACGCTCTGATTGTTTTGTGCACTCTGATGACCGTTTCATTCATATTTCATTTGTAATCAACAAATGTTTTTCATTTGGCTGAAACATAAGGCTGACGGTTTCAAAATTGCAGATTTCTTCAGACATTCGCTTTCAAAGGAAGGTTCCCGATTGAAGTATAAATGTATTGTCACTTTTTACTAATTCGTATCATATTGAAATGTGGATTAATTAGGTATGGTGTCAAAACCATCTTCCAAAGCAGTGGCAGTTATTGCTCCTAAATTACATGATTCAGAAAACTAAACATTTTCAACAATCCATGCTCGGATACAACACTCTGAAATATTGTTGAACAAAAAAATGAAGGATTGAAGTCAATGATAAACCCATTCCAATGTAGCAAAAATAAACAGAATACTTACCGTTGACATGCTTCGAGTTTTCTCACAAAACATATAGAAGTTACGAGAAAGCCAAAACAATTAGTTTCCCATTAGTGCACTACAAAGCGTGACGTATAGGAGATACATTCCAACTACTGCTATAACAAATCGTAAAATAAAGTATAATTCTTGTTTGTTTTTTTTGTTTGTCAAAAAGCTCTAAATATTAAGTAAAACACACTACAACTTGACGTTTTTTTGTAATGATTTGTTTGATAGGTAGGGTACTAAATACTGTGAAAAATCTAAAGTGGCCGATACTCGGTATGATAATGGAATATTCCCGGCAACTTTGGGTATAAACCTGCTACAACATTTCGTCAACCCACAAAGTAAAACACACTTCAACATATATGAAAAACCTTGTAATTTTTAAATATATGTTGCGTTTTATATAAAAGACGAATACACACATTTTAGATTGCTCAATGACAGACTATTATGGGCAGACACACACAATCGTTGTTTTGTCCAATTACGGGTGAGGTGATGTAAGTGATGATTGAACACTGATAATCTGTTTTAGATCCGTTTATCATTCTAGCAAATTTCCTTTGAACTTCAACTTTTCGAAATATTCTCATACGAACAATTTTACGCCTTGTCCATAAATGACGACATACAAGAATACCATTCCGTTGTTTATATTTGTAACCTAGCGACGGAATCGTTATTTTTCATTTTCGCATTCCCCGCCTTTTTGTTACATTCAAGTCCAGCCTGACGTGGAATTGTTGGTTCTATTTCGCAGCCAAACCCAGGAAAGAATCCATCGTCATAAACGATCGCCACATTAATCCCGTCCGGTGTATGTGCGTGGGTGGCAGAGGAAGGCTGGTATAGAATGGTGGAAAAAACAAAAACAAAGTCACTGTATCGTTTTACGTGGAACTAACTTTATGGTTCATATCTGATTCGTGATTTATAGTTTACCAGTCACATTATTATAAAATAAAAAATTAGGAACAAAATAGTATTATAAAGTAGTCCATCTAGGGCAGGGTTTCCCAAACCGGGGTCCGCGACGACAACACAGGGTGTCCGTAGCGATATTAAGAGTCTGAATATATATATATTTCACTGTCACATGGACATTCGTAAACGAGATAAAGACGATCCTTGCTTTTAGCGTCTGTGAGGAAAAACTCGGTCACAGAGCTACACAGAGCGTTATTGAGTTATCACCAGTCGAAAACTTGTGCGATTTTGCCAAGGTCATTTGAACCCCGTTGCGACATGGAGGAAGCGTGAAACCAAGTTAATTGTGTGAGCCTGTCCAAGAATACACAATTAAATTAGTTGAATGTTAGATTAAAACGTGTTGAATTAGTAGACAGTCCGGGCATCGAGGTACAAATAGATCATAATTTTATCGCATTGCCCTTAGCCTACTAATATTTAACGTTAGTATGTATGAATTCAGACTTTCATGAGTTTTATTTCGGCCAGGCATATGTAACACTGTATGGAATCGTTGCCATGGAATCGGGTCTATGATTTTTCTTGTCACAAATTGATTCTTCACATTAATGTCATTTGTGTTGTTGTGCTCTAAATCCAGATGAAACATTATTCATCCTCGTTGGTTAGGCACATAAATTGATACGCAGTGGATGGGGTTCCGTAAAAATAGGATTCACAAACAGGGGTCCGCGGCCCAAAGAGTTTGGGAAACATTGATCTAGGGCAGGGGTCGGCAACCTTTTGTCGCTCGCGGGCCAAAATTAAAGTTGCAAGTCATTGGCGGGCCGCACATATTTTTAGAAAGTTGAAAAACCGAACGGGTAGTACTTTTATAATGAAAATCAAGCAGTGATACATCTCTCAAATTGAATATAATTTATTTCCTCATATGAATGAATATTTTCAACGCCATTGAACCCTTTGCACTTAGCATCAACTTTTCTGCGTTTTGTTGCCATTTGCTTAATTATAATTAAATTATATGCTCATTAAACGAGTAATTGTGAAATATATAATTGTTAGTTTATAATATAATTTAGTATAAAAATATTCGTCAAAATGAATGTTTTGTTTTTATAGTTTAGTGAAGCGTTGCGGGCCGGATTATAGTGCTCCGCGGGCCGTAGGTTGCCGACCCTTGATCTAGGGTATAATCAAGACCAACTCCGTCAAGATCAACCAACGACGACGAATTGATATTCTGCTCGGTGGCGCACAAGAGTGCTTGTAAATTGTCGTAGCAGAATCAGTGGTTTGCGGATTAACTAGATACAGAATCCGAATCCGTCCGAAAATATTTTTACCGTCCGAATCTGGATTCTTCGCTCCTTTTCAAGTAGATATCTCCAAACCTCCGTAAATTCCCCGGTGAATGATAACATCCCGTATATTCCATTTGTGCACATAATATTATTTTTAATTAAATGGGTAATGGGTAAAAGATGACAATTATATATAAAATATTCCTAAAACACTATAGTCCAGTCCTAAACGCGGAAATAGTTATGTGTAATAAAATACTATGTTAATTAACGTATGAATCGAATGTCAAAGTTACAAATTCATTTCAAATTTAATTATGCGGACAAACGGGGTTTGTCCCACAGCTGACCAAACAAAATCGCCGAATATATTCCAAATAACATTTTCTTTTGGTAATATTGAAACTCATTTTATTGTATTGGTGCTTCATTGATTATTTCCTGATTAATAGTAGCATTTTTACCACCATAATTTTCATTTCAGGATCAACTAAGCTTTTGTTAGAAATAACAGGATCAAATACCTCCACTGCAGATATTATTGCGTTCACGAGAAACGTTGTAGAGTTTTCGAATAGCACATCACTCAATATCTCGATTGCAGGTAAATTAGTTGAAAGTTTGTCATGAAAAAATATATAACAAGTTTGATAACTAGTGCAATAGTCGATGTTTTGGGTGTCAGTATCTTGGTTGGTAACTTCAATAATATTTTGCCCTTTTGTAGGATGAATCATTTATCAATGCATTTGATATCTGATTGATCAAAGAAAGATCACAATTACCGATTTGAAGAGGGGCAAATTACTATATTGTACCGCATGTGCCAGTAGGATTAGAGTATTTGGATCGTCTAATTCGGTCCTCAACTCATGTCCTAAAGCCTAAAGGTAATCCTATGCCAAATTAAGCCAATTCAAAGTCAAGTTTGGCCACCCAGAATAGCGAAGCTGATCTCGGGCAGAAGTATTGCCATCTCACAATCATGACTCTAGTAAAAAACAAAGTACAACATAAACATCTTCTTCAGGCCACTGATATTTGGTGTCTCCAATACATTTGGAACCGAATTTGCCACCATGCACTGAACCAAAAGAGGCAATGCGCGATCCCGCGACCACCCATTACAAAATATCAGTGACAAGCGATGAGCCAAAAAGGCCATTAGGCAATAAGCCGATCTCTATATAAGTAGTTTTATAAGATTTTGAGCGATGAGCTTCGGTTTTCTTTATTGAAATGCATTTTCATATATGTATGGGTTTCTTTTCAAGACGTAAATGAATGTGAAAGTCTCTCTATGAACACATGTTCCGAACACGCAAACTGTACAAATATTGAAGGAGGTTTTACTTGTCAATGTTCGGACGGTTTCATCGATGTTGGTGGAGAAAATCCAGGAAGAAATTGCTCTGGTGAGATTTTATTTGATTTCGTATTTTTTACAGTTGATATAGGACACGACGTTACCCTTATGGCTCGATTCGTTAAATTGTAGTTGTTCCTTCTGTTGTGCACTATTCCGTCTTGTTAGTATATCTTTTCTTCTTCTTGTAAAAATATAGCTCTTTTCATTAACTACTGGAAATTTTCGGTGGTTAAAGAATTGTATTTTTCGCTGGAAAGTTTTTACTAATTATTTATCTGTGGCCTGTATGGGATTCGATTTTTGTGTGTTATGACGTCAGCCAAATTAAGAAATGCGCTTCTTGTGGCGGTTCCACTTTCGAGCAAGTCAAATATGCTGCTCAGCTGCGATACGGTAGGCTACAGTGGCAGATTGCGTACCCGTACCATTTCGTGTCCATATGGTTCTCTTGTTCTGATTTGTGATTATGTGCTCATAATGATTGGTCACGTACGTATAAGCCTACTAAGCATCAGTTGTCGGTACGAGTAACGCTTCTTCGAGAGCGCGGGGCCAACCTCCTGCATAAGGTGTCACTTCTCACGCTGGTAACTTTATATTTACTGGAAGCACAAAATTACTGGAGCAAGAACTAAAAACAAACGTTAGGCAATGGTGCATGGGATTATTACCATGTAGCCATGCAGAAACGCATTTTTGCAGTCATTACCCTCACAAATATTCATGATCTAGCAAAAAAATTTAATGGATTTTTTTCGCCTTGACCATTGCTGGCGTGAATAAAATGGCGTATTTGATAGTTGTGTTAATAAAATTGGTATATATACTAAATTGATTGGCTTGTGAATGCGCATAGCTAAACATTTGTGGCGTTGCAAAATGCCGTGTATCAAATTTGTGCAAGTTTTGATCCGATCTAAACTAACCAGATCACTATTGTGTAGAAGTAAAGGAATTTTTGAATACCAAACGTGGATAAATTTGTCACAAAATTTGAAAATGAAGCAGTACCTCAGTAACGTTGAGTGCATATTTGAGACGACCAACGCTTGACTCAAAACAACTCACATGGGTTCCTGAAAATAAATATGCACATATTGACCAGAAAATTGTAGTAATGATATAAAATATATCGGAATATGTTAATACCATCGAGAGGAAACAAAGACATGGTATCTCGCGCAACGTCGGATGTGCTCGATCCGAATTGAGAAGATTTCCAAACTTAGTGTATACAAACTAAGATACGCCAATTAGCAGCAACTTTCACATACAAGAGTCTTTTGGAGAAGACGCTATATTTGTTCTAATTGTGATTGATGGATCCAGGCTTACGCGATGCTTTATTCAAGGAAAAACATGGCTCCACGTCTAAAACCTACAGTTTACTGCTATTATGTGATTCTTAAATTTCTTCTCAAAATATGTTTATTTCTTCTTCAGATTATGACGAATGCACTACTGGAATCAACAACTGTCACCAGAACGCAACTTGTACAAACACCAATGGAAGTTTTTATTGCGTTTGTAAAAATGGGTTTACTGGAAATGGGACCACATGCTCGGGTAACTATCGTATGTGCTAATGCGTGATACCCTGAACAATATAAGTATATACGGGATGAAACGATATGCTTGATGAAACGGATTGCTCGACAAGTGGTTTATGAAACAATAATGAAAAAATGTTTTATGAAGTATCCAGACTCAATGTCAGTGTTGCTTTGGTTATATTTGTATATGTGTTAAGTATTTAATAACGAGATACCGTCACCGAGCACATTTATTATTAAGTTTTGCTCATATCTACAAAAGAATCTACAAGCGAATGATAATCTTTCTGATCAGGTATCACTCACACACAATAAATTGACTATGGCGTTGAAGTGCAGAAACTTTACTTAGTTTATCACAACCGTGGGAGCAAAAACATGTTCAACACAAATTTATTACACAACTTAAAAAAGAAACAACACTTCAGTATGGTGGAGTAAATATTTGTGGCGACAAGCGCTTGCTTCGAAACTCGTCGTCCCCACAAATGGCTACTTTAAAAATAAGCTGAATCATGCACATAATGACCACAAACTTGAAGCAATCATATCAAATATATCGTAATATGTTTACACCCCTGAGATAAAACAAGAACAAATAATTTTACATAATGCATATATTTCGAATGTCCTTGAGCCGAATAGCAAATATGTCCAAAAGTGGGGTATTTATAGAAAACCAGTTGGTATCAACTTTCGCGTAAAGGCAGACCTTCGCGGAGCCCTGGAGTACAAGTGTAATTGTGATCGATGACTCCCATACACGGCGCCACGTCCTAAAACGTGCGGGGCCATTTTAGCCATAGATTACGTTATTACTGCGCTTGTTTACATTCTTTTCATAATATTTTTTTTACTTTTAGATTATGACGAATGTACTACTGGAAACAACAACTGTCACTTGAACGCAACTTGTATAAACACCAATGGAAGTTTCGATTGCGTTTGTAAAAAGGGATTTACTGGAAATGGAACCACATGCTTGGGTAACTATCTTATGTGCTAATGAGTAATACCCCGAACAATATAAAAATGGGATATGGCAAAATGCGCAGGATTGATGGAAATCGTAGTTTGACAATTACTTTATGAAACATTAATAATACCCTTGTTGTATTAAACATCGAGACTCAATTTTAATGTTGCATAATGTTCTTCTGTCTTTGTATACAGTATATACAGACTATTTAAGTTAGGTATTAACCAACGAAATCCTTCACCGACCATATTCATTAGATCAGGGGTCGGGAACCTTTTTGGTCAAGAGAGCCATAAAATATACATATTTTCAATTGCATTTCACGCGAGCCATATAACATTTCTTCACTTAATCAGGCCTGAAATGTTCACTCAAAAGTCAACACATACAATGTCAATATACATTTAATGTGATTTCTGATGCTGCATGTAGTCGCTGCGGGCCTTGAACGGTTGCTCACATGCAGCACAAGTTAAAATCTACGATACTCATCACCCTTTTTTGTTTAGGCATCTCCGTAGTGTTTTTAAAACTCTATCGCTTTGTGATGTCACAATATATGTTCCAGAATCCCCTTGTTTGTCACAATGCCTGTCTGGTAATTATCTTACATAACATAGACATGTGCTGGACGCGCGTTCTCAAACGTATTGGGAATTTCCTGTCAAATTTGGCTATAAAAGAGTTTGAAATCTCGTAATAATAGTGAGCTTAGTCTTGGGATATTATATTTTTCTGAGAGCCATATGCCGTCACCAAAAGAGCCATATATGGCTCGCGAGCCATGGGTTCCCGACCCCTGCATTAGATTCTGCTGATATCTACAAAACAGTTCCGTGAAACAATTAATGTGAATTGAGTTTATCGTAAACATTATTATATATCATAATAATTTTTTAGAAAAATGTAGGTTTTACGGCTCATTTTTGTATGAAGCATGATAATATATGGAATATGAAACTTTTATACGCTTTTCAGATATATCAGTTGTATATTATAGACATATGTTCATCTGCTCATATTTTTGGTTTTCGGAAAAAATTTGTATCACCCACCTTCGAATAAGAAATAAGATCAGGTTTATATTTTTGTTGTGTGACCTGGGTTAGATCGTAATCTTCTCATACCTAATTCCGCCTATAGGCGAATAGACGATGCCATAGATGTGCGCGGCAAATTCCCAAAAATTTAATCTGAAAGCTTGAACGCTGAATGAGACAGTTCAGATACTACAGTGTTATTAGTGGAACTTAGATAAGTACAAGAAAATTAGGGTTCCATTACATTGGAACCCACGTACTTTTGAACCCATGACAATTGCACCTGTATGCTATTGCACCTATGAAATTTTTTTTGTTTCACGGATAGTTAAACCCATACTAACCCTAACCCATGGGTTTTAGCACCCGCATATAGATTGAACCCGTGGATATACGCATGGGTTCAAATATACATGGGTTCAAACGTACGGTCACCGTAAATTAGTATGTTGCTGTGCTAAATTAAACATAACTTTTTCAAATTATCGTACCAACATCAATTCTATCCGCTACGATTTGTTTATCTTTTACCTTAATATGATTATTCGCCTACCTTCAAAAACATCAACCACGTGTTTCACACAACGCTCTAGAAATTGTAAAATGTCATGGAAATGACATAAGATATAGCGTCTCTTGAAATAATAAATTTCGAGATTGAAAAATTGATTAAAAAAGAAATGCTCAAATTGGCGCAACAGGTTGTCAAAAACTGAACTGTTTGTTCACATTCAAAACTATGAAGATAACCGCAATGGAGGTTGTCGACCGAAAATTTTTTTGTAATGCTGTTATTTGCATGCATCTAATCCAAGTTGAAAAATATTGTTTGATATAAATGCAGTCAACCGTTGAGGGAGATAAAGTTAGATTAAAATATATTATGAAACCGTCATACATATACATTTTTCTATTAGCTCATAATTTTCACCAACTGAATCAAACGTATGTGTTAAGCCGTCGTGACTAGTGATACATTTATATTTTATCGACGTTACAGAAAAGCACCAAATATTCAAATATGAATACACATCCGCATGAATTCAAAGCATTAAAACATTATAGTTTCAATCTGAAAATAATGTATGTACAATGCACATAATACATTTTTACCAATTGAACATAAATAATTCGCTAAACAGTTACAAATTTACTGATGAACCAAATATTCTGCGCCGGTCGAACGCGATCTCCCGTTATTCAGCAATAAAAGTAAATATCTTGTCAACACACAAATTTTAGTTCAGAAGAAAAATGTTCAAAAATGCGCCCGTTTGCTTGGAATTTAGAATGTACAATAGACATATTCACCGATATTCAGATTTATCATTGCTCACTGCGTGAGAGATGTCAGTATGCACTTACTTCAAGTCTTACTTTCATTGAACCCGTAAGGAGAAGAGAATTCCACAAATCGGTATTAACAAACCAAACCTTCGATTGACCCTGGCCCCCAAGAGATCTTTGGAATGTCCAGTTTGTATACCCGTTTAACCATTCCATGCTATTTAAATACTAACCTGCTTGGGCAGTTTATGCGGAGTAAATAGAGAATATCGAATATTCCGTATAAAATTTTCTTCAATTGTGGTGATATAAGAATTTTGAAAGGAATTTAAAAAATTCCTCACTGCGATGGAACACGATTTATTTCCTGTGTTACAATCTGGTATAGATAGAATAACTCGCGAAATGACAAACAAACAAAACGTGCGCATATGAATGTACTGCAGGAACTAGCCTTAAAAACATTGCTTTTTAGAGTCAACGATTAACTGCATGACCGATATTAAATACTAACATACCCAAAACTGAATAACGAATCCACATTTGAATTCATTCGACGATTTAGAAATACACCCATCATTGAAGTTGATGACATACATCATTAATATGGCAGTATCATGACTAGAATATGAAATATCATTACAATAATAAACGTACCCTAACTTTAACATAAAATCTCTCAAGCAAAACATTATAGAATCCATAATAACAACCTGTTAGAAATTAGATTGCAAAAATTGATAACTTAGAATGTTTTTGTTTAGAATGTTACTGTAACTATTCATTGAATATTATCCCACATTTATTGAATAGACTTCATTGACCCATGACATGATCCCAGTAAGACATCGTCCACTAGATCCACACCGAACATTATCATGCACGAACAGTATGCAATGTACATAAAAGAGATATATTTTTGAGCGCGTAAAACAATCCCCGAGCTCTTTGTGCTGACTGCTGATCACTGATACCAATTTTAATGCAGTAAAGGTTGTGTTCATTTATTATTACCGTTACGAAGAAGTATTTTATACCGTAGTACCAATGATCACTATGATGTCCAAAATGTTGTCGGCGGTTTTGACTCTTTAAGACAGGGCTACTCAGCTATTTTTACCGAAGATCCGCATACAATACTTCAAAATTATTTGGGTCCGGTCTTTCCAGAAATTATATATATCGGCGTCTATAAACGCGCACTTCCGCAATTGGCTTATGATCATTAGATACTCAAGTTTGTTTATTAGGGTGTTATAGTTTTTTTCATGCATATTCAAAACTATAAAAGTCACTTTTAAAAAAGGAAACTTCAGAAATGGGGGGCTAATGATCCAAAATAAAGAATGAGGTGCGGTCCGAATCAAATACTCGGAAGGTCCGGATTCAGACCGCGGTCCGCCAGTTGAGTAGCCATGCTCTAAAACATTTCCTAGTTATTCGTCGAAAGAATGCACAATATTATTGAGTGTCGGATCCGATCAGTTGCGTCAAATCAAAAATAAATTCATCGATATTCCAATCTCCCTATTAGCGGATCATTTATTTAATTTTTTTATCGACTGTAATGTAATCTATATATATATATATACGTCCAACGGACAGTCCAAATTAAAATGTCACGGAATAAAGTTAGCAAGACAAAGAATAATAATGTTAAACAATGCAATGAAGCATTTTTAATAAATTGAGGTAGCTCAACAAGCACCGAAACCAGTTTAGCATAACCCTTTTCTTCATTGCTGCAACACAAATCTTGGATTTGTTTACAGATTGTTGATGGTTGATAACGAATAAAAATGAGGTCAAAAAATTATCATCTTTGTTTATAGTTTTTACATAAAGCTCCTGGTATTTTCTAAATTAAAAACAAACGATTTTTTGAAAACTGAAACATATTTTTCGACAGCAATATCAATGACTAACACCACTGAAACCTTATTGTCTACGACTACGGAAATATTTGTTAAAAATGACGCAACAACGGTATATACGACCACGACACAATCGACACTACCTCAAACAACCACATATTCAACAGAAGCGATACAGCAGTTAACGACAGTGGAGACAACGACCAGATCAACCACAAAAGATACTAACTTTAATACTTCTCTATTTTCGACTAAATCCCAAACTGTGAGCGACTTAACAACTGAAGAACAAGCACTTGAGACTACATCCGCGGTCAATAATTCAACGATATTAAACACTGATAAATTGACAGAAAATGCTACAACATCACAACAAACTACGGTTACGACCGACCAGTCATCGAGATCGGTTGGTATAACAACGGTCTTGGGAAACACTTCTGTGACAAAAACCGATCAATCTGATACAACACTTTTGAACATGACACCAGGTATTTCAACGATTACTGAAAATATGATTCAGTCTCATTACTGAAAATATGATTCCTTCGAAAACTATCGTAGCTAATTACACTGCAATACAAAGTATTGCAATGACAATGGTTACTACAACTTCAGCACCAGTTATCCGATTGTCCAAAAGTTTTAAATTGATCGAAATTTTGATTTAAAACAGAAATGTCTGAACGCGACGTTTACGTAAATCTACCCAATATGAAACCGTTCTCTTGTAACACCTAACATTTTTGATGGTTACTTGAGTTACTTTTTTTGTGTTTGACGGATTATAAAAAAATGAACTTCTATCCATATTAGTAAGAAAAAGGGTTTCTATGTAATAAAAAAGAAGATATATTGTTATTACATATTGTCGACTTCAAATGGGATGAAATAAATTTAGCTAGACACATAATAGTGAATAATTATGTTACGCAATGCAGCCAACTATAATAAAGAATTTTTGACAACTCCAAGTAGTTTAGGAACTCTGAAACCAGATTTTATTCATTAGTTTTGCATAACCTTTAATCTTCTTTCTCTATTGCTGCAATTGCAGTTTTGGATTTGGTTTACAGAATGTTGATATATTCAACAATGGTATAAAATGAGGTCAAAGCATCTGTGTTTACAGTTTTACACAATGCTACTTGTATTCTCTAAATTGAAAAAAAAAAGATAATTTCTAAAATATTGAATGTCACCTTTTCATACAGAAATATCAACAGCTTCATCAACAACTAGCGCCAGTAAAACCTTGTCCTCAAAAACTGATGAAACTTTCAATAAAACTGACGCAACAACAATATATACGACCACGACTTCAACGCAATCGACACTACCACAAACAACGACAGATTTGACTACGGTGACACAGCAGTTAACTACAGTGGAATCGACAACTAGATCAACAACAGGAGATAATATTTTTCCAACTTCTTTATTTTCGGATGTCACTGAATCACAAACAGCGAGCGATTCATCAACTGAAGCACAAACACTTGAGATTACATCCGTGAACATGAATAATTCAACGATATCAAACTCCGATAAATTTACAGAAAAAGTTACAACATCACAACAAACTATGATCACAACTGCCCAGTCGCCGAAAGCAGTTGATGTAACAACGGACCCCGGAAACATTTCTGTGACAAAAACCGACCACTCTGATACAACACTTAGGAGTATGACACCAGACTTTACAACGAATAGTCCCTCTACTAACAATATGATTCCCTTGACAACTGTCGTATCTAATTATACTGGAATGCACAACAGTACAACAATGGTTACTACAACTTCAACTACATCGATGCAGACTACGTTCACTTTAGAAACCTCTAACAGCACACAAAGTACGTTTGTAATGACCCCAACACTTACTGAAAACACATCAAGCGAAAAGGCTGTCACGACACCCGTGCAGCCAAGTTCGACTTCAAACAAAACAACATCAATTTTACCAGAATTATTATCAACATTGGAACCTAAAACAGTATCGATAGATCATTCAACAATATTGAGTACATCTACTTACAAACCAACAACAACAAACGCAACAATAGCGCTGAAAGAGACTTACAAAACCACAACGCAATCCACCATGTTAACGACTTCCAACCAAACAATCATACAGCAACCAGCAACAACACTACAACAATCTACTGTAAATCAACCAGGCTCGATTGCGACACAACAAAGCACGACCGTTTCTACACCAACAACAGTAATCGGGCGAGTGGATACAGATCAATCGACGGGCTTACCAGGGCAAGATTTTACGACTCCTGTTCAAACTATTTCTCACGAAGCAACGAGTTTGCTGGAACAAACCAAAACAACTCCAATTCAAATGACTATCCAACAAAATCAGCTGTCTTCAACATCGAATAATGGATTGAAAACAACATTCAGAGCAACAACGAAGCAAATAACAACAATGCAGAATCAAACAAGGCAGATGGCGGCAACAACCAAACCAACATCCCAAACCACTATGAATATAACTACATCTCAAGCACCTTCGTCGCAACAAACTAAAACTATATCGACTGACGTCAATGCATTAACGGACCAAACACCAACAACACAAACTGCACTTGTTCAATCAACTTCCCCCACAAACCAAACTACAACATTCAGAGATTCATCTTCGAGCACTACCAATACGGATAGCATGACAACTACGGACCAAACAACGAAACAATTGATTTCGACAAATCCTGAACAAAAAACGACATCGACAGATCAAACAACATCAATAGGAGACACAACGACAAAGTCAGCTCAACCTATAACAGAATCCAAACAACCAACATCTATGGTAACTGGTTTTGTGACCGGGGCGGTCAAGCAGACATCCGATGGTAATAAAACAAATAGTCTCCCAGCAACCACGATGAGCCACTCAACAGATGTTCATCCTACTCAACAGACAAGTACTATTGTATTTGCAAGACAAACAGCAACAATAGTAACTTCTTCAATAGAGACCAACGATAACATCACACTTGCAGACGCATCTGTTTCATCCTTGTATACACGGGCACAAGAAAATGTTTCAAATCCATTTTTGACGATTGAGATGCCCACAACACAATCTATTACAAATAATGCAACAACACGATTGTTAGTAGCAACAACTCTTGGTATGTCAAGTAAATCGCCGAACCATACCATGAATAATAATTTTACAATCACTGCGGAAAACATTAGTAGGACTGGCAACACTACGACCTTGCTTGTCGAAGTCGTAACAAGGCCAAATAACCTTGCATCATCCGGTACAAAAGCAGATTCATTGGTTGAGGAAACAACATCTAACCAGTCTACAAATCCTACAGTGTATTGGTCGGCCCCAGTCAATAGCAATCAAACATCTACACGACTCTATTCGACTGTAAACGTAACTGGAAGTTTAGTAACTTCTTCAGTTGGCGCTACGGGAGCAAATTCACAAACAAACGTAACTGATCAACTCGGAATAACTGAGACCAAAACGACAACACAATCAACAGAAACAACTAGCATGATATCAAATATTGTTTTGTCTTCCGCGACTGTTGCAGCCACAACAGAGCCTATCGCTGAATTAACAACGCCAGACGACAGATCAAATCTGAACTCGACTTCTAATTTTTCCCTCCCCAATACTGAAAATAATGCTCTCAGATCAACCTCAAAAGTAATAATTAAAACTACTGAAAGTTCACGAGCAACCGGAACTCCTGTCCCTCAAGAATTAACCACACTCGAATTGAAGTCTACTTTAAATACAGGAATCTCAACTACAACTGGAATGCTAAAAATATCAACGACAGCTGAAACATTTGCAGTGAAATCCAAATCTACTGAACGTACAGAACAATTAAAAGAGGAAACTACTGAAAAGGGGAAAGAATCAACTACAATTAAATCGGACAATACTGAAAGAACAGAATATTCAACTATGTCTGAACTGAAAACAACTAATAGTGCAGAAGTAGTGAGTGCAGCGGAAACTGATTTTACTACAGCTAAGTTGGGAACTACTGACAGTAAAATGACTACAACAGAACCAGAATTTACTGAAATTGTAGACACCATAACTACATCTGTATCAGATGGCACTAACAATATGATGAAATTAAGCACATATGCGTTAGAAACTACAACAAACGCAGAAGACTACACTGCAAATGAAGAGGAAACTACTGAAATCGTCTACAAAACTACCGAAAGTTTGGACACTACTGAAGGCGATGAAACTACTACAAGTGGAGAAACATTTACGTTAGAATCCACAGAACACTACACTACAAATGATGCAGAAACTACTGAAGAAGAGACTACTGCAAGAGGTGAAGCATTTACGTCAGTCAAACCAGAAACTACAGAAAGCACAGTGTTTCTAACTTCAACCATAGCTGAAACTACTACGAGTACAACAGAATCAATTTCCATTGCGTTGACAACTATCAGCTCCGATGAATCGACAATGGCAGCAGCAGAAACAACAGAAAAATTCACTACACTCAAATCTGAAACGATAAGCAAAAATCAGGGAATATCCACCATGGAATCCCGGTTTGTGACAACAAGCGATTCATCAACCATGAAAGACAAATCCACTGTAGAACTGCCAACACCAGCTCAAGTTACTACATCTTTGACCAGCATGTTTTCAACAACCGAAAGTATAGAGGAACAATTAACAAGCAAAGCAATGACAAATGTTGTATCAACAACTACAGCGAAAGTAAGTGTGCAACAAAATTCTTTTTACGCTACAAATGGTTAACAGTTACTCCAAGAATCAAGTCCGCGCATTCGAAATGTCGAGGTGATTATAGGACGGAAAGTAGCTCACGTGAAATAAGACTTCATTCATGATATCAATTAGATTCCGCAGTTTATCTTCGCATGGTATAGATATTGATTTTCGAGCTTTTTTCACTTCTGCAATGAGTGCATATCCGCAATTCCGACCAGGATAAACTTTTTTCAATGCATTTGGTAGGCAGATTCCATCCCGAAACTCTTTTCCTTCAAGTGGCTGTTTGAGTTAGAATCATGCTCAAAGTGAGGTTAAAGTACTTGTTGCAAAAGTATATCTATAAGAATTTTCTTACATTTTGTCCAACATTTTACAGCTGACGACAACCGGTCTCATGAATGCAACGAGCAATATTCCGGACATTACCAATATAAATATCACCTCAGAAAATATTGGAGAATTAGTCAATCAAGTTGCCAACAGTATCATCGGAAATGCGAATGAAGGTAAATAAAGGTCGTTATGAAAGTTTTGAAAATTGGACTTCACAATTGACCCAATGAGTTATATAGATAATAAATCAACTATTAATTAATTATTATTTTGGTAACGTATCAAGTGAAACCAAAATCAATTTACGCAATCCCCTTTAAAAAAATAATTTTCGCTGCAAGTAACAAGTACGAAGAACTGTCTTCGAACTGTTTTTACATCAGATTTTGCTACACGGTTAAATATCCACCACCCACGTGCTTAAATTAGGTAGTAATCTAGGTAGTAACCCCTAAGTGAATGAGATTGTGCCACATAACGTGGTAGGAAATCGTCATCTGAGTTTGTTCTTATTTCATGGGTGCACACATTTTCAATTCTAATTTAGCCTACATTGTATACATTCTCTGTGCATTAAATCCCAAATTTTCACAGGGAACCTAAATGTAGCTGATGCTGGTTCGGTGGCGGACAGTCTGGAGCATGTATTGAAATCTGGTGTTCCCATTGGATCAGATATTGCTGGGGTTATGTTCGACGTTGTCGATATGTTCTCCGGTGCAACTGGCTCAGGTGAATGCAAATTGCACAATAATTATGCCGGTTAATTGTTGGTTAAAATGAACTGGTCCCAGGAATACTACTAGCCATCATGAAATGAAACGAATTATTTAAGAAACATTTCCGGTACTCCCGTAGTATGTGTACCAGGTTAGGATTAGGCCATAATTTTATTCCGATTTACTTTATTTTAGTCTGAGTTCGGGAACTGTCTGTGTTATCCTAGTAAATATACCCCTGTCCACACTCCACAGGCTTCAGTTCCTTTACAAAACTTGATGTAAAGTAGGGAAACGAAATTAGTTCCCTTCATATTGGTACACATACTTCTGGAGCGCCAAATATTCAAAAACTATTGTTTTAAGGCCCTGTAAAGAAGGGCTATTCCAAGTGACACTACAGGACAATTCCAGAAATTTTACATGTTGTTAAATTCAATATATTTTCACATTTTCAGCTACATGTTTTGTTTCATTGTCCAATCAGTTGCTTTATTGAATATGTAAAAAATTGCACAAAAGTTACATCCAACCTTACTTAGTAGATAAAAAAAATTTTAGTAAAATATAGCGTGACACTACAGGACGGCAAATCCACCATGCACTAACAGTACGTTGTGTTGTGCTGTAAATTTTTGCGATGGTACAGTAGGAGCCCATAATATTTGCTGGTGCAGTAGCTGAACTACCCCTCTATGTGTTGCTCAAGTTACTTAATGTAAGACTGTAAATCCATGCCAATAATGTGCACATTGTATGTGACACTACAGGACGTGACACTACAGGACATTTTTCCACTTCGGAATAGCGGCATCTATCATCTCTTAAAATTCTGGTAATAAATCGTTACATGGGTGAAGAAATGTTCTACAGCACTGCAAACATTCAAACTTTATTAACTTAAATCCAGTGCGTCAATTCCATATGAAATAACTGTACCACACAATCAAACACTTTGTGTCAGGAATCAACACAAAATATTTCAATTATACCAAAATTTCTACATTTCAGGCCATTTTTTATAAACCATCAAAAACCTGGGTGAAATTTTAAGAGGGTTCGATGAAATGAATGCAGTCCAATAAAATTCCAATGTCTTTTGATATAAAAAATAAAAATAAATTACTTTCACTACACTTTTTAAAAAATTGATGGAATTCAACTTTTGCTTGGAATGGCCCAGAAATGTATTTTGTGACTTTACTTTTGTGTACTCGGAAATATAAATATAGCTGCCTCAAATAGAAAGTGCAAAAAAAAATTTTTAACTTCTTCATTATGTCTACTCTACACTACATATTATTTCAGCTAATTATTATTTCAGCAAGTATTTATAGCTTTTTGGTTAGATTCATTAGTTCATAACCGTTTTTACTCCATTTAAAGCAGATGAACAACAAATAGATCCAGAAGCAGCATCCAAAATGACCAGATTTGTTTCAGGATTATTGGAAAACATCGATCTTAAACCGGGCGAAGTTTACATGAAAGAAACTTCAACATTAACGTTGGAAGCAGCCGATTTTTTTCTCAATGAAACACAAACAGGTTATTGCTATTTATTTATTTTAATTAGTGTAAAACTAGTCAGACTTGTGTTAGGGTGAGTCGCCCGTATGCTATAGCTTCTGTTGCTTCTCTATGTGCGAAGTTCATAGTGGAAGTGCACAAGAAAATTTAACAGTTTCGTTTATTGTTGTTTAATGTGTGACATCCATTCACTTGCTAGTTTGAGTTTTTTTCTCGAGTTAATATGAAATATTCGATATTCTGTTGCTCCATTGACGAAAGCATAAATGCGGATTCAGAGTTTTTCATCGACGGTGCAAAAGTATGTGCGTGTGAGAGACCATATTTCGACAATCAAAAAACTCTTCAACATACTCGCTAATCCATAACAGAATTAATATGCAAAAACGGATCTGCTTGATGACGACGTAATCTAATCTTTGATTCTTCTAACATTTGTCCACCAATTGTACTTCGAATGTCGTGTATGAATGCCCCATTCAAATTGTGAAAGCCGAAATCTTTTACTTTTTTCGTGTGGCCATGGTTTGATTACTCATAAAAACGAAGTTGCAAGCATGGGTGACTCACAAACGACTCCAACACAGATAGGTTAGCATAACATCATCTTACCAAAGCTTATGTAACAAAAATGAGATATTTATCTTCATCTCGTTTTTTTTTAATACAGGCTTCGATGCAACTGGAAGCCAAATAAGTATGCCAGTTGGTTTTCTTCAGCCAACCACAACAAATAGGAAGGTAGGAACTAAAATAAAATAATTCTATATCTTTTTTAGATTTCTTTTTGTCTATTCTTTTACTACGTACTTGCAACTGGCGTCATCCTGTAAACTGGCATCGTAAATTTCCAATATACCAAAGAAATATTATCAAAGGATAATGTTAACATTTGTGAAAATGGCATATCCATTAAAATGAATTTTGATTTTATCAGAATGATTGGACTAAATCCAAATGACTACTTGACTACAAACCTCAGTCAAATGACTCATAGTCACATGGTAGAATACGGTTATTTAACATTGATTGCTGTTGATCATTGTCATGAATTTGTTAAATTGAATCAAATATTATGATCCATTTACAGAGAAGAGCACTTGGAGATGCTGAAGTTTTGAGAACAGCGTTTACAGAATACACGGATGCCAGATTATTTGTTGAAATCGAACCAACAGTAAAAGTAGTTCTTTCCGATGCTGTTGAACAAGACACTAAATTACCAAAGAACACAAGAATACTCAACACGCCAGTTATTGCGGCGTCAGTGGCTCAGCAAGAAATAAATAATTCTCAAGAAACTGCCCAGATCACGTAAGTTTGGTGGAATCTAGGATAGCACAGTAGTAAATATGTCGCAGGTTTAGTCTTTGATCAATATTTCATTCTTTATCTGCATCAATTATATCAGAAGTTTACAAGGTCCAACTGATTGCCATATTACAAAACTACGCAAAGGGGCATATTCAAATCAAGGCTAGACTCTTCAAATTTTCTCATAAACTAATTGAAACCATTATCACACTTTATTAAAAGTACCGTATGTAAGCAGTCTAAAACTCCTATCCCAGTTGTGGACAGATGACTGATTAAAATCATAGTGTTTGCGTAACTACTTGCAAAGAACAAAGTCTAGCAAGGTCATCTAAGCTAAGTTGTCCCATATTATTTGCACCGTACTTCATGGTCTGGTACAAATTGTTTTCGACCTAATTTACTTCAGGCAATTTGAAAATTGTTTTTCTATACTCACCTCGAAACTGGAGTGTAAATTATAGGTTAAAGCTGTTTTTGCTCCCCCATGATGGTCATTTAGGATAAAAATTGTTTGCTGTAAAACATACAAGAGGATTTTAGTTGTCATGTAACTTGTACTTTATATATGGTCTATTTACTTCACAGGTTGAAAAAAATTATCAGCAAAGAATCTCGTGTAAATAATAACAATGGAACCTATGAAGTGACTACATATTCGTCACCGGAATGTGTATTCTGGGACTATGATATTATGACGTGGTCATCGTCTGGTTGTAAGCTTTCTGGCGAATCGGAAGATGAAGTCACATGCGAATGCAATCATCTGACCAGCTTTGCGGTGATAATGGTAAGTTTAGTTATGTTGGATTCAACTTTTGATTTTTTATTCAGTGTAACCGAATAAAAAATATATATTTAAACATAATACTTGACACGACTGTGCGATAATTACAGAGATTTTCTAATTGCGTGCACATACCAGTCTATAAATCTCGATAGAAGATATTGTAAGAGCTGACTATCCTTATTTAATGTATGAAATCAATTTCACTAATAGCTTGTTAAAATAATTTTTTACAAAACGCTTTTATGGTAGAGCATGTGCTTTTCTTGCGAGAAGCATGTGATCGATGCCCGGTGTCTCCAGAATATTCTGTGACGTTTTTTCTATTTAATTTTAAACATATAGCCATCATCAAGACAGCTTGATTGTAACTGCCTATCTCCCTACATGAGGGCGCCTGCGTTTCTAAATAAAATGCCCCAAAAGTTTTAATGATGGTGTTTTAGTGTGCTATAAATTACTTGTTGGTTATCTTTTTCACTTAGTTTTTTGGCCATGCGAAGTTTTACCTAATCGCAAAACCAGATAACATCTTTGAAAAATAACGGATGCTTGTTCGGGGGATGCTTTTGTCACCACTGAATTAATGTTATATCCTCTCCATCAAACTTTTTTCTATCCCATTTAGAAAGTAGAAGTGACCGTGGATGACACTATTCTAACATACTTATCCTTTGTCGGAGCTGGCTTATCAATAGCTGGTCTAATTTGGACGATCATAACTTATTCTATATTCAGGTAACTACATTACATACCAATATGCCTTTTTTGTTTTTACCTTGTTCTTATTGCTAATTATGGTCAGTGTCAAAAATTGGTAAAGGTGTACTAAAAACCATTTAAGTGGTTGTGTTTTACTATATGACTGACTGAAAGTACCAAAAACTATATTTGAGTAAGCATAAATCAGGGATACACGACCAATGTTGCTTTGTCTGATATTTAATTCATTGGAAATTATTGGTGGATGTCAGTTTTTTCGAGGTGGTACGTCTCGAGACCACAACTATTGTTCAACCAGACTGCTTCTGCAAGATTGCAGGATAACACTTTGGATATCTCGTTTAGGTTATTACTCATTACCTCCTCTAGCATTTTTTCTTTTTATATGATTTATATCTGTACTTGCGATCAAATCCCATTTACCTCCAAGATAATTAAACAATGTAACGTACAATTATTTGTTGAGCTCTGCATACATTAGCACTATACGATACAAAAAGGTGAATACAAATACAATGCAAGATACATATCGATATCATATTAAAAAGAACAATTACATTAGGAGTTTATTCGATTATAAAACGTAGGTCTTCCTATCTATCAGGTCTCTGAGAGCTCATAGGTCGAAGAAGATTTTGCTCAATTTTTGCCTTGCGTTGTGTGGAGTATATATAACATACTTATTCGGAATTGCCGTAAATTTACCAGCAGACCAAGCACAGTGCATTACGGTACGATTTCTTTTCTCTTCTTACATTTTATTCAGAGTTTCGTTTATCTATCGCTGAAATTTTAAAATTACGAATTGGCTTACTATTTCTATCGATATAATTTTTTTTCATAATAGTATTTTGGATCTACTTACCAAGGCTTTCTTGTCAACGTTTTATTCTTTTACAGTCTGGATTCTTCTTACACTACTTTACGATGGCTGTAATGTCTTGGATGTTCATCGAAGTACTCGACATGTATTTTATGTTTGTCAAAATTATGTGGACTTCTTTTCATAAATATTTATTGAAAGCGTGTCTTTTTGGATGGGGGATGCCCTTTATTCTTGCCATAGCAACTGTGGGTAGCCATCTAGGATTTCCAGATCGAGATATCTACCCTGAATTTAAAGATGGTGCTGTGTAAGTTGATTTAAACTACTTTGGACATTACATGCACTAACCGTTCACTCAACAATAAAGAGAACAGTGAATGATATTTAGTGAATTGAGATTTCATTAATGACTTAGAGAGGTGTAATAACAGGAAATTTATTTTATTCACGAGATAATTTTTTTGAACTTTTGACAAACAATGAATGGATTTGCGTAGTTACTTTTCGAAAAGACATAGATCATTGATTTGGTCATACCCCCCTGTATACTTATGCCCTGGTTTTGGTATTTGTTCCAGGCTTTGAAAAATATTAGATATAAAGAGTAGCAATTTGATAAAATTTACCATATATATTATCATCGAACATGTCATCGTAGTCATGAATCAAATATAAAATTTGTGAAACACCAAATATTAGATTGTATAATAAAATTCTAGAGTAAAAGCGCTTCATTTTGTTGAGATTCACATTTTTTGCATCGTAAATTTTACAATCAAGATTTTCTTTTGGTAGTTGCTGGCTTGGAACAAGTGGAATGTTGTACGGTTTTATTATTCCGTCCAGTATAATTTTGATGACTAACTTGATATTATTTGGAATTGTGTTATATCACATCACATGCAAGCGGAATAGAAAGAGATTGAGTAGAATACGAAGTACAACCAAACAAGTAAAGGTAAGTGTAATAGGAAGGGATGAAAATTTTGTCAAATCGATAACATATCGTCTACCATGACCATTTGTATGTAAATTATGAAATTTGAAATCTTTTATTTGTTATTATGTAGCAACGTTAGTACTTTGGCATATTTGATTACCTACATGAAAAAGTTTAAAATAAAAATGTAAAAGTATTATATTTTATAAGACGTTTTATTCACGAATTTCGGAAAAGGATTTTTAATAATATCCATTGACGTATAAGGAGCTACTACTATTCTAAGAAGGACCAAAATGTTTCTGGCTCAACATTTCCCGAATTTAACTTCGGCATCAAATTATCGTGTTTCATAAACCACAAATTTCGCATATACCCTTAATTCAAAAACAATACATGTTTTTTTTTTTGTGAATACTCGCCTGTACTGTGCACTATTTTCCCAACTTTTTTTTTATGATATTTTTGTTCTAATAGGCGGGTCAGCATATTATAAATGCTTTGGCATTATTATTATTGGCTGGACCGACGTGGATTATTGGTTATTTTATCAATGTTCAACCGGTTGAAGACGGTGTTTTCAGAAGAGCATTGTCATACGTGTTTGTTATTTTAAACGCTTTCCAGGTAAGATATTCTTATTGACATTAGACCATGTATGTAATACCATTTCCGCCAAACAGCTGTGGATAACATCAACATTTTACTGACAATAAACATAATTCGTTACGGTTTCCCGACGCAATGTGCTGTAGGCAAATTCATTTCTCTGACTTTTGCGATTTTTAATTACCGCAATTTAAGTTAACGCAAACGTTTAAACTTCATACTGCGATATTCAATGTCAGACATTTGAAAATTTCCAATTTATTGTTCTTAATATTCCTCAACACCTATTGTGTTTTTTTCACGTGTTTATTATCAAATAGGTTTTCTCATAAATGTCGTACAAAATATTCTCCAATGATTCATATTGAGGGCAACTAGACGTTAGTTATCATACTTTAAGTGCTTATATTTGTTTATTTTCAGGGCTTCTGGATATTTATTGTATTTTCAATCCGACCTGCACCGGTACGGAAGAGATGGCGCGTCTTATTTACTCAAGGAAAATTTGCAGAGAAGAGTACAAGTATATCATCTGTATCTCACAGAAACACTGAAAAAACTACGCCATCAAAAACACCCCGTTCAAGTATATTACCATCCGATAATACCGTGAATATACAAAATTTATCAAAACGAACGGTGCAGTCTACAGTTTCTAGTAATTCTTCAAACTCTAAAAATTCGACAAACGGTTCGAATTTAATACATCCTCATATATCAGTGAGAAATTCAAACTCAAATAACTCGGTTTCTCTATCTGAAGACTTTTGTATTCCCGAGGAAACTTATAGAACGAGTAACAATATTACGATAAAATTCCAAGCGAACAAAGACTGGGACATCGACTCCGGTAAAGGAACCGAGAGCGTTAAAAGTGTTTCAGACGAATCTGAAATATCAACGACCAGAATATAGAACTTTTTGTTTTAACAGTTATACCAAGTCACACATGAACGCGTATATAATCGGGCTATTCAAAATGACCAATCTATGCAGAAACTCTAAGGAATCGATAATGGAATCGATGTGGCGCATCGTTCGAGACAAGCGTAATAAATAATAGCGTTGTCTTAAAATAACGTGTTGTTAAAATGTTTGATTTCAGGAAAAAAATGATTTGACTGCCACAGGTGTTAGTCTGTGATTGAATAGTCTGGTAACTTATAATTTTTTGCAGATGAATATTCTTTTAAAATGAAGTTTGAATCAAATTCGACCCAAAAGCGAAAATACGAATGAAAATCGGAATAATTTAGTTATTAATAATGTGTATAATAGTTAACATAAAAGCAATACTCAAATATGTGGACACGAAAGTCAAAACGAAGTAATACGGCACGGTTTAATCTTTCATTTTACCGGCACGGTAAATTGCCGTAGTCTTCCCGAATTCGAGTGACTACCAACACGGAACAATCGTGGACGCAAAAATGGAACCGCCACAAGGTGCGCTATTTTCAATTTTGCTGACGTCATCGTATAAAAAAAAATTTCATAGAGCCCAAAGGAATCTTTTGAATAAATAAAAGTAATAGCCTTTTAGCGAAAAATACAATCTTTAACCACGAACAATTTAAAGCAATTGGTCCAGTAGTTGATGAGAAAAGCATTGTTATTTTTTCATACCAACATAAATAAGATTTCTGATAAAAACATAATAACAAATCGATCCATGTGTACATTTCGTGTCCAATAGGAGCCCAGAAGAAACAAGAGAGAAAGTATTAGAGCAAATTAACACGCTATCTAGTAATTTATCATGCGAGTCAGTCTCTCCCGTATTGCCAGATTTGACAAGACAATCCAAACATGAATCGATTCGCAATATTCATAAAAGCGTACAGATCTCATGTGCAATAAAATGCAGTATATGATTTGAAATGCCTAAATTCCGGGATATTGTTTATTGCGCAATATTTCACAATTAATTTTCTGTCAATACGGATCTATAGATATTCAGTGACTTGGTTGGAAGACAACACAACCCAAAATATCCTGACCTTCAACATGCACTTACATATGAATTATCTTTGTACATTTATGACCTGGAACACCGTCGCGACACATGACGGTACAATTGATTCTTCTTTTTTTTCTTAATTTTATTATAATACGAACATTACAAATAAATTTATTTCTATTCAGTAAAACATTCCTTTAGTTTCAAAATATTTTAGCTATACATTCATTCATATCTTAGATATCGCTTTGAGTATTTTCATTTCCTGCACGGTTTCAGAAATAAAATTTAAACGATAATTTCTGATAATTATATCAATCTGGTTTATGGCAAGTCAAGATTATAATCACAATAAGTTTGAAATCAGCAAATCTGCAAAACAGCGTCAAACCTGAGCTCAAGAAGTGGTTCCCATCTTTTTCGACCTTCTGGTCCCTCTGATAAATTGTTTGATGACTTTAAATTAAACCAGTCGAACTCGATATGTATCTGTTTCTTATCAGACTCTTACGACAATACAAGCTGGCATATTGAGATACTCGAGAACAAACGGTGCCATTCGTCCTAAATTTTTCGAGTTAATAATGGCGATGAAGACCACTATGGCGAGTAATTACAATTTTCTATGCACCAAAACCATCGATCTGCCAAAATACTACAGTGAGCCTGAAATTGGAAACTACTGTTCTAGGACCGGGGGAAGGGATGGCGAACATTTTTCAATGAATGAGAAGCATATTATAATTTACAACACGAAAGAGAAAATGTAGGTCGCCAATTTAATCAATGTCTGCAGATACGTAACTAGTTTTTCTGGAGCTCCAGAAGTATGTGCACCAAGATAAGGGTTCAGGTTGCGCGCCATCTTGGTGCACTTACTTTGGGAGCGCCGTTTTTCTACCTTGTTCGAAAGTTTCCTAAACCTGGCTGTGCAGTTCAGTAATTTGGAGCTTTACACATTCAGCACTTTCATCAAGACTGATACTAATTTTCATCAGCATTCCTGGTACTCGATTTAATGAAATTTTTATTGTTGTGTCATAAACGTAGTACCGTAGTAAACGTAGTAAAATTAATCAGGTATAGTTACTCAAGACGTTGAATTACTTTATGTTAAATGAGGGCCGAGCCTGCCTCATTCGGTAGTAAGATAATTAATATGATCGGTGGTATGATAATCAGAATATCTAGATAAGATGAATATCGAAAAGTTTATTTGGAATTTTCTATTGAGCATATCAGCATATTAAAAAAGTTCGTCACGGATCTTGTGACAAGGCTCATTTGTGCGATCGAGCAATGAAAATGGGCGATCATTCAGGAAAGAAAGTGTGAAACACAACACCGAATCACATAACTTTGTGCTATTTGTAAATTGAAATTTTTCAATTTCCATTCAATAATTTGTAATACTGTTTTTGTGTTACAGACAATTGAAAACCATCTAAATAATCTTATTTTCATTATTTAATTTTCATTCCGAAACGTGCAGAGGATAATGTTTAACATTCGGATGATTGCCTACCGTGTCTCGTATTTACGCTTTGGTAAACACATATGTGAGAAAAGAAGTATTTGACCTACATGCCGCAGAAGACGTCTTTAATGCAGTAATGCATATCCTGATATCAGCCTTCGCATGCGTTTGCGTCTGATTTTATTCTATTTCTGTTAAATAACATGTTGAACGTAATGAAGTTGAAAATCGTGCTTTTGCTGCATATATTGTTAGGTGTAAATGAAGGTGAGTTTCAATGATACTAGCAGTGAGAAAGTGGTACTCCCGTAGTATGTGTACCAGGTTAGGATTCCGATTTTCCTTATCTTAGTTCTATTACGAGTTCGGGGACTGTCTATGTTAGCGAAGTGAATAGCCAAGTGAATGTTCACCCTGCCCATAGGTTTCAGTCCCTTACACAACTTGATGTAAAGTAGACGAACAAAATGAGTTACCTCCATATTGGTACGGATACTTCTGGAGCGCCGAGAATGTAACTCATTAGTGTTTTAGACAATTATATGAGTTTGGAGGTGAATACCCAAGTTGTACAAAAAAATTTGAGTAAATAATTCATAACATTGCGTGAATTTAGTATAAAAAACAATAATACGCTACGCTAGTAATTGTCTTAAATTTGTGACACGAAGAAATGATTTTGAACTCAATAGAAAACGAATATACCCGAAGTTCAGAAGTCGCATTGCATGTGAAAATGAAAGTAAATTTATTATCAAAGACAGCTATCATAACTAAAAAAAGACAGCCCATACCGAGTAATTTTGTAATCGATAAGGTTTCTGTCATTAAACTAATGCTTATTTTAATCGATTCACGCACAATATTGTTATATTTTTAAAAAATAAATCAAACTCAATTAAAGAATAATATGTAGCATAAAAAATAAATATAATAAAACAAAAATGTTCACCTTAAAAAAAAACGATAAAAATAGAGTTTAGACAAGATTTGTGGCCGTGAAACCGTCTTTCGCCCCAGGAATGCATAACTTACGTCAGCATATTATGCATTGTTTGCAAAAACGTTAATTTGGTTAATCCGCGCGCCTTTTTGTTTTAGCGTTCCCCCACTGCGACATTCTCCCAAAGGTTTGTTTGTTTTGCTTTTGAAAATTTAACCTGTGTGGTGTCTGAGCGGAACTGGTTTGAAATATAATCGGGTACAAAAGTTTATAATATCAAACCTCTTCGCGTTCAGATTTTTTTGTAAGAGTTTCTAAGTTCTGTCACCGTCCTTCCGTATTCGTGAATGAACGGAAACAAGGGGAAGTTATTCGCACTGACATGTGTAACGTCACTTTAATTGTGGAATTTATTAACCTTATGTTGAATCCTTCGCAAATACATGCAACAAGTTTGAACTGGTTATTTTGAAAAGCTCGTATAGTCTTTTATGGCAACTATCCAAAATTGTAAAAAGACACATCAGACAGTGATAAGGTATATACAAAATTGTATATAAATGTACATCTCATTACCAATAAGTACAGTTTATGTCACATAAATTTCACGGTAGGAGCGTGCAATCTTAGAAATTTGGAGGTGGCGCATTGAGTCAACATGCGTGGGTATTTAGCACAATCCCAAGTTGAAATATCTAGGTCCGAATCCATTTTTTTCGTCAGTCGGTTCCATCAGACAAATGTCATATTTTCAGCCGGTTCTGACACAAAAGTCATGTTTTTTTCAGTAATGCTAACCAGTTCGCTCATAAAATTCCGTGAGACGGTTCCACTACTGCCCATAACCACCTGTGTGTAAGTTCTTTTGATGCGCGTGTTTACTTTTATAACACGCTGAAAATATAGCCCTCATGCTAAAACCGTTGACTAAGTTTATTCGAGAAAAGTATCTTCGCTTACTTCAATTCTATAATAGCCTATACTCGATAATCAATCGACTTCTGACCAGAATAAAAATATTTGTTAATGATTCAGGGATTTCCGATAGTCCGTTTATAGACAGAAAAGAGGCAAGCAGATTCCTTGGTCGAACAAAAAGAAGTAACTCATTTTGGGAAGAAATAAAATCTGGAAATCAGGAGCGGGAGTGTATTGAAGAAGATTGTTCAATGGAAGAAGCTTACGAAGTTTTTGATAATAATTTTAAAGCGGTAACTATGTACTTTTAAGCTATCGTTTACATAAAAGAGAACCCGGGATAAATATGTAAATCCTATCCTAAATCCTATCCTGTAATTTTGTTTCAACTACATCTAGAACATGACAAAAATTGAAAAAAAAATCTATATATAAATGATTTCCTTATCACGGTGATAAGATTACACACTTCCACTAAAATACCGCTATTGTAACATATTTTCTGACGAAAATTCATCTAAAATAATATTTTATTACTTTCAGAACCAATTTTGGAAGAAGTATTTGAGTAAGTGCTAAAATAACCTTACTTAAAACCTTAATATTGATAATATATCGCAACAACCGATCTCAAAATTTTCTGGTAACACAATATGAACCGAGAAAACATAATTTGTAAACACCATTAGCAATATCATTTTAAAGGAAGGGTGCGTCTAAAAATTGCGAATGAGAAAATACAGATGAAATTTCCCTCAAAAAATTCACATTAATAGGAATGTCAATAGCAATTGCTAGAGTAATTATTTCAGATCATTCAAACATTATTGCAGTAATACCGATTCGTGAACAAAATTCTCAAACAACTTTTACTAACTTTCATTGATAAATATCGATTTAAGCTTAGAGATTCTATTCATATTTTATAATGATTGTTCCAAAGTGAATTGAAAACCACTCAACTTCATAAATTTCAACCTTTTCTCCCAGGATGCAATCAAGCTCTTCCGCGGCGTTATAAACAACAAGGAAAGATAAGAATTGCGCGCCAGGCCTCACGACGAAGCGAAAGGGAAAACGTGAAGTTGAGAGCTTGTATTTCAGGCATGTTGGATTTTTGTTTAGAACGTTTGACAACAGGTTGCTATAAAAATAAAAACAAATATTTGCACAATTATAAGCACTTGGTATTTAACCGTAAACAATTGAATATTTCAAATATATTATTAGGCCAGTATCATACGTTAAATACTGCGTCCTCTAGTGTAAAACTAATGGTAAAATGGTGACCTTCGGGTATAAAGTGGCCTGGGTATAAAGAATATTTGTCGATGTCAATCAGTATGTCCGACCTATGTCCATCAGTAACCTCCCGTTTATGGTCACCATATGAGATAAAGATCGTTTTTTCATTGATTTTAAGTTGCGAAATTCGAACCAATTTAATTCTAACTGTTATGTAATATACATCGCTTCATTTCGTAACTAACGTCTGACCAGACCAATTGTTACTATTTCAAGTAAATAATCGATTGTTCTGTAGAAATATATCTGACATAACAAGTATAAGCCGGTGAGAGGCCTCAAGATAATCACCTCATGGAAAAAGCAAACATAAATTAACACTTTTTGTTTTCTGTACTATCACCTTTAAATATGGCTATTTTTACTTCCAGACGAAGACCAATGCAATCCTTTTCCTTGCGTTCGCTCAAATACGGCAGAATGTGTCGACACAGTCAGTTCCTTCAAATGTGTTTGTAAGAATGGTTTTGCCGGAAGAAAATGCGAAAGTCGTGAGTTTCAAGAGTAATAATGTGTTTAAATAATTAATTAGTGACGCAGGTTGTGTTATCAATAATTAGTAGCCATTGATAACAATCTCTTAAATAATAATGTTTACGTTGACGGTAACATATCTCGTTTGCTACAAAATTAATGGCATCTTTGATTTCGGTATTGTATTATAGAGATTTGTCTTTCTGGCAAGTTAGTCTTCATAAATTCGGAGTACAACATTTCAATTTGTGATATGAAAAATAACACCACTTTATTTTATCTCATTCAATCTGAATCTGGGATACTTATCAATAACAACAAGTCAGTAGAGCCTGCGATTGAATTTTATTGCCCCTGCTAACCTTTACGTCAGACATATTCGGAATAATAACATAAGCAGAACGCCAATTCTAAATCTTTTATGAAATTACTAGGTATATTAGTTGGATTATTCAAAAAATTTCTCTAAAATCTTATTGATTTTATGTCTTTCAGCGCTGAACGAATGTCTCAGCAATCCTTGTCAAAATTCTGCAATCTGTGAGGATGAAATAGGAGGTTTTACATGTTTTTGTGATTCAAATCACGAAGGCATTTTTTGCGAAATAGGTGAGGATCTGAATGGTAAATTATATTTGACAATGTTGCATTTATATCAGAAATTACCCGATTTCTCACAGTTTTCACAACTTATATAACATGTCTTTATCCATGCTACCCGAATACTTGAACTAAAATTGTAATGCACTGTTATTCTAATTTATCTAATAATATTAAACAAAATCTAGTGAAACCAAAATCATCATCTCAGAAAATATTTGATATTCATTTACAAAAAATGACCCATCTCAAAATATGTGACTGAATGTTATTTATATTCCAGAGGTCAACGACTGTAGGAACACGGTTGAAAAACAATGCAGTGCAGTGGGTGGTATATGTCAACAACGTGACGCAGGAGATGCATATACATGCGTATGTAACCCTGGTTATCAAGGCGAACTTTGCAAACATGGTAAGCAATGTAAATTAGCGTTTAATACAGAGATAATTCTATCGGATTGTTATAATATGGATGGGTAAATAATCTCATATTAGCAGCACCAGAACAGTTTGGTGGCGTTATACTACTCACCAGATATAGATAAGAAGTCTATTAGACAGACGCACGACTGTTGTATTCATACGATATTGAGTTTTACATTATTTTTTATTGCTATTACAAACTTTTCATTCTTCGAAATTATAGTGGGTATTATTCAAGACAGCGAGTTATCTTTAAAATCAACACATTTTAATTGTTACTTCTTACCATTAATTAACTCACTGCAAACTTTTATGCCAGACGTTGATGAATGCCTGAATTCGACCTCATGTGAACAAGAATGCCATAACACTGTGGGAAGTTTCACATGTACCTGTGGACACGGATTTCTTATAGATACAACTACACGAACCACTTGCAAAGGTAATCACTTCTGATCTAACATTTAGAATATCTTCACAGAGTGGTAAAGCGGTTTGACTTTAAACCGTAGTGATGTAGTTAGGAATTTATTTTTCAAATGCAATATAATATTTGCATTCGGTTTTCTTTGAGTGATTTATACTTCAATGGACCTATATTTTTAGGTAAACTGTTACAGTAAAGTAAACTTTATTCCAATCGTCATACCAAAAGAATAATAAATATCAAACATTTAATGATTAACATTTTCAAATGACTGATGAAACATATTTCCTATTTTCATAACTTGTGTAGTAAATTACTATAAATATTGATGAAACCGATATCCGATTTCCTTAGTCTGCACAAACAACAATTTATGATCGTATATATTACATTTACGACAGCTTTAACAGCTACAGGTAACTAACTATATAGTATACGCTGACTTTTTAGATATAGACGAATGTAATGACGTATCACACGGTTGCATATCCCAGGATTTCTGTCACAATACTCCTGGAAGTTTCTATTGCACTTGTAAGCACGGCTTTCAACTGGATGAAACTTATAGGTAGGTGGTCTTATGACAATTGTTAACTAAAGATTTGGTTAGCCAAGCTTTTTTGCTTTGATATCAACTTTTTTAAGGATGTATTTCAAACTTTCTCGGACAAGAAAACTCCGAACAAGCTAACGAAAAGATAATAGGCTTTGAAAGCTGGATCTCCAGTGAGAGTTTGTGTTATCAACAAAACATCATAGTCATTTAATCAACATTACTTAAGACTTTAACAGACACTAAAAATATAATAAAATGAAAACAAGTAATTTTGTTATTTTTGCCGTGTGTTTATCCCTATTTTTAATTTTTTTTTACAGACGATATTGTGATGACATTGACGAGTGTGCTGACGAAAACGGGGGTTGTCCTATAATTGAAGGAGGTTGTGGACTAAATGGAAAAACTTGTAAAACCTGTAATAATTTCGACGGAGGTTTTAATTGCTATTGTCCATCGGGATTCAATAGTTATGTAGAAGGCGGGGATTGCACGGTAATAACTGCGTTTTTAAATCCTACTATTATTTTTGGTAATGACTTAAAAAATCAAGATTACAGACTGAAAATGAGTATCAATACAACATATCCACTAAAAACATTTCTCAAATAAATTTACTATTAAAATAAAAATAAATTGAGAAATATATCGTTGCAAATACATATACTTATTCATTTCATCTATTTTTTTATAATTTTCCGAGATCTTCTATAGATTTCATCTATCACAGTCTCAATTGTGGGTTTCTTTCATAAATAAAATTGTGTTTTTTCGGTTTCTTCTCAGGACATAAATGAATGTGAGTCCAGCTATCATGGCTGTCAACAAAAATGTGAAAATTTCCCAGGTGGATACAGGTGTTTATGTAGTGAAGGATACATGTTGAACTTCAATGGCAAGACATGTTCAGGTCTGTATATTTTATGTTCCTGATTTGCTATTGCGACAAACACTATATAATCGACATTTCACAGTTTCATATATGATATGGCATTAAAGCCGGCGTAGGGAATTTCCGATATTCTACGCGGAGAACTGCTTTAATCTAAATATGGTGTGGTGTCCTCGTGTAGAAAAATAGTCCTGTTTGATGAATACTTTTTAAAGTGCGATCGAAGGTTTTAAAAGTCCTGGATATACCGTGTAAAAAATTCTACATTCAGTGTTTTAAATTAATGACGTTTTCGAGCTGCTGGCGCATCTTTAATTTTCGTCAAAGGCACCAATTTTATAGATACACCGCTATTGATTAAACGCATTAGTTTTCTTCATTTCATGTTTTAGATATCAACGAATGCCTAAAGGATCATGGGTGCTCATATCGATGCAGTAACAATGTTGGATCATATTATTGTACCTGTAAAAGAGGATTTGAATTAGACGACGTATGTATTATTAAAAAAACATTGTTGATAATGCATTGCTATATTTCAAAGCATAGATGCAAAAGTTTCACGAACACATAACAAAAACTAGATTAAAAAATATGAGATGCAGGTTCGGTTAAAGTTATTGGACAAATAGACAATGGACCGGCCTTAGGTTTCATCGTGACTGTTCATTCCCAATTAAAAATATTTTCTAGGACCAGCGAACTTGCATCGATACAGACGAATGTCAAGGGGTAACAAAATGTGATCAAACATGTATAAACACCGATGGTGGATATAAATGTGGATGTAATCCTGGATACAGATTACTTGGCAAATACAAATGTTCGGGTGGGTAATCTCATTCCGATTTATTATATTTTTTTTTAACCTAAAATACCCATCCTTGCACTTACGACAACTAACATTAGTACTTGGTGCCGAACGCTGCCTTCACAGCTTCAAGATTGCAAATCGTTGACGAATTCTCAGTTGCCTGGTGGGAATTTTGAAGTATTCAGGTTTTACGACCCTATATTGTACTGAAAACTATGGTTTTGCTCGAAAAAATAAACGAGTTTTAGGTTTCAAAAAGGAGTCTAAAACGGGTGCAGGTTCGGATAAACCCGGAACCATAGTATCTGGCGTTATCGACAGAGGAGTACAAGGTTATTTCGTTTTCTTCCGATTCAAATTTTACCTTATACAAGCCTTAGTTAATTGCAAATTTTATTCGGCAATTACAGTACAAAATGCCTAGACCTAGATGGATCCTAATTTTAATTCTATTCTTAATCAATTCTTCTTAATTCGAAGAAATTGACGAATGTCGTCCAAGACCTTGCGGTAATAATGGAAATTGCATTGATGAAGTGAATGGATATCGATGTGAATGCTTTGAGGGATTTACAGGAAAATTATGCGATGTCGGAACAGATCCATGTGCAGGAGATCCGTGCCTAAATTCCGGTGTTTGTTCAGCATTTGACTCCGGGTAGCTTTTAGGTTTCTATATATACACAAACAACCACAGGACGACGAACGCTAAGTTCTAAAGCATTTTCAATATTGAGAAATGCCTCTCAATCTAATAAATACTACATATATATAGAATTTCGTGGTTATTGATGATGAATTTTTATATCGATCGGTAGTATAACACACCTATTTCGACATTTTCAGAACAGCCTAAAACATATACAGATAGACATATTATTTTTTAAATTTATCAAAACAAGCTAAATTACGTGACACTATAACTCTGCCATAGGACGCCAAATGTAAAAAAGAAATGATATTTCTACTTCATAATTCGACATTTTAATTTATTAAGGTACGTTTGCCGTTGTGCCCATGGCTATATTGGACCCCGTTGTCAAACTAAACATATTGAGATGTGTGAAATTGGTTATCGAAGAGAAGACGGGCAATGTATTGATATAGATGAATGCGCTGAAACGACAGGACTGTGTCAACAAATCTGCCACAACACCAAGGTCACCTAACCTTACACATAGATATCATTTTATTGTGAGACCTAAAAACTTTCAGTTCTAAAGTTATCTGACCACTTTTGGGGTGATTATGTTTCATCAGTACTTTGTTTAGTTGGCTATATTAAATAGTTTAAGTTGAATTTTATAGAAACAACAACCAAGATATCTATTATTGCTATAGGAGAAATTAAGGAAGATATAAATCACGAGCTGAAGTATTTTCTAAGGCCATAATCATACAGACTCATGGTTATCATTGCTTTCAAAGACATCGATCGTTTCTACCAATATTACTCAAACGTCCTGGTTTAACTTACTTAACCCGGTGCAGAACTATTTCAGTAAATTGAAGCCAAATTTTACTAATAATTTTTCACTATAAATTTATAGCCAACATTTTTTTTACATTATGTAGAGCTTGTTATCTTGTTATATTCACTCAATGGCTATAATCAAATATATATTAATTGAGAAAATAATAAAAAACAAAATCAGATAAAGCAATGCTTATTTTTAGGGTTCATATACTTGCACATGTGATGCTGGATTCAATATGAACGGATTGAATTGTGAAGATATCGACGAATGCTTGAATAGTCCTTGTCAGCAAGTTAGTATGAATTCAGTATATGCCTTGTGCTATAATAAAACAATCAAAAAAAACTCACGCTCAATTATTAGAAACGCGTAGGAATTGTTTTGTTGCCAGTAGAAACAGACAAAAGTATAGATGCTATTATTATTACGTCAGAAAAAGGGAATCGACATTTTAACAAAGAAATTAATAGGTTTTGATTTAAATCGTTTTTGAATATCAACCGACTAAAAATTACAATCGTTCGTGATAGCTGGTGCAAGTAAAATAGCATATGATATTCGTGTTTCCTTTAATCTGACATATTATATCCGTCATGTTTATACTTCATAACGTTGCACTCCGGGCAGGGCAGCTATTACGTATTTACTTCTAATTAATTAATTAAGTAACATTGTGTTATTGAATTTAGGTTTGTACGAATTCGATCGGGTCGTATGACTGTAGTTGTAGTGAAGGTTATTCATTAAATGAAAGTGATGACACTTGCGAAGAATTGTTTGCATGCGTTGGAAATTCACCGCAGATGTTGCCAGAAAAACATTTTCTGTTGGGAACAAGGAAAATCGATTATATTTCACAAACCTTCGTCGAAAGCAGCAGCTCGTAAGTTAAAGATTTTACCGATTCGAAAAATGATGTATTTGTTTCGTTCAGTAGGCCTACATGATATTTAGCGAGCTGTTTCACATCTTCACTACGGAACCTTTTCTGTACAACTTATACACGGGAAAATGCCGAGATAAAATAACAAGATTTTTGCTGCATTCTTTGCTCATTCGGTACACACTTAGTGAGGTTACTAGCGGGTGTTAACTTCCCACCAATTTCCCAAACCTTGTACCGGATACCCTGTAATGTCCGCATAGTTGATAGTTGGCTAATCCCTACTCAACCATCCTGCATAGCAGGTACCATAATAATTTAAACATATTCCTAACAACTGTTTAAAAAAATCCACTTTAAATCCTAATATTCACAGGTTTCAAATTGGCTTCGATTTTCGTACATTCGATACTGATGGAATGCTTGTTGCAGTTGTATGTAGTGATGTTGAGCAGCACTACATTTTCTTGCTTCATGCGGATGGACAGCTCACACTCGCCGCATTTGTATCTTGGCCGCCGAAGATAGAAATTACCAAACCGAAAAATGCTCTTGTTTTGTCTGACGGACAATGGCACAGTGTAAGTAATGAGAATATATTTTAAAATGCACGTACAAGGCGCCAGTTACAAACGCACAAACCAAAATAATTTTTGTTTTTTAAAATGGAGGTAAAATGGAACAAGAAATTAAATCATTCCAGTTTTAATTTTTATGCGGATATTGAATAAAAAAAATCTGATTTACGTATTTATTTTCGCCAGGGAAAATATAATTTAATTTGTTTAACTTAATAAATTAACGATATACAATGTGTCGCAAAAGTCTGTGCGATTCAATCAGTCAGCGACACTTAACGGTTAAGTTTAGACAGCAAATGACGACCACACAATTGAAAAACCGATTTGAATTATGTGCTTCGTAGTATGTTGATATACTTTGATTGAAGGTCTATTTATTGAAAGTCCTTTTTCTTGTTTATTAAAATCTCAAACGAGAACACGCGAAAATACTTCATAATATTGGTAATTGCCTGCCAGTAGTGGTATGTACTAGTTAGTATTTGTACTACATGATACAGCTTCAACAAAATGTAAAAATTAGATTCCATTTTTAATGGTTATACGTAAAACTACAAATTTTTAATAATACTTCAGATAATTCTCCGAAAAAGAAAAAATCGTGTGACGGTTATGGAAGGCAAAAATAAGTTACTTGATCTCAAATTCATGAAAAACAAATTTGGAAGTGCAGGTCAAATATATTACGGTGGCATTCCTGGAGATGTAACAGTGCCAACGACGATCAGGGTAAGATGGTTTAGTTTTATCATTTGTGATGTTGCTGGCAGCCAAATATAATATAGTTGTATCGAAGATAATTTATTATTAAAAAAAAAGTATCGTAGTAGGGTTTTTGAATTTCAACATTTTTTTTATACCTTGCTGACCTAGGCATTGTGATTGCACGAAAGCTTGCTCGACAACAATAAGTTTTGCATAAATTTTGCAATGCAATAGGTATTTCTTATTTGCAGACAATGTTGAATGTCGGAAATTGGGGTCGATTAAGTAAGGAAGGTCAAGATGTCATAGAAAGGTTTGGGCGCACATTGTCAATGGTGTTGATGACGTACTATGTATATATATACATAAATACTCAATTCAATAGGCATATACAGCCAATCGAATTATACGCATTTACAGGCATCTGCTTGGTATCGAAGATGTCCATTGAAATCACAACGCATTCAATTGAATATTTCTTTTTCTTTTTTGAATGAATTGCTAATACACAGTCTCCAGTAAAACGTGATCCTGATGTTTTATTTTTGAAGCATTAATTTTGTATTTTCAAAATGGTTTTTCATAATAGCGCCAGGAAATAATCTTACGTGAATTTAAATACGCCAAATCATCAGGAGCGTTAGTACTGAAACCGAGGAACATTGCACCGACAGAGTCGACATTGCGAATTTGTACAAATTGGAAATACCAATGGAATTACTTTTTCGATTCGCCACACTGTCCTCCCCAATGAGTTTCATCTCGCACAAGTAAAATTTAATGTAACAACACAAATATACTAATCTATTCTCAAATGTGACAACTAAAAAGGTTGATATCTTATGTATCAGTTTCACTTATTTACACATACTATGTTACCTATATTTTCTAGAGATAAAACAATATGAGGTAAAAGTATATTTGCTGCAAGCGACGACACTCTCTGTTCGCGGACCGCACAGTCCTCCAGCATTTCAAGATTAATAATTTTTTTTGCGCTCTATATAAAGTCGAGAATGAATTCTTAACTCTTTACAGGATACGGATCTGTACTTTCAAGGATGCTTGAAAGGTAATTACACACATGGTTTCACCATTGCGGGCGATAGCAAAATGCCAGGAATTCACAATGGATGTTTTGAATCGATTGAAAAAGGAATGTATTTTGATGGATCAGGATTTCTACACCAAAGTAAGCAAATATAAAAATAATTAAATTCAATAAATGGTACTACTACCATGTTACATCAAGCAGTTCCAAATAAGAGTGCTCCAATACCCAAAAGGGTTATTGATTGCACATGGAAAAAATGACAACTCTCGTCGAAATCGAACGTAGCGTAACACAAAGTTGTGACCATAAAAATCAATATAAATTTATGATAAATAAGCTGTAATATTAAGTTGTTACCAAGTCGTTTTCTGGTGATCCCGAAATCACGGACATTCTATCGGTATTTATTTTATCGTATTTTCTCTATACTTTGTTTTTGTTTTAAATTCCGTGCATGGTCGTCGAAAACAAACGTAGGCAACTCCAGTGTGCTAATGTTCGTCAGGTAGTTTTCTATCAGCTATCTTTTAAACGCTAAGCACCTTGCTCCAAGCAAACTTGTAAAAAATCGTCGAAGCGATCTTTACAACATCCCCGCCTAAAATGCTTTTAATATAATGAACCCCAATTTTATTTCACAACCTTGATAATTATTTATTCCATTTTTTTTTTATCCAGGCGTTGAGTTGCAAACTAATTTGCGAATGAGATTTGAATTCAAATCATTATCGGCCCAAGGAGTGATTATATTCGCTGAAGATGCACTCAGAAGTAGATTCTCTGTGACGATTGCTGGAAACCAGGTTTATTACTGATTACTTATACAGATTACTTAAAATTTTGGACAAGAATATGAATCCGAGGGGAATAGAGGAATGTGACATTGATGGAACATGTCACAAATGGAGCCCCGGATTGATGTCATTCATGTCGACTATGACATATTCGTTTTATTATTACAGATTATTGCAAGTTTGACAACTTCCAGGAATGAAACCCGTTCAAGCACGTTTACCACAAGTAACGGTGAATTATTATGCGATCAAATTTGGCATATTTGTGACTTCACAATAACATCAAATATGGTAGGTATGACGTCTGCGCAATTTCATTGCACTCACTTCAATATAACAAGTTGAACGCCAAATCATGCTTCGGCCCTTACCTGACTTCAAGCTATACCGGTGCCAGAACATTAGCTAAGAGATTTAATAGCGGTATACACATTTTGAAAATACTGACGGAGGTTCCATTCGAAATCACGGATTATTTTTATATAAATTACAAGCGTAGCAGAACGTGACAATCTACAATTCCTTCCATTTTTATCCCAGTTATAATTTGTTATATGAAACAGCAGCGACACAAATGGCAGCAATAGTCTGCAGCAGCGATAGACTGCTTTTTCGAGACTCATTATATGAAAAAGTTACAGTATATAACTTAACTTAGGATATTTTCATGGCGATAGCATAATGAACGGTACTCTGTTTCATACTCAGGTGCGACTTCATGTGGATGGGGTAGCTGCCGGACAAGATAACATTTCAGATTCGAAAAGGGTCCAATTTACTGGTCTTGTCGACCTTTACATCGGCGGCCGTCCAGGTAGGTTCCAGAATATTATTTGTTAGTTAACCTATTTGGTTTCGGTTATTTGCTGAAATCATGGAATAGAATATAAAAATAGGTTGCCACTTGTGTCAATAAATTTATTGTAAAAGATTATTTTAGCCTTGTCGAAAGCTTATATTTTTCGTTCTTCATTCAGGTGCTACATCAAGGAGTTCGTATACAGGAAGCCTTCGTAATATAAAAATAAACCGCAAGGATCTGAGCCTTGATAATATAGTAGAGATGAATGGTGTCCGCTTGCATTCTATACCAGCATTATAGAACCGACTCGGAGATGGCGATTAGCGTATATTACGCTTGAGGAGCCAATCACATGAGCGATGCTAATCAAAGTCAATCATCGAATATTCTTGACGAAATCTCGCGTTTTTATATGTTAAATGTTATTCTGCAAGCTTTTTCGAATTTTCAATTAAATATCGGACAAATGTAAATGGTTATTTATGTATACAACTCACCTGACTTTTTAATTATTATACAAATCATAGCATGGGTGTCATTCTTTGAACCCAACTTGTGGCTGATGTTTTTGAGCCTGAAATTCCACGGGAATACGGATTGACCAACATACACACACATTGAAGACACAGGTGTTGCCCAGTTGAAGAAGGCAAACTGTCCACACCTATGGAACCTGTATATATATGTAAAGAAAGTAGCTCACGTTGGTAGTTTACGTTTGGAACCAGTACAAGCCTCTCACACTTAAATTACACAAAATCGACGCAGACACGCTAGTAGTCTTATTCTGTAACCTAACCGTTCCTGCAATTTCCACGTGTCGTAACCTAAGTTTAGTTCAGTTCAGAAGCAACTCAAAGCAGTATATACAAATAATAATGAAGCACCAACAAACATGATAAAAGCATGTCATGTATGACACAGCAGATAAATTACGGTTGCCAGTAAACAGAAAAAGTTAGAAATACCAAAATGAGCAATATTTATTACATGAAACATGCAATATAAATTAACACACCAGGTTTGATCTACAACTCGTCTCGGATTTCACAAGCCACTTCTTTTACACCAAGTGTGGCGATTGTAGTTTTGTGCTGACGAGTCGAGTGAACGTGCCGTGTCTTTTCAGGCTTGCTGCATTTTTAAGGCACGCCTAATTAATTAACTAAGGTGAATCTGATATAAAACCCAAAATTCTCATGTAGCTTGTTTTCGTCAGCATTACGCGGTTATTCAGGCCGTATACTATATTCCACAAACGTACCATATTTCGCAGGTAAATCCCTCTGCACACGTATTTCTTGAACAACGAGAACGTCGATAGACGATAGTTAGTTTTTTTCTAGTCTAGAACTGTGATTTCTGCCCTGTGTGAAAAACTAGGCGACAAGACGGTAAAGAGAATTGAAGGAGTGAATACGCAAATCAAGTTTCTGACTAAAAATAAAAGAGAGAATATTAAACTGTGCTATAAAATGGTTGTATGGGGATTCCAGCGAAAGACGAACAACGATAATTTGGGATTTATCACAGATCTTGAGAATGGTCTATCGGTGAGTAGAGACAGAACAACGCAAATTTGAGGAATTCACAATGTCGCAAAAACATGAATAAAAACCAAATATATTCGGGCAGTTAACCACGCATTTTATGTCTAAAGGTTCGTAGTCCGTAGTATTTTAAAACAAATATGCTTTTATTTTGTTGCATGTCCTTTAATCGCGATTTACCATTATCACGGCAAAACAGTCCGTAATGTATAAAATATTGTAAGGGGACGACACTGCAAAAAAAATGTGAGAACCGCTGGTCAAAGATCTAGCTAGATCACAGCGCCGCCACTGTTGATTTGTGATTTCTCATGCCTACATTGTTCCCTCGGGGCTGTTCATTTTGAACACCCATTGGGAATAAGTAGACGTGACTTTACAAAGCTTCCTACTCAAAAGCCTTTGTTTTTTAATATTCAACTTGATCCGGGCTCAGTTGTGTCACCCCTAGAAGCCAATTTTTATGCAGAGGTCCGGGATATTAGCCAGATTTCCTTGCATATCAACGACGACATTTTGTTGTTGTCGCCACTAGTGATCAATACAAGTCTCCAAACTTCATTTTTTGAACGCTCTTAAAACTTGAGGAACAAAATAGCGTTTCCAAGATAATCAATCTATTTGCGATATTAATTACTGACAACTCAAATATATATAAGTACAGTGGCATATAAATCTTTGTTACAACTCCACAATTTTGGTAAGAAGTATATAGTAGACTAAATAGATACAAAAATAAATTAACAATACTATAAAAAAAATTAAAAAGAAACACTTTATGGAATGTGACATGTTCAAAATTTATTGTGTTATAAAACATCCTAAAATCCTCATAATTGATCTTGCACAGTTAGTAATCAGATCAGGAAACTAAAACTGTTAGATAGTTGATATACGAGAACATTTATCCCTAACCTACTTCTAGCAAATCTCCGCTACACGGTCTTGAGGTAAAGAATGTTGTTTCTTGATATCAGAATTTGATAACTCAGTCTGTTTGGGTAGATGTAGATTTTCTAACTGCTTATTATGCAGCACTAAAGATTCTCGATACTCTCTCTCATGTACAAATGAAGGTGAAGATTTTACTCTACTCGTACGCTGCCCAGTTTTCTTCTTGTGCAATCGATGGGAATCCGTAGTAAATTCAGATTTCTTTGAAGCGAATTTTGGTGAAGGACGTGTCAATGGACAACTAGGTTGCAATCTTGACTGAGGGGGTTTTCTATTACTCAATTCTATGTTTGAATTTTCATCAGAGGTATTGGTATTAAGCCATGCTTGTTTTACAACTTTACGTAAATGAGGTGGCGGTATAGTTGGTTGCTGAAATCGCTTTGGATATGTTCTTACATTATGATCAGAGAGTGGTTGAGTAGTCGGTCTGATGCTTCCACCAGTACGTACACTTGTCTGATCCATGAATCCCTCTGAAACAAAGACAATGAAGTTGGGTCATTGAATGAAAAAAGAATGCCACAGGTAGGTGTGTTTACAGGTTGTCGCTAAAAAAGCGGTTCCCAAAGGAAAAGCGATTTGCTAAGTGCGCCCCGAAAATTAACATAATTGTGTTAATTTAAAGAAAACAAATATAAGATTAAATATTTTACAAATTGTATTCATTATACATGTTTTCTTATTATAGATGCTGTCATATTATTCAATAAATCCATTATCCATGTCACCTTCTCTGTGCCGTTTACTTTCTGTTACATAGTGTTCTGTTACGATCACGAAATTTATGTTTATTTAGAGGCCGCAATTTTATTGTTTAAGTGCGCCATGAGTTTATTAAATGAGTTTATGAGTTTATTTAAAATTAAATTAAATTCCCTGATAATTTGGCACCACATGAACAGAAAGTTTAGGAACCGCTGCGCTAAAGCCTAAAGGTTATAATCTTTATTTATTTCCAAAATATCTGTGGGCTCTGCGGGATTCAGTGGATAGAGCAGGCTTTAACGGTCTAATTATGAATTCGCAAAACAATGCAAAAGCAGCTCAAATTGTTTTGTAATATTTTAATTAAGCAGCTCAAATTGTTTTGTAATATTTTAATTTCCAAACTTTTGATGTATAGGCATCTTCACTCATTAAAAAAAATCTTATAAAACAAAATAAATCTATATTGCCTCTAAGGTTAACCCAAATAGACACAAGAAAAACAATGGTCTAAAAAAATTTGTGGCAGTGGGCATGAGGAAATAGACCAAATCAAATGCTTCAAACAACCAACACATAGAGTATCATTGGTTTCAAGAAATATATTTATATTTAACATGAATAATCTTGTATCTTTCTTCCTTGACTTCTCAAGTGAAAAACGAGAATATCGGTCAGAGACCGAAGACTTATTGATCGAAAGTTAGGGGATCCCCCAAAACAGCGCTCTTACTCCATAGTGACACCTTGTGTCCCATCACTAATTAATTGATAACTCGCTAATTATACGACATAATTCATCCAAAATCAATAGGCTTCTGGTACGACATATGATGAATGCACATGCAAAATCTAAAGCAGATTCAATCTCGCTTTCGTGAGATATCGTGTGCATCTAACAGACAGACAGACAAACAGACAGACAAATACCTATCAACATACTTACCGATTAAAATCGATAAGTAATAACTGGCACTCGTAATCTAGACTATTTTACTCACCAGACTCACTGCCATTATCAAAAGCATCTCCGCCTTTGTAAGTTTTGAGGAAAGTTCCAAGAGGATTTTTCCGAGGTACGTACAAGCCAAGTCTTGAAAACGATCTTGAATCCATGAAGTGAGAACAGTTATATCGAGCTCCAATGATAAAAGCATGTGGACTCTCGTTCCCATGGCAAGGAATAGGCAAGAGGCTGAATAAATACGGGAAAAATGAAATTTTTGGCAATATATCAGATAACCGGAACAAGAAAAAGAAAATGATGATTCCATCTATATATATATCAGCCATCATAGTAATTATACAAATACCCAGGACTGATAAGTCATCCTCATGATGACAGGCCTTAATCAATGATGACATTCCCTTAAAACAATTTTCAAGGTGCTGAAAACAATATGAAAAATTAGTCTTTGAAATTTAAATATTAGCTAAAAATTACAGTACGGTAATTTATTACCATAAAATATTAAATTTGCTAAATTGTAAAGATACTTCATGGCTATGGACAAGCTGCATATTCAATCAGCTATGTGTAAAAGAGCAAGCAATAACCCCATTTAAGCGGACCAAATTGGAACACCATTTTAAAACAATCTGAGTCAGGTGGGTACAATTGCTAAATTACATACAGAACAGTGTGAATGTGTGATTAGGGCTGGGCATTTCGAATCGAATAGTAAATTATTCGAATCGGTTGAGGGAGAAATTTTTGATTTGCCGCCATCTTGTATTTTTTTCTTTCTGCCAATGGTCGAGGTGAATTTCTCAATTTTTTTTCTGAAGCCATATTTTTTTAACGCAATTCTGACATGTGATGTTTTTATTGTGCGTGAACACTCAGCAATCTGTCTGAGTGGTGTATTTTACGTTTTCAGTAATTTATGTGTCTGGAGGACCCAATACAAAAAGAAAGTTACATACAATTATATATCTACCAAGTATTCGAGATTTGATTCTAAAATCGTCAGGTATTCGACAATGCCCAGCCCTATGTGTGATGTAACTAAACTTCTTTTAAAGACAAATATTCTCACTCTTTATTGAGGTTTTGTCTTGTTGGCTTCATTTCCTTCATTCCTAGAAGTTAAAAATAAGCATACCAGTCATGAATTTTGACAAATTGAAGACCTTTGAATATGAATTCATGAATGTGCAAAAAGAATCTCATAAGAGCTGATTATGTAGGAGGCTCAATGAGACAGTTGCTGAAATCACTCCTTTTTGTCGAAGGGTGGCTGGTTACATCTCCCACCAAACGATTTCCATACCCAACCTTAACTGGTTTCAAAGAGGCAGCGGCTTGCTTTATAATCAAGCTTGTTCGTCGTTTTTTCAAGAAAACAATGAAGAATGCCATTCAATTGAGTATATATATGTTTAAAACATACTTTTTTAAAGTTCTTTCTTATCTTAGCCTGCCACAGCTATTGCATCGGGGAGCATACATAAGAAGGCATACTTAGCAAAAGTCGATAAAATAATCATATTTCAGTAAAATGCTAATATTTCAATATTCTTTTTCACAATTTAGCATGGAACACTCGTCTCATCAAATCCTTGTAAATATCATGTCATATGCTGCGGTAGGCGGGCATGTTGGGCTATGTAATCAAAATATATGAATTGTTTTTGTTGTGTCCCAGAGCAACATGGAAATAAAATACAAGTGTTGAGCTCACACACAAATAACAATAGATTTATCTCAATGAGGAGCCTGTGGAAATTGTGTGTTTAGTCATATTGAATTACCCATGTAATTCTGAACAAAAGAAAACATTTCGTGATCAGGGCAGTTTTTGAAGTTGCGCTGATTTGACATGTTCATACCACATTAAAAAAATATTTCCAGTAAAGAAACAAGGTGACCTGTCAATGACTGTTTTGAGTTCCTGATAACAGAACATAACCAAATGGATATGAAACCTTGATGTTTTGATGGAGATGGTACTTGTAACATAGATAAAAACTATTCGGTATATTGAAATGTCGGCTAAATATAAGCTAAGTTAAGAAATGAAATGGTAGATTTCAAATTGACATTTTAAATAGGTATGGAAACATGACATTTGGTGGACACTTTCCAAGGTTACAACATTTTATAGAGCTCTTATTTAAAAAAAAATTGTAATCATCATGCAATTTTGATAGTTTTATAAATAACATAATTCATATTAATTACACATTAAATCGACATCAAACATATCTTACATTTCCAAATTGATTATCACTATGAGCTAAAACATAATATCAGTACAGCAGCTACATTAATATTTTTCACTTACTTTTAAATTCATCTTTGGTCGAGTCTGATGGAATACCAGACATTACTTGTGATCTGTGTTTGTTTCGAAGTTTTGCTGTTCTCGTCATCCTGTCTTCCATTGCAGAAGCAGGACGTCGCGAAGCCTGTCAAAAAGTAGTACAGATGCGATCACATAAAACAAGCCCAAATAATATAGAAAATATTAAGATTAGTTCAAAAATCATAGAACGTTATGTCTAAATTAAATTGCCATATATGATTAGAGCTCAATATAAAGTGAACAAATTATATTGTATTTAAAAATGGGAAAACCTAGGACATATCTCGATAATTCATATTCAGTGAACTACTGACTAATATTTCATAGATATTTAGGTATTTCTAATGTTATGGTAGAAATACTCTCACATCTTATCATACAGGGTGAACCCAAAGAAAACGTAATTTCTCGATAACTTGTATGTTAATTACTGTATATGATAGTACCCGAAAGTTTCAGTAATTTTGGACGCTTTGTACAAAAGTTAGAACATTTTCCAACTGATTTGGGTGCTGTTTTTTGGGTAACCCTGTATACAATAAACAACAATAATAATTACCATACCTGTAGAAATGTATGCTTCTTAGTTTGCCTATAATACATTGCACCATTGATGATCACAGGTGCACTCTTTGTTGAAATTCCAGATAATGGTCTTGCATATGTTATTTGTGAGTCTTTGATTTGTTTTTCCTAGAAAAGACGAGGTTGATAATTTGATATAATGAAACAAAAATCCTAAAAACCATGGCATAAACAAAATTTTAATGCCAACTTCATTAATTTTTTAAAAATGAAGGTTCCAGGCAAGCTTCCAGGATTTTGACAATGTTATCATACCATACAAAATTTGCCTCCTAACAAATTCAATGCACAATGGTTTCAATTGTTATCTGAACTCATCATTATAATATGTAAGTTCTAGCAAACATACCTTGCTCGGTGGCAGAAAATTTTCAGTAAATAGTGGTGCCTCGCCGCTATGTTTCACAGTACTGGAATTGATATGGTTCACCCAACCTGGTGGTCTTGCAATGTTTTCCACACTTTCTGGATTTTGTAAAATTTTTTGAACAGACTCCTCGGTATCGGGCCGATCGAATGTGTATGGTGATATTGGATGACCTTGCTTACCTTCATGAAAAACAGAAGATATCATTTCATATCAATACAATATGAAAGTAAAGGAACAAAACAGCTGCCTCATTTTTTTTACAAATTGAATACGCAATAAAAAATTATTCTCTTCAAATATGATATTACAAGTTACAAGATTCCAAAATCAAGAATTTACTATATATAAATTATATTATAAATATTATTAATATATATATAATATTAGAAAATGCAAAATAAATAAGAGAAAGATCATTTGATACCAAACTCAAATATTTAATTCTATATGAAAATCTTCAATATAAAGAAGCTATAAAATCATTCAAATCACATGTTTACATATATTTCTAAGCAAAGCAAGTCATGCTGACATTATTAAAATCAAAGCATAAAATTTTCATTACCAGACATAGGAGCCAGAACATAAATCGGCGGAAACCCCATACTTTAACAAAATATAAACTAGTTTGACGAGATCTCACTTCGAAATGAAACATTTTCATCCCACACAGAGAAATATCTGGCCAGAGTAATGTTTAGTAAATTTTGAGTCAAACAAAAGGTATCTTTTGTCTAAAAGTAATTCCACCATTTCTTGTGTAATCAAAGTAGTTGACAAGGCAAACACACCCTGAATGTTGTTTACATCATAAACATGGCCTTTCAACTTAATATCTCGCGTTAAAAACCATCAGGTCGTATGTCTGAAATCTCAATCTCCATTTTACATGAAAACAAATGATAGACAAAAAAACTTTATGATTGATGATATTATCGCTCACTGATTTATCACAAACAAAGTATCCATAAAAATTTCAATCAAAAGTAAAAATGCGTTCACCCAGTATTGTGTGATGTGAGACTTCGTTCACAAAAAATGAGATATAGAAATTGACTTTTGACATGTTGTAAAAGCTTTGAAGAGATGTAAAAGAAGAAGAAAACATATACTCAACTAGACTTAAAAGGTTTAAAGACTGATACAAATGTTAATCTCTCATCGTTATAATGTGGTTTCTTATTTATAACTTCACTTCAACAATTAACAACCTTCATTGAGTTTTCTTCACTTCAGAGTTAATCAATGCATGTGGTCTTACTATAAAATATTTACTTCAATAATACTTTTTGAAAATATTTTAGAAAATTTTAATTTAAACACACTTTGCCAGTGTGAATGTGAATCATAAGGTTGGCTTAAAAATCCTCTTTAGTAAGTGTTGACTGCAAAGTTAACTAGATATTGAAATCAATAGGCATCAAACATTATCGGTCCACTTTAAGTTGTTAGTCTTTATACTCTTTTTTTCGATCCGTCACCTGGTTACTGTCGATACACCTTTTAGGATGCATGGTCAGCATCCAATTAATTTTATCAAATGCATGAGTCTCGAAATTATTTGAAAAGCAAATTTCATGCAAGATAAGAATTGCAATAATACAGTAATACTATAAAACATAACTGATTCGTCCATGCAAGCAACTGGAAGCGAAAGCAAAATCAATCTGAAACCTTTGAGCATTGCAAAAACAAAATAACAGCAAGTGGAGGCGTGTGGCTTTTTAACGCGCAGTGCAATGATGAGCTGATGGGTGGCGAGCTATGAATTGTGCAAATACCTTTTTTGATAGACATGTTAATAACATATGGATCACCATACAGCACTGTCTCACTGTGCGCTCTGACGGATTATGTTTAAGACATGTTCAGATATCGGCGTGCCTGTCGCATGTAAACATGTTTGTTTTAGGTTTTTCCAATTCACTGATATTGTGTTGTAATTTTCGAGTATTCAATCTTTGATTGTGCACCAACAGCCATATGTTCATCCACAAGAAAGCAATACAGTCAATGTACTTTACAACTCTTCACCTGTTCAATGTTGGTAATTCGTAGCTTAGGCACAATAAAATTGATTTAGATTAGGAAACAAAATAACAATTGAAACTTAGGCTATATATCAATAAATATTCAGATTTAAACCAAAACTTTTGAACTTGATAACTGTATAAATAAAGCTGTGTGCCAATTCCTTGTCAGATCTCCAAGCCATTCCACCCACTATCACAGATTTTATTTACGCTTTGCATATATCCAGAATAACTTCCTACAAGCAAAATAAAAAAAATTTGAACAAATTTCGTCAAGTATTAGAGAAGTTAGAGCATTTTGAAGATTGCCATTATTTATGAACGAGACAATCTTTCGAAGGTTTTATAAAATCAATTATTAAACATTTATGTGCTTTTTTTAGATTATTTCTTCATTATTATACCCAATTTTTGGTGCTGTTGAAGAAAATACAATTGTGCCTCAGACGGGTGAAAAAAAATTATTTTTTCACTTTCCTAACCTCCTGAAATTCCTGATTTAAACTCAAAACAGCCTTCAGAATCAGTCATGCGCGAAAAAGACTTCATCTTCAAATTACAAAAATGGGTAAGTTTTGTTTTTGATAAAATGAATATTTTCTGAAAGCTTGGTAACAATTCAAGTCTGTGTAAAAGTTTCATTTTGTATTTTAAAAAATAGAACCTATTTTTGCTCTGTCAAAGTCGTGTTCAAATTCTAGGTCAAAATGTTATATAAAGTGATATTTTCTCTATGACGTCATAATGGTGAAAGGTAATAACACAATAAACATAACACATTTATGAATCAGATGCCCAATCAATTGGAACTGAACATAGTTTTATATTAAATAACATATTAAATAACATTTAATAACAGGCAATAAATAATTGAGAATGACAAACAGTTGGGAATATGAACAAGGAATACCCAAATAATTGCTGGGCTTAAAAAACAAACATGTTTTATTACCATCCAATAATACAATTTAATTAACATTTCAAAATAAAATTTTAACAGAAGAAAGAAAGAATTTACTATTAGTTATACACGTCTTGCTTCATCCACCAGCTCAAAATGCATGAAACAGTGCATAACATTTAAAATATTCTCTGTTGGGTCGTTTTTATGGGAATCTTTCATGACAAACAGTTGATATAAGGGAAGACGATTGTACTGTTAGTTGATACTGTCCCCTAGTTGTTTGTAATATGGGGCATTCTATTGTGCAGATCACATTTTCAAAGGGAACCCAGCATCTGTCATTATTGGTTGGCCAGTAAAATGAAACCGCCGGTCCAGCTGGATGAAAAAAATCGACTTTCAAATCACCTTGGGCTTCATCCACCTCTGAAACCATTCCTATACACCATTTTTTGTCATAAACACAACATACATATTTCCCAACATTAAAATTGTTTCTAGGTGTTACATTTTTGTTAAAGTTCCAAATTAAGCTGTATTCATAATCATTAGTCATTACTAATCCTTTTCATCTCTATTTGATAATTTGAGAGTGGTGTAAAATTGTGGAATGTTCTGGTTCTTTTGATGGTCGAAGCCCCGATTCGAGTTTGCAGTTTGGACCTCGATAATTTTAAATCTTCAGAAAAAAGGCGAAAAAATTGAATCGATGGCATATGTTTTTTTTTAGAATTCCATCATTTTAGAAACATCATCAATCTGATGTTCTGGTTCACTTCTGATATCTTTTAAAGCAGTTGTGCGTTTGATGGTACCACCAAGACCATCACAAGCGGACTTACCATGACTAGTGGCAAAAAAAAGACCATGAGGCTTTGATGTTAAATTCTTTGTAATGTTGGCACAAAATAAAAAAAATTTTGCAGTTTTATACTGGGCAGCACACCCATCACTAAAATACTCAACTGAAGAGAGGTTGGGTGTTTTATCTTTTTACTACAAAGATGAGATACCAAAACATATCAGTATGTGCTTTATTTCTGAAGACTTCCAATATGATGTTGGTATGATGTACCTTATTCAAAAAAAATCAATCGAATTCTTAAAAGATGACATAAAATAAAATAGATAATACTCTATATTATTTTCCCCATCTATGGCAGCAATATAAAACCTGAAAACTCGATTATAATCATACATACACCATACATAATCATGCACGCGTCACTATATAAATATCGAATCATCTTTAAACAATCCAAGACAATTGACCAAAGTTGGGACTAATGCCAGAATGCCACGTACACAGATACAGAGATTTAGTCTATGTAAAACTATTACTCAAATTGCAAATACTGAAATATATACTGATATAGCACACTTGTAAGTTACCCGTAACTGATTCGAAAACAACTCACCTCTATTTGAAACACCATGATCTGCAAGATTTTTTCTTGTTCCCCTCAGAGTCAAATCCAAATAGCGCTTCAGGGCTAACGCAGCATTTCTGTTTTGGTCATTTTTTGTTGATCTGCTGGATGCAGAAGAACAGCGACTGCTTTGGTGATTAATTGTCATTCCGCATTTGTTTAACAGCATTCAGGTGCCGGTACAGAGGTAATCGTACAAAAATTGCATTTGATCTAATATTTGAGTATAGTTAAATTATTTCAGTGCAGATATGTCATAACATTCGAGCCCGATACCACATCGCACTTCTGCACTGTAAAGTGAAGAACTAGTATCGTACGGTACCGGTTAGATAACCCAGGTGATTTACTAATCGCTGCTTGGCAAGTTCTCCAGCGCAATGTTTTCCTGGTTTAATTCCGTAAAAATGCCTGACCTGAGAGAGGTCAACCATAACGTAACAATCAAGCAATCATTTATTTCTGCACTCTGGCATAAAAACAAAACAACACAAAAGGTACCGGTATACAGACAAACAAAATACAGAGATACCTGGAAGGCGAGCATAACTTGAAATAATTTTATTTAACATATTTAATCTATCGCTAAGACAGTAAGACGCCTTTTCATTCATACAAAAAAAAAATTCCAGAACGATTCTAAACGTTGATAACGCCCAGAAAATGAGTTTCGTAGCGCACATCTGGTAACTAAATAAATTCTTTAGTTTGTATGAAAAGAAACATACTGAACGCATGACAGCTTGTTCCAAAATCCTGATGCAAAATTGAATATAAGGGGTTCCCGGAAATTCAATAACCATGGGTTTACAACAACGCAGCATAAGAACTATGCAATTCAAGAGCCCTACAGCACACTGACACAAATGTATTTCCGTAACGTCTTGCCTGACCAAAATCAGACTTCCTCAGTCAATTATAATTTATTAGGTAGATTACGAAAAATATGCCATCATGTAACCAACAACAAAAAATACTTTAATTGTGTGACAGGACATAGGTGTCGCGAGGGAGTTACCGCACCGTACCTATTTAACCCAATGACATTAAACAACATGATAGGCAACTCTGACGTCACTCCATAAGACTACAGGCAAAACATTGTATTTCATGATACGCTCCAATGCACATATTTCTCGTCGCCTTTCGCGTCCGTTTTCCGCTCGCTTTTGCTACTCGGCGTCTTTTTTACGTGTAGTACCTGCCTTTTTGCGCCTGTAACGAAACAAAATAATCTCTATATCTAAGAAGTTTTGCTTACTTGGAAAGCTGGAATAACAGGCAAGCTGTAAAGAGCAATTCTGGACATCATAGACGTTTTTTTTTTATCAGAGAAGATTACAAACGCGATAGCGGAAAGATTTGTGTGGAACATTTTGCAGATAATGACAAAGTTCAGAGTTAGTAATTTTGATGTTTGCGCTTAATCATTGAAATTTCATTTAAAGAGGGTGTCATACAAAACTGTGCTGCGATACAATTCCATAACACAAAGTTTGCACCTATCGAACTTGCTTTTGTAGGTGAATTTATTAGACATATTACATATTCAGTTAATCGTAGGTAACATTGCTGGTACATAATGCATCGTAGATAGGTTTGTTTAAATTTAGGAATTTAGCTCATAGCCCACTAATTAATATTATCTTCTATGCAGGAGGTTGCAGGGCTGAATTCAACTTGCAGCCTTACCGATCACCTGACGATGCTCATTTAGTTTGGCTCGAGCAAGTCTTCTTGAAATGCTTGTGTGGATGGGAACTACCTATATTTTTTGCCTTCCTCCGATTTTAGACAAACTTATTCTGAGGGATTTTGCATATAATTCTCACTGATTGTTGGCTGTTTATAATTCCTATTGATTGTGAATTCTGATTATAACAATGAGTTGAAAATTTTTTTACCTAATTTACTGGCACCTTTTTCTTGTCAATACTCCAAGCTGAGGTAATAAACATGACAATACATTTATGTCATCTGGAAGCAAAATATGCACACAATTAATAGTTTGGCACTTTGAGATAATACATCATGACAGAAAATACAAGTTAAAGATATGTATGACCATCACATGGTAATTAAAATTAAAAAAAATTAATAGGGGCTGTGGAGTATGGAAAGTTCAAGACAAAGAAAAGAACAAATGTTCATAGCTCATGAACTCTCAAGTTTGCCTCCATTGCTTTGTGAAGGCCAATATATTTCGAGTGGCTGAATTGGTTTACCTTTATGATAGCAACGATTTTGTATTTAATATAGCGAGATTATTTCAATTTAATTGAAGTGATATAATTTCCCAAAGCAATGCTTGAATCGTCTAGAATAGATCAGTGGTGTCAAACTCATGGGTTTTCGAGAGCCGCATTGCATTTTGAAAATTGTAAAAAATGCCGCAAATAGTTTTTGATAATGTATACTTAAAAGATATTTTTAAGATAGTTTTACTTTGTGACATATATTGTGATGCAACTAAACAGTTGGATTAAGTTTTATTATTTTCTTCAATTTCAAATGCAATTACATATTAATATTTGCATTCCACTATTATTGCAACATTTGCAAGTTACAGTATTTATTATAAAAAATCGTAAAATTCTATGTACAACCATCAAAATCATTTTTGAACAAGCTTTGAATAAGGAAAGAATAATACATACACTAAAAATAACTTAATCTAAATATATGAACCTAAAATTAACAAAAATACTACAGTATAAACTCAATGTTTTAATAATTACATTTGTCCTGGCGTTTGGCATCTTTTTTGTGTCACCAGCATACTAAGGCCAGTCTGAAATGATTTTATAGTACCAACTCTAACTAACGAGGCCACATGATCATGGGTTTATCTGGATCTTTACGAATGTTTAATTAATTCCAGTAATGCAAAAAAAGTTACTTTTATCATTTCATGTATAGATCAGTAAAAAAACAAATGACAGATTTTTTCGACAAGACATTTCGCACTACATTGCGTGGCATAGGATTGCTTGAATTATTATTGATATTGATTTTTAGTAACTAAGTCGTTGTATAATTATATTAATATACAAACACATGGAAATTTTCTGTTCGAAGTTGGTCTTCGAATTTGTCATATTGACTGCTGAGCTTATTGTGTTTTTTGATTGTATTGATGGAAATATGACAAATTAAACAATGTGCTTCAGAATTTTGTGAAGAGCAGAAATGTTACAACTCCCATTTTCTTCGAAAATGCCACCTTCTTCATGTACTTTGCGTTTAATTTAATTACTCAAGTGTTTTATTCAAGTATTCTTTTGCTAGCTTGATGTGTATTCTTAATTGGGTCAAAATGTGGACAAAAAAAATTAATATTCCAAAACTACTTTCAGTAAATTGTTTTCTGTGTGAATAATCAATTTCACTTTAGAAGGCTTGAAAAATCTATTACATTTAGATAAAAAAAAAACTTCCAAAATACTATTAAAATTATTGTTAAGCGTTCGAGGGCCGCACTGGAAGTTCTCTGGGGCCGCGAGTTTGAGATCCCTGGTCTAGATTGAAGTTGTTCAAAAAATATATGATAGTATTTTATCATGAATGATGATTATACTCCTTCCGGAATTTCTTCTATAGTACTACCAAAAGTTGATGAACCAAATATAACACAGGTGCAGTGAGGTACCCGTAATCCTCATTTCCAAAGCTGTTTTAAGTATGTCTGGCGTGTTTTGTGCCTTTTTACAAATAAGACCGCTTATGCAATCTTACGCTTTGGAATTTTTAGTTATTTTCCTCAAGCCCTGCAGGATGTGGGGGCCATACACAACTCTACCGGAGGGTCAAATGTCTTTGCATGCCTCCATAGGTTGTTTTTCTATTGCAATTTTCTATTTTCAATTGCATTATATTTCTTGGAATCACACTGTCACTGATATGTCGCCAAACTTCTGATATCTCCCCGTCTGCTATAGTTGTCCTGTGAATAAATAATAGGAAATTGAGATTAGACGAATAGTTGAAACTTTTGCTTTCTGTCGGCTTAATTTCTTGATTGATATACTTACTATTTCTGCTATTGCCTCTTGTGCTGCAAGAGTCTCACAATGCTTAGACAGGTTTGTCCACAACTTTCACATCTGAAGAGAGAGAGGAGATTTATTAATTTTCGTTAAGAATAAATAAAGCAGTCTATATGATTCAGAATGGAAAAGCTAATAAATCCAATATCTCATGTTTTATTTAAAAAATATTTTACTGAATTTGGTATATAAACCAACTAATAAAAGGGTTTAGTCAGAAAATTACAAGCATTCGTGGCTCCAAATACTTGAGAAATCAGACTATACAATATAGACCGGTATGAGTGAAATGTTAGGTGAACTTGTTAACACTTTGATTCAATACGCAAATAAAAGTGAATGCGTAATAGTATGTTACAATGAGCAGCAATCAACAATGAGTATATATCCTCACTGATTAAAAAAATCTAACTGGAGGTGCATGAACTATTTGAAACCATAAGGGGTAAGTAAATATGTAATTTCGGCAAATGGGCAACTACGTACCGTACTGAATTAATAACTTCGTAGTATTTGACAAAGGCTGGCTTTCCCACATGTACTTAACAGTGCGATGCCCGGGTGTGATATACAACAATAGTATTCACCTTACCTTTTGCCGATTTCTTTTTACCCCAACTTTCAAAAATATCATTAAAATCGACAACAACTGTCAAAGCAGGCACGAACACCATTCGTGCTACGCCTTGAAAGCAGCACACATCCGCTCGTTTTCGTCTCGTCAAGTATGTGCATTGGAGCGTGCTATCGAATACGATCTTCGGACAAAAATGCCGGAGTTGCGCATCATGTTGTTTAATGTCATTGATTTAACCTTAACAACGTCTTATGAGCTAGTGCTCAACTAAAATTGCTATTCATGGTAAGGGTATACAAGTGTTTATATCTTACTTATACTTTTTTAACACCTTCTTAGAATAACTGAACTACTAATAACTGAAAAAGATATATGGAAAGGCTACTCGAGGCAAAAGCGAGCAGTAGTACATCTGATATTCATCCGACCACGGGGGATCCACCTACAGCTGACAAATTTGATTGTTACGTCTTGTAGAAGTCTGCGTTCTTTGGTCCATGATACCGGAAAAGCAGAGAATATAGGACCAGAGACAATGCATAACAATGTAAAATCAATGATAGGACAGATGGTAACACATATTTATTGTAGTAAAATCGTCTTTTCCGTAAAACGCGCAACTTTTGGAAATGGGAACAAGTCATTATTTGTCACTAAATTTTTAAGGAACATTTTGAAATCATTTTCAGGTAGTTCTTTTATATGCGCTAGAAAACTGAAAGATAAACGGGCTAGTCTCGCGGTCAATGGACCTTTCCCCCACCTTTGACCCCCGAAAAATTCTTCCTATACTTCACCATTGCAAAATTTTCGGGTCTATTTTAAAAGTGCTTTTGCGAGTTGTTGCCTGTAAAATAGGGTATGTGTTCAAACCATCGTTATGATTCATCGCATACAACAATCTGTTCCTTAAAAGTACCCGTGAAGAATTTTAGCCTAGTCTGTCACAGCTATTTCTACACTAATTTTTTATTACTGCAATTAAATTGAAACTCCTAGGATGACAGAGTGATCATTGAATTATCTGATTTATATTTGAGTTTCCGAAACACAACAGAAAACTAACGAATAGATTTCGAAAACGAGGTAATGTTTACGACCACGCTTGAAAAATCTGTCCGAGTGACAAAAGTGTCGGAGCGGATGCGAAAGGGCCTATTGTTACGCCACATTATGCATCTTGCCGATTGGCCAATGTCACGAAATGAACAAGGAAATCGATGCTCGGGGAAACATCCTTTGGAAAAGTTTATTATCGTGTCCGGATCTGCCCCGCGGGCCGTAGTTTGGTGACCCCTGTGCTAGCGGACCCATGTGCGTATAATGCAGTGATGCTGTAGCTGGAATAAACAGGACTATTCTATCCAACTAAAGAGTCCAGCTGCACACTAACACAAATATATTCCTGTAACGTTTCGTCCGACTTTCTCAGACTCAATGGCAGGTTTGTAAGTAGTTCATATATTGAACTAAATACCATGAACCTACACAAAATTAATTTAGGATGACGTAATATTGATTATAATCCCTAGCGAGAATGAGAGAAATTCAAAACATGTCAGTTTATTGCTTGGATAAAACAGCACTTTGGAATGTAAAAAAATTTAAAAATATATACAAAACGAACGATAAATTTTTTTATGTAAGCATGGCGTTCATTGTGGGAGCATAATCAATGGCAATACTTGCTTCTACATAAAACTAATTTGCCTTTTTTTCTTAATTCAAAGCAAGCAATAACAAATTTTAATGTTAACAAGTCTTGAAAATTCATAATTTTGCTATAAGGAAGGGAATTTAGAACAATTTACAAAAGTAAAAAGCAGTAAGGAATTTAAAATGGTAATAAAACATCTTTGTCACAAAAAATTTTATGTGATGCTACGACATAAAATAACTTATACCATCACAACAATGAATTTCTGAATACAGCAAACATCTGACACTATACCTACATAAAATATGTATTGTTGAAACGATTCATTCGCTGTTCTAAACATGACATCCTGACACTAAAAAGGAAAAGAAACCCCTTAAGAAATTTTGTTCTTGATCAAGTAACGAGTTTTTTTTGATGAATAAAATTAAAAATTGGTAGTGAAAATTGGTTTTTATCGAATAAATAAGTCACAGAATACATAACCGAAGTCCATATTCTCAATAAATTTGAAACATGTATTATTTCCACATAGATTTCAAGTGTTATTCTTTCTTTACAAATATGGATGACATACATTAGATGGACAAAAGCAACTTGATCAAGTTTAATCAAAATTTCTTAATGAGGCAGAAAATGAAAATACATATATACAAAAGTTTTGAGACGAATAAAAGTAAGATGAAGTCAGAAAAGTGGAATAGCAGCAATCAGAAACCTCATCACTAAACCTCAAACTACTGCTACTTCTGCATCTTACTTTTCACCACAGGCAACAAAAAATAATAAAACGAGGATAAAAGCAAGCAATAAACATAAAAATATAAAACTATTTGCACCAGGTATACATGGCAGGACTAAACAACACGGCAGTTTTACAATGAAATAGATTTTGGACCAGTAAAAATTAAAAAAGATGATTGACTTTTAACCATAATGAATATTACAGCTGTGCCAAAAAAAACTGACACATTGACATACGTGGACCAAATTAAATTTGCTATGATTGCCTCGTATAGAAAATTACAGGGTTGATACAGATGACCAAAGACTAAAACACAGCTACAAAAGTAAGTTAATAACACGATATTAAATTCGATACATTTTTAAATGTCAGAGGTAGACAATTTTTTTTGTATAAAATGCCAATTTATGAGGATTTACTTTAAAATTATGCAGCAAATCGACTATATACGGAGCCAAACAAAACTAACAAACACAAAACATGAGCATCACAATTTAAGTGAGTCAAGAGGCTATTTCATCCCCCAGTTGAGCCATCATTGGTGATTCTTTTAGCCTTACTCTTTCTTCTTCTTTTTCAAGCTTTTCCTTTGACAAAATAGGCGTCTTTGCAACTTCATAAAATATTGGATGAGAGTATTTCTGCCATACGGTTTGTAATTTTTTTCCTTTGGATTCCTCGACCATGCTATTTAGTCGAGTAGCTAGTTTTAGAACTTCAGATTCCATATGTGAACTGTAGTAAACAAGCGTATCTGTCCATTCTGCGTTGTCATTCATTTTGAAAGCTAACCATAACGCTCCAGCTGCTAAAAGCGAATCACTTACTGTGATCAAATCATAACATTGCAAACTGAGTTCGAGAGCAAATCTTGCTAAAGTCAAAGTCTGCATATTCGTTTTTGAGCATTTTGCATATCTACGCAGAAATCTGTATGAAATAGGGATGTTTATATCGAACCCAACTATATGAAGCAATGATCTTTCCAGTGACAACATTTGCTTACGAGTGTATGCATCATCACAAATATATAAAAAGTCATCAATATAAGGAGGGTGACGTTCATCAAATTTAGCAGCAATGAGAAGCGAAGTTGCTCCAATGAGTTGCAGAGCGTCCCTTGCTGTTTGCTTGTTTTGCAAATATAAATCAACTAGTTTTACAGCAAGATATAGTGTCTCATGATTCAGTTCAAAATTTTCTTGAACCTCAACCATCCAATCCACTAGAATTGCCCTCATATCTGCTGAAATCTCCTTCTGTGTTGACAAATATTGACCAATTTGAAATTGACTTTCTCTTGCACGCATATATTCAAAAATGACTAAAGAATATACTGGTGCTTCATTAGGATTGTTGATATTTTCTGCATCTAAATCTTCGTAAAATAAGTCCTTTCTCCTGGGGGACAGATCATGTTGATAAAAGGCAGTAGGCAATTCTGACGAGTCAAAGGAATCTAAAGCATCTGCAAATTCTTGTGTATCCTCTTCAACAGCATCAAGTGAAAATTCTTCTTTGGTACTTTTTTGTGAATTTGGCAATGAGGAAATGCTGCTTTGCATTTTTGGTAAGGATAAGGTTACATTCGCAATTTTTTCAATTATGAGTTTTTCTGAGGAATCTTCATGTTTGTTCTGAACTCGCAATGACTTTCGTGTTGCAACTTTTGTTTTTTTAGCAATTTTTTTCCCCATATTTTCTTTACCAAACCCCACATTGCTTTTGACTGTCAATGCATTTGTAATATCACCAAATGCAGATCGTTTTACAATGTCACCCTTTGCTGGGGAAGTCGCCATTCTTTTTTTCGACGTTCGATTATTACTTGGATCTTTGTTCGGCTTTATCGCATTTTCATTATTAACACGATTTGCTGACTGGATATCACTCTTTGACATGGCTCAGGTATCAACAAAAATATATTGCTAGCTAATCCAGGACAAGTACAGTATGGCAGAAAAAATCTGAAAAGTAGAGATATATGAATTGTAACACTGTCAACATATGCTTGGAAGTACAGTGCAGCTCACTAGGAAATGGTTTGCATTAATTGTTTTCTTATATTGTTAGATAATTCTCAACATCAAACAAATAGAAAATTAACCCACATCAAAATATGTAACATTTTTGTTATCGTACTTGGTACAGACAATAGGATTTCAAAAAAGCCTCAAGTGTTTTGAGGATACATTGATTCCGGTACGGAATACATTAGGATACATTGATACGATGATTCCGGATACATTCTGAGATATCGAAAAAGATTCGTGTTCCAAAATTATATCTAGCAATCTGAAATAGTATCTAACATTTGACTTATTTTTAGCATTCTCTTTATAATATATCTATTATATTTTCGTTCAAAATCAATAAACATATATATACAACTGACTTCGATAAACTATTGTTCGATTGAAAAGCTTTTTAAAGCGTCAGAGCGTAAGCATATTGAAATTTGAAAGGCATATTCTGAAACAAATATTCAACAGTAACACACTTTTTTATCAAATATTCATTTTGCAAGAAAACATTAGATATTTTAAGGTAAGAGTATACCAAAACATATATTCTGATGAAATTATCATCACAAAATTATAACATTTAACTTATTTGTCCATAAACAAGAGTAAGTTGAAAAGAAACCACCAACCAACTACAACACAGTCTTAAAAACTGTGTGAAAGTATAATGAGCTCTTGAAAAGTTGCGAAAAAGTTTTTGGTAGATAAGTTTTTTTACATATGGCAATATTTCTGATTTCACAGTTGTACTGGCACTGATCTAGAATAAATCGAATCGCTTAATATTGGCAGTCTATCCATTGCTGCAATTCGGCCATTTTTGAGGTAATGAATTTGTTGCAGATTTCGAGAAAATAGTACAAAACATAGGGAAACAAGAAGGCATACCGTAGCTAAAAGAAACGAATGATAACAGCAAGAAACACACAGAAAAGAACAAAATTGTCTTTCAGATCACAATGTGACATCATATCAGTAGGGCATAATTCTGCGATTACAAGATGTCCCAATAGGGTGGCTTACCCACTTTGCGGCCACGACCTATTTACGACTATCAACTTCATCGATTATATTAGTGCCGAAAAAATTAACGAACCGCGACGATATTTCTCACGCGCTATCGTCCACTTATCCCTCGTAGCTCTGCGAAATTACACTAAAATGCGGCCACAACAAAAAACGTTACGACCGAAAATCCGACGGAAGAAAAAAAACTGACCTTTTCCCCATGTCGCCAACTACCCATTGTTCCTTTGAAAAAGCTTGAAAATTCATACAAATATAAGAGATAAAGAGATGAAACTTGGCAGGTGGGTAGAGTTGTGTTTCTTTTAACCATCTTTAAAGCTTCGCGTTTCTACTTTTAAAGGAGGGGGAATAGGGGGGTGCGCATTTCCAATACGTCAATAATATCTTTGTCGACCAATTTGCGACCACCGTGTTTTGGTCTGTTTGATTGCTGTGATGCAGTGCTTTATTTATAATTTGACGAATTTGATTCGAAATAATCGTGTTCTTAAAATATATGACTGTCAGGAATGCAATTAGAAGCCCATTTTTTTCACGCATGGCTGCCTATGCCCTAGTCTTGACGCAGCAGAAACGATGTTCAAGGCTTGAAAGCCGTGGTCGCACACTGGTCGTTCGGTCGCAAATACATCTTCAGAGTGTCGTACTTTGGTGGTTTGTATAGCTTTAACCCCTGGTCGTAGAAAGTTAATTCGAGGTTTAGGGTGTAGAATAAATGCCAATGCACCTACAGTGAAAAAATTAACGGGTTAGTAGCCTACTCACTGGTACCGTAGGCTATACCAGTACCTAATTGATGTCTTTTAATGTGGGGCTATTCTTGTAATCGCAGAACTGTGCCCTACCGCAGTACGGTAAGTTATAAGTTAGAAACCCAGGGTACCAGTACCGTAGTCTACTGACATTTCTTCCGTTTGTCTGTTCGTTTTCTTTATGCTTATGCTTTTACATTCATTTTATGGTTTTGCGCTGTTTACCTTTGGTTATTTGCTGTCTTTAAAAATCGTCTAAGCGGTATTTAGAGAGAATAAAATCGTCTCAGAACAAACTCAGACCGACGCAGGCATCTCCAGAGTTCAGAAGTTTGGATGTCGGACTCGGACGGCCGAGTGCCGCTTCCCTCTAAAATTTCAAATAAGATTTGTTTACAACTGCGCCCTCCTTTTTATGACGTCATTTCCTCAAGATAATATTCACTTTGACATCAGAACTTGTATGCATATTCTTTTCTGAATAAGTCTACTGTAAATAAATTTAGGTTTATACTAAATTATAAAAAATATAAATATATCGTATTTATTCAAGGTTGGTGATTTTTCTCACACTCCAGTGACTACATAAGACCTTATAGAATCGGGACGTGGCGTTTCGTACTCGATACTGCTACGTTAACCTGGGGATTAAATCATTCGAACCGAGTAAGAAATAATATCTGTTAATAATAGCTGTTTGATTAAGAAAAGGTGTCTTAATAAAGAAGTTCACCGTATATAGAACAAGGGAAAATGGATGACAATCGGAGTCAACAGACAATCGGAGTCAACAAGAAAGAGGACAAATACCGGTAAAGGTTTATGAAAATAGTGAACATGGACAGCATCAATCAAAAAATTAGATCAATCGAATACAATTACAATACAATTTTATTTTTGATCTTTCGTCTACAACTTGACAACAAAGAACACAAAATAAAAACACAGACAAGGGCGACGAAAAGATCGGGAAAATGGGCAAAACCTAGAGCAGGGTGGTCCAAACCCAGGCCCGCGGGCCACAAATGGCCCGCCGACTCATTATCTGTGACCCGCGTCGCAATATTCGGGGAAACAAAAAATCAAATTTGGTGTTGTTTCGTCATAAGCAGAAAAATATTTTGCCATATTGTTACATCACTAATGTTACTAAATTGACTAGTGTTATGGCTAGATGAGACTACTGTACTAGCGCAGTCAGGGTTGCCATATTGGCTTTTTTAACGCCAAATTTGCCATTTCTGGCTTTTTTCAAACGCGTTTGGCGTCAGAATTTCCGTTTGGCTCTTTGGCGTTGTTTTTGGCTTTTTTCAAGTCTATTCTAGTGTCTATTATTAAAATCATATAAAATACAATATTTAGTGTTCAACAACTGAACAATAGTCTATTACCTGTACTTAGCTACTTAACATCAGGCTTTCCTGGAGCATCGATTCCCTTGTTTGTTACATTAACTCTTAACCCTACCCAATAAGAAATAATTGCAGTTTCTGCAGCTGCTCAGACAGATGTTCAAGCGGGGTTGTAAACATTGCCTGGTTTTTATAGTTTTGCGTGTTATTTGTCAGTTTTTGGCTCTGTTTCCAAAAAGTAATTGTATAACTCAATTTTCATTACGCCTGATATGGTTTATGTGAGCTCTAGTTTAATTCTGCAATTGCAGTAATCAAAATTTAGTCTCACGAACGATGTGATTAACTACGCTAAAATTACTGAATTAGATATCAGTGTCTTGTATATTGAATTAATGAATGGTAAAATAATTCTGTCCACTTGATATTTATTTCACCTTCTACAGTTCTATGGGAACTTTACTTTCTATTTGTGTGCCTCACTGAATGACATGATGGCTTTACGTCTTCATAATCATCAGTACGTTGCCAAGGGCTTGAAATCTGACTAATCATTGGGCTTTTGTACTTGGTAAAATTGTTGGCTTTTTCTGGCTTTTTTTGTGTCTTGATTTGGCTTTTTTTGATCGCTGGGATCTGGCAACCCTGAGCGCAGTTGTATAGTTTGCTTGCCCAGTCTAAATTGTAGACTGGCTTCCTTCTCTTGTCGGGGATATATACTAACAAAATAGGCTTCATAAAACACTAAATATCGAATGAGGAACATATTAGCCTAGGTTGGTTATGTCTGATAACTGAATATTAATGTAATGGCCGATCAATATCATTTCTGCCGGGTGTTTTTTTGCAACCAGCCTGAACAGTATTACAAAAGATGCTGCCTATATGTCAAAAAATTTAGTAATTACCCTTCTGTACCTCACATTTGGTAATCAATCAATCTGCAGTTATATGTAGGTTATTTTGTATAAATGAGTTTGAAAGGAAAGCTGACTAATTCAAACAGATTTTTGACTGGATATGGGTGAGGAAATATCACAATATGCTTGCTTAATATGTCTGCAAGTTGTGTCGGTGGCAATCTAAAAGGACATTTTTGCTTTATGACCCTTTCTCCATTATGAAGAGTTTGAAGTCTTACGCTAGATATAGTAAAGTAAGATTTTTGCACGTTTCAGTGAGTTTTTTGGTGTGTTTTGCGTTTCTTAGCTTGATGAATATTGATCAATGTGTTTTTACCTATTCTTGGAACAATACAAATAATAGTGTGGTCCGCGATGACGACAACCTTGGACCACCCTTACCTAGAGAAAGGTTTATAGCGAACGCTGCAAGCGTTTGTGCCCATTGACCCACACTCACACACAAGTGGAAAACACATCACGGCAATTCTACTGAATATTATTATACGGCATGTTCATAACCACGAGAAAGTAAAATTCACGGGCAAATCTTACTTGTAGAATTATAAATAAATTTTGATGAGCGAAAGTGTTGAAAACAATTTTAAGTCATGTGACGGTGCCTGTGCCGAAATGCAAATCCCAATAATAGCATTTAGGTTATTAGCTCCTGTTTCACTTGGTAAACAAACAAAGCGTAAACAAAACAAAAAGTAGACAGCAAACATAAAAACTCGTTTCGGGCGTTGCTTCTTGTGGTTGGAATTTGGATAGTTTTCACTCCAAAATTTGAAATCCTGAGCATTGGCGAATGATGGTCAGTCATTAAATTAACATAGTCAGATAGATCTGACACCAGTTACCGACCCAAAGTCTCGAGTATGCATGCCTTTTCCGTGAAATACATTGAATCAGGCCTCGCTCTCCTTGTGTCCAGTTCAAATACCATGTTTCCTCAATATTATTGCCGGCACTATGTAGAATTATTCAAATTTATTTAACAAAATTCTTCCGTTGTTTATCGTTCCGAGTATATTCGGATTATTCCGAATAAAGTCAAATTCAGCAATAAAGTTCAAAGGTGATACTCTATTTTAATATTTTGTTGAATCCCCACTATTATTTTTGCCATAGAGGACTTGAGGCAAAATCATAGATGAGACGACCTTACACATATCAACCTCAAGGGTGCTCGGGAAATTTTAGATAACTTTGAAAAATAAATGAGATGAGGGGGAACACGTCTTACACGAAGAAGGATGTTATCCAGTCTAGAAGCGATAAGATTTAAAATCCAAATACTGCAGAGTGCGTACATAGCAGGTGAAGATTATCACAATATTACAACCTAAACTGATTTAGGTAATCTTTAATTTGCCCTTGATTTTTTGTCATTTAATTATAGCAATTTCGTGCTTAATACTATTAGAGTGAATGAGCACGTAAACTAGACTGATATTCGAATACTGTCATACACGGTTAAAAGTATTAGAAATGAACCAAAATAAGTAGCCATGTTTAAATTACTTTAAAACAAAAATAAAATATAGTATCTCTACAATAAAAACATTGTGGGTATAAATTAGATTCAAAGCTATGGAATAAGGTCGGTGTTGCATTTTGATTGAATATTGATATCCAACAGTGCCAATTTATTGGCAATAAAGAGGGACGATTAATTTTACGCCATTTCATAAAGCTGAAAATTGTACATTTATTTTAGTATATATATATTCACCAAATATATTGCAACATCGACGGGATACATTTATTTTGTTAGACCAAGAACTTGATCAATTTACTGAGATAACAATATTTGTAATAGCTTCAAAATAATATTTGGTGGTGATTTTAAGTGTATTTGTAACTTGTTAGACAAAGAAATTGGTGCAAAACATGTTGCAGATAATAGTGTGAAGGTGATGGAAAGTGTTGTAGCCAAATATAATTACTGGTTATTTAGCGAAATACTCACCCACATGCCAAGAAATATAATTGGAGGCAAATTACTATCGGCCAAGGCAACCCAATAAGACAAAGGCGATTGGGTAGAATTTATGTTTCGGAAATCTTATAATCAAATATTGAGAATGTGGTGATACTGGCACAATGTGTATCAGGCCATGACATACGTACAATACGGTTGATATACGGCTAAGGAGGCTTTCATTTAGTGACGTGAGCACGTAATGCACGTTAATTGTTGTTTAAAACAAGTAGGCTATGCGATGGTCAGATAAATGAACACAAAAGTGAAATAACTACGTCAATGAGTCTAACTTAGGATGAACAATGGGGATAGGGTTGAAGTAACTCTATTTTCACAAGCAATTATTGTTTGCTTCGTATGCCTAATAATTATCGGGAGATCTTTGAATGCGATAATTGTTTGGTGCTTAGGTGAGACATTTATCGGTTCCCAGTGTCGTCAAATTTATTAAGTGATCGACTTCAAATTTCCATCCGAGTTTAAAAAGCAACCGAAGGTATTAGATTTGACGTCTCAATGAGGGAAAATTGTCACTGTTCAGTTTCGTCATCATCTTCATGTTTCTCAATAAGCACTTTATTGCAGTTTCAAGGAAACGTACGCAAAAAATGTAAGCGACCTTTTTTGGTATTCTATAATGTGTATTAGCCTAGTTCATGCCACTGCGATTTTTTATGCATTATTATCGTTCGCACTGATTAAATTGAAAAGTTAGTCATGAAGCGTGGATAACTTAATTTTATGTGCTTGGTCATAAACTAATTGCAGAAAAAACAAGAGAGCAATGCTTTGTTTATATGCCTATGCAAAATATTTATTCGCAGCGGCCATTCTGTAAAAAAATTGCTCAAAAACACCGGATTAACCGGACAGTAAAAAACATGATATTGTCTTAAATCAACATCTGTGTAGTAAACCAACGCCATAGACGAGACAGTTGGGTTATATAATAATAATATATCAGGACAGATTCAATCTGGTCAGCAGAAGGTAAGTCGCTTTCTCAGTCACGATATGTGTGCTATTTTTTATCCCGCTAGTGTTTATGACTATTGCACAATACAGGAGGAGGGAGGGTAAGTTCCTGAAACAGAACAGCGGGTCTCGTGACTGTTATTAGTTTGTCACTCGTGAGCAACTGTTGACTAGCAAAACTTATTTGACGCCCTTTGAATAACGTACGAATTGCCAGATTGATTCGTCTCGTGTCTTCTTTTGTTCCATTGTGTATGTGGTGCAACAAAGGACTGAAACGAAGCTAGATACATGATTATATTACAGGAGGAAAAGATTCGTTAGCAAGTTAAAGCCAGAAAAGTCCTCTCTCTGATAGCCTACCGTCAGACCGTACGGTACTTGTCACATTGTTAGTCTGTTAGTTGACAAACCCTTTCACTCTGTCACTGTTATTTATGGTACCTTAAAGCTGAATTCATGGTTTGTTCGGTTGTTTCTGATATCAAAATATAAATTAGGAATTAGACTAGGCCTACTGAATTAAGGATTCCAGTAAAATTGACGGTTGTCGGCGTTCAGACGTTGCCCTTTGTCTTTTTTTTGCACAACCCCATATGAGTTGCATTTGTCAGTTCAGCAGTTACAGTTAAGATTGGACTGTAGGATGAGATTTACCGAACATTATTACCTATCGCGCGGGAGAGGAAACAGCTTAAACCTTTGTCTTTTTTTTGCATAACCCCATATGCAGATATGAGTTGCATTTGTCAGTTCAGCAGTTACAGTTAAGATTGGACTGTAGGATGAGATTTACCGAACATTATTACCTATCGCGCGGGAGAGGAAACAGCTTAAACATACTGACATAGGCTCTGGCGAACCACGTCTGCACGCCCTCTCGTCCCGGTACCAGTATACTAAGGTATGGTTGTATGGAGTTAGTATTCCAGTACGGTAGCCAGTTACGGTATTTGTCCCAGGTGCATCTGTGCATGGACTTGGTGGCGGAGGAAATTCGAAATGCCCGATATACCGTGACGAGCGATGAATTATTTCTGAAAAAACAAAACAACGTACATTTTTATAACAAAGTGGCAAATCTGCAAATGGGTGCATCAAAAAAAGAAGTACAAATCATGTGTAATCAATTCGCCAACTAAATTTTCAACTAAGCAGGTATATCCAATGTAAATAGGACATAGCGTTCCAAGCGAGACTGACTTTTATTTGAAAAAAATAAAATAAAATTTGGGCTGTGTTTTTACATCACATTTTTGTTGGCGTTATTTAAACAGGTACCGGTACGGCATTTATTTTCACATCTCATTTTAGTTTGGCGTTCTTTAAGCACTTACGGCTTGTGCCGGTACTTCTTTAGACCCCATTATTCAGTTATTATGGTACAATACCGTACCTGTGCAGTATCAAAGTCAGTGTCAACAGTTTTTATATCTCTTCCCGTATTGCCATACTGCCATATGCTTTCATCATCACACAATTAAAGTTAGTTGACTAGATTTTTTTTATGATATTTGACATACTTTTTATGATACAGTGATGTCTTCACAGCTTTATATTGCAGTATTGTGTTGACAAATACATGCTGATTGATTATCAATATGGCAATCTTGTATGCCACATACTGACAAAGGAAAAAACTGGAATTTTTGAATATTGTGTCTCCCAGGTTCCATATATGATACAATTTATGTTTTGTTTTTGCTTATTGTAAGCAAGACAGGAATGCCTTGGCTGTCACAGAGGCTTTATTCCACATATTATACTTATAAGTTTTTCTGATTTTCTTGGTATATGCTAAGATACTTTTAAGCCATCTATCAATTTTAGCTAGAGACACATTATTCTTACTCTAAACTTCAGTCTGTCAGTGCTAGCTTTCGTCTTGTCGGGGTCGGGGTACATGAAAACCACCTACAAAAATACAGCAATGCTTTATTACTGGTACCAGTTAATTTGTTAATATTTTTCATATTCTGATCATTGTCCGATGTTATTGATGTCTAGATAGCGTCATGGTTTTTATATGTATTCATTCATACAGTAGACTGAAAGCATAATATGAAAGTAGTTTAACAAATGTTGTGGATGTTCTAATTGATCTTAATAATACTTTGAAATAATTATAGATCGAATCCAGGACATGTAATACCTAATTCAATGAACTGTTGTGAACTTTGCTCACTGATTGTGGATTTGAATCCACAACTCTTTTCTGCTTTTTGTTATATCTTTACGATAATCAGTTTAGAATCAAAACACTATCTTCATATTAGATATGATCGGTTCACATTGGCAAAATTAATATAGAGCTTAGTATTGTGAAATTCTTGTTGGCAACTGCAACTATAAATAAATCATGAGATAACTGCCATGAAGATAAATTGCTAAGAAATAATTCATATATCTGAATTGTTTATACATAAATTCCAATATATAATGAATTTCAGACTCTATACGTGAATTGCAAAGTTGAATATAAAATAAAACTGTTTATTTATTAACATAAATCTGATATAGTCAAGCGTTGAAATTGACTGTTTAGTCGTAAGGTCAGTTCAACCACAACTTTATCAATTTTCTACATCTACTCATACAATAAAAACTAACCAGATTATGTTTGCTTTAAATATACTGGTAGCTGTTTAGATGTATAGGGATTTGCCCATTGGCGTTTATTAGAGTTCATCAGACAATTTGTGTAAACACCTTAACCCAGAACCTCATTATTGAGCTAATATTTTTTGTTATCTTCTTTGCTGCTACAGAAATTTATTTAAGTGCTATTTTATTCATAAAACGTTACTGAAATTTGCTGACGTATAAAAAAGGACTTCGACAAGGAAAATACTATTCAGTACTAAGAGCCAAAGAAATGAAATTCCTCATTGTTCTTATTGCTCTCTTTTGTGTGGCAGCTGGTGAGTTCCTCTACATATTTGTATTCAACACACCTTGCTTTACAGTGGGAAAGTACACTATTCTTAAATGAACTTCGGCTGAATCGTCAATTGCTTAAAACATGATTTGATCTCTAGGAATTTTATCAGCTTTAAAAGTTGAATGTTCATTTTGGTGATAAATCATGCTTTCAACTAATTTTATACGATTCAATCATTGTATTTGATTTTGTTATAGATGTAATTCTCAAGTAATTGTGATATATACCTGATTACGTTCTACCAAGAAACATAATAATGAATTTTAACTATTGATTGTTAAAGATTTTCTGATCAATATTGATTCATAATAATTGATATCAATTCAAATTTTGCAATGGGTACAGGTTACCAGTACTATACATATTGTAGGATTAAGTTGTTGAATAATTTAGGCTAGTTTTTTATAATTTTGAAATATCACAAATCTTCTGATCCACAGGACTATCTGATACTTCAACAAGTACATCCAGCAATGGTTTCACTACAACTCAAGAACCAATTTCATCCTCAACATCTGTTAATAAACAAACTACAACTGCGGATGAAACCACAGCTGTTGTCACAACTAGTTCATCTTCTACAACCCACTCTCCCTCGACCACAACCGGTTCATCTTCTACAACCCCCTCTCCCACAACCAGCCCCATTCCCAATAATTGGGAGAGTACCAATACCTACAATTACACAAAAAATGGTACGGTGTGCTTGTTAGCTAAGTTTGCTGCACATTTTAAGAAAGACAATGTAAGTATGATTTAAGAATGATTAGATAAAAAATTGATCGTTGAAATAATTTTGTTTTAATTTCGTGCATAAAGAAAATCTGGAATGTGACCAAGGATGCTGAAATGACCGATACCACTGGATGTGGTAAGCTCTCAGTCAAATTTGATGGAAATAAGTTCGAGTTGGTGTTCAACCAAACTTCAAAAGGGGCTTTCTATCTTCAGAGAGTAAACGCAGCTCTTGTTAATGGGACACAAGGTAAGAAAAAAGCTGGTGTTTTGTGTATCAAATTTAAAATTTAGAGATTCAAGACATAATGTTGTTCAGAAATCAATGCGTTCAAAACTGGTCTCGCTTTGGCAAAAGCTTCAAATGGATCCTCTTACATGTGCCTATCTGGATTCCCTGTCTCACTTAGCGAGAATGTTACCATGTACCTGAAAGAAGTGCAATTCCAAGCATATTATGTCAAAGGTGCCACATTTGCCACAGGTAAGTCATGCCTATTATATTTTGGAATTGCTTTTTTCTACCATGTTTCATGTATATAAACACCTTTCAGCTCAAAAATGTGACTCGGATCTCAGCCCACTAGTTCCAATCATCGTCGGAGCAGTCCTAGCTGGCTTAGTTATTATTGTGGTTGTTGCTTACTTCATTGGCAGGAATCGTAACAGAGTCGGCTATGAAGAAATATGATGCTGGCATGCCATTCCCATTATTAAATTTTTTTTTCTCATTTTTCCACTCTTTTCATATGTTGTATTGCGGCCTTCATGCTCTTAAATTTTTTCATTGGTTGCTTAAAGGTGGCTTCACAATATATCACAAAACTATTTTCAAGTTAAGCTATTATTGATGAAATAATAAATGAAAAAACGAATTCTGATATTAGGTTTCGGTGGTATCCAACAGTATATACTCTGTATTCTGTAAAATATGGAATGTGCTACTTCATGTTTGCTCCGTAATGTATAGTTGAGATTAACACATTATGTAAATTTTAAATGGTTAGTTATACTATGATGCTGTGAATAAGTAAATGCCATCACATTCTATAGAATAATCCTAGTTTATATGTGCAATAGATGGCGTTTGCACTAGATAAATTTCATTAATCGGGTCATTAAATTTGTGTTCGATGTTGGATTGTATATGTATTGTTTTAGCAATGAAATTTGAGTCAATCAAGCCACAACAACACTGGCATTCCTGAAACTTTTTAATTTATTGCAGCTTATGAATGCACTGGTGATTTCCCAGACAACATGTTGGTGCCGATCATTGTAGGATGCGCTTTGGGTGGACTCATCGTTGTGGTTCTACTTGCCTATTGTGTACTGCGCTCGCGAGCAAATCGCAAGTATGACCCAGTAGATAACACCATCTAAGAAACTGTATAACTGGGAAGGACATCCTTTTCAACTTTAAATTGCTCTTCAAAGCACATTTCAGTAATCAGCTCATTCAGTACTTGTGATAGCCAAAAGCATGTAGTTATATCTTCCAGTCACTGTGTTTGATGACTATTGATTGAAAATAATTTTGTTTTATTGCGTGGGTGCTTGTACGATTTATCTCCCACCTGGTGACGTATAAAATTAGATATCGCAATGTAATGTGTTGATTGTTGAATACGTGTTTGCATTCTTGTGGTTTCTCTGGCTTTGTCTTTCATGCTGATTTTCTTTGTCACCCATTTAAAAAGCATATGTGAAAAATGTCGGTCACCCTAATAATTTTTTTATGATTATGTCTTATATCGTGAACATTTGGTCTATTTGTGGCAGAAATTGAACACGCTAGCTTCGAAATTTTAAACTATGATCGGTGGCATGGTCCACTGTGTTTTCATGAATATCCGAAAATTAAATAACCGCATTGTACAAATATCAAAGGTTGCTCTCTCATCGGATTGATCATTTACGAAAAAAATATGTTAGACGCATTGTCGCACGAGTTGTTTGTAATAATGATACACAGTCACGGGGTAGTACTGCACATATTAAGTAAATAAGTCTTTGCATGCGCAAATACCGTTGGATACCACCATTATATTTTCCCTTGCGCAATTTGTAATGTTTCTATGAATTCAGTTCAGTTTATATAATAATATCCATTTATTGTATGCTGTGCTTTTGATTTTCACCGTTTTCAATTGAATTTGTGTGTATTATGCATAAAATTTGGAAATAAATTTAAAAGGTATATTGATGTTCTCAATACTCTGGGCATTGCGGTTTCAATTAATAAAATACTCGAACAAGATAAGCCTGGACTGACTTCCGCGAAAGCGAAACAATACTGGCATAGAACTACTTTATTGAAATAAATCTTGTTTTGCGAAACTATTCGTACATACATACACTGTGAAATACGCCGCTGATTTAAACAAGGTATTTTGAAGTTCTGTAAAACACCATGTTTTATATTACAATGGAACGCCACGGACGCACTTAACGTTAAACCTTCAGGCAATCTATTTAAAACATGCTTTTACAAAGGTGAAAGTGATCATCAATCGTGGGAGCCGATCCATTGATTACAGTCTTGATCAATAAGTTTTATTATTTCTAACGTTATGGATCATGAGCTAGTGTGCGAGACTGCGCTTTGCCGATGAAAACCAATATTAAATCATGCCAAATGAGAGCATTTTTTATAGATTATTTCAATGCGCTATTTAATGCGGCTATACTTTTTGCCGCACCCGGAATCATACTTACCTCCAATGAGGATTTCAAAGATCGCGCTAATTTTATGCTTACTTGTCAAAGCGAAGTTGTCTTTCCTAAAATTTTGAATGTTAAAAAAAGTTCTGTATGTCAAAGCGCAATTCCGGATTTTGATTTATGTCCGCGAGCGAATATGCAACATTTCGATTTATTCGCATCGGCACCGTCCTACGCGCCTAGGTAATGGATATTTACGAGTTTGAATATACATTCAGGGAAATGGCAGGTTTGAGTCAGGTTTCCGGGAACATGGCTGCAAATCTGCATTGGTTACGTTTTTGGTATTTAGTCATTCGGTGAGTGAGGTACTGATTTCAATAGCCATGAGCACAATAAAGCTGATGTGGTATTTCGCTATGACGTTTTTTCGTTATTGGCAGATAGATACAAGAAAGCTGGTGAACGCATCTACTAGTGACTACAGCTATACTCAATATATATATATATATACTTAAAATAAATTATTCAGAATATATATATAAATATTTCTTGGATATAAAATTGTTCATTGGCCATTATACATTGGAAATTATATTCCTACGGTACCACATATATAATTCCGTACAAATGCAGTTTTTTCACTGATACACATATGAGCCTATATTTATTTCCGTATTCTTTCATCTCCATTTGATGAAGCGCACAACTGCTGTTGCGTCGAATTTCTGTCGTCGTCTGTTTGGTCCTAGTCCTTGTTTTTTCACATGTCTGGGGGATTGTAGAAATCTTACGGCTTAATCCGTCAATTGTACCGATATCGGATTAAGTGGTAAAATAACATATTCGCGTTGGATTGTAACTTTCGCTGCTGTGAAGGGTATTTCTAACGACTGATATTCCTTATGGGCGAGCAGAGGCGTAGCCAGGAAGTGAGCCCATATATATCTCTCAGACTCTACTAACGTATGAAAAACGATCGGGTAGAGAAACGCACCGGGTAATTACTATCGAAGACTGATTATATTAGGTATTTTGTCTGATTTATCGCGTTTATGTGTCGAATAACGCTTACGTGGAGGTGCTTGTTCTAACACCATGAAATTGAGAAGTATGAAAAGTACGGTAGGAAATGTGCATTTATAATTTGACATATATACTGTATTCTTATAATTTGCATGTTACTGCATTATAGGCTTGTACGTAATTTACGCAATTACGTAATTATTTCGAGTTACGGAAGGGAAGTTACGATTTACGTAAAGTCGTAATTATTGGTCGAGCGCTTTCGTGATGAAACAAGCTCTTTTCAAAGCAGTCAATTCCATTGATTGTAAAAAATGAAAAAAGTAGAAGAAGTTAGAGTTTCGGTATTCGCAGCCGTTTTTTCTTTCTTGCCAATACAACGCCGTGATAATTAATGTCGCGCTTATCAAACAGCAATATGACGACGGAAAAATAATTGCGTGATGAACCAACGCAACTTCGTCTTTTCGGCATCGGTAAAGCGATTAAGACGGCAGAGAAACAACAAAACGACGAGATTTCCCGCGGACCGGTGGTTGGGAACCATCGTTCCAGAATACTTATATAAATCGAATCTAGAATCCTATTCTATTTTTATAGTTACACGTATTTCAATAGTGGAAATTCCCCACCACAATGCATGGTTAAAATTAAAAAAAGCTTAATTGTAGCCCAAATGTATAGCTATCTTTGTACAGTATTTAATTGGAAATTACATTTCACCAAGGGAACGAGATTTAGGAATTTCACGATCATCTTTTTGTCTTTAGCAGTTCAATATCTTCAATTTAACTACTATCAAATATAATCAAGTATGAGCCAGTGTGTTTATTCTGTGCGTGATTCATTTTCTATTACGAAATCTTTCTGTTACACTGGTTACATCGTTATATGTCCGGACCTGGCTTTGCTCAATATGTTTTCACAATGCCTCGCAAAATTTCGGCCAACTGTCTTTACCAAACGCGGCAACCTTTTTTTATTTTATCGTCGACTCGAATACCACAGGCACTCGACCAAACTTGTGTGAATCTTGGCCGATAGGATCGTCGACTTTAGTTAGAAAAATAAGTTAATTTTTTCGTGAGTGCAAAATAAATGTCATAAAATGCATTGTTTTGCGATATAACTTTGTATTTTCGGAGAAGGAATGTCATATAAGTACGGCATTTAAATTATGCGCAAATAATGGTATAACATTTAGGCCGCGAAATGATTTGATGTCAAATGAAGGATGGTAATCGGGATATCGTCAATAAGTCGACATCAATAATTATTATAAAATGCTAACTAGATAGTAAAGTCGAACAATGTAAAAAACGGTGCAATAACAAGTCTTCGTCGCGAGGCAAGCATAAGTATAATCAAACGCGAGAATACGCTCGTCGATGATTAATAAATTAGAATCCCGAAACTTTTATTTAATATAAAAGTCCATTCAAAAAAGTCAACTATCGTTTCATAAATATCCGTATAGTGTCGGTAATTATAAAATTGATCGCATAAAAGTGGAACGGTTAATTTGCGAAATTTGTGACAAAGGAAAATCAAAGCTAACACTAAAGCGAAAAATCAGAATAAAATTAATTTGAATTCACTCCCTGATAGTTGTCTTTAACATCTGTCGCCGGCGTGTATTACTGCCAGGATTATGAAAACCAAACTTCGATGTCCCATTCGGAAAAGAAGTGGATTCAATAGGTTTTTATGATAGGTTTAAATGTGTCGAAAAATATCGCAATTACGGGGTCATTACGTAATCGATTTGGCCGTAATTACGGAATTGATTTTTGTCAATTACGTGCAAGCCTATACTGCAATATTCTATTAATGAATTAAATAGTCATAAATGTATATATATATGGATTGGATGTGCGATAGACGATGTTCTTATAAAGCTGCGTTTTTTATTAATTTTGCATTGAAGTTGGGCGGCTTCAGTTTCGACGTTAAAAGTCTCGGAATCTGTGGTTCTCAACCCCCTTTCTTTCGTGGCCCAGTTGCGTTGCACTAAAATTTTGTGGCTCATGCAAGGCAAAAACTACAGGAGAAACAAAAAGCGATTCCGCAAAAATAGACACTCCACTTAATAATTAAAACAAAATTGCCACTCCCTAGCTAAAACAGCATCATCATTCATTTTTACTACACTCAAATAATATATATATATATAGCAATTATTATTATTAGGAATGTTTTAGTCTGAAAATGTTTATGTGGTCCAGCAGTGGTCAAATCGATAAGATAGTGTAATATGGATAAAACATGGATTGCATGTCTGATACAGTTCGGGTATTAATGCATAACAAGCATCATACTGAATTTCTACCCATACGCAAAATTTTTACTTTACAGGTTCATCATGGCCAGCTCCAACACCAGGTATGTATATTACTATTTTATATTTGAAACGGAGCCTAATATAAGTATGTGAATATTTAATATTCTATATCGGGTTCGAGTCAAAATTAGATATCATTTAATACCCATCTAAAACTTGTATTCTGAAAGTACAGATATGAAATCGAACGATGATTTCCTATCCCCTTATTTTCAGGAATATATCAATTTGTCCTAAAGATTAATAACAATTGTTACGCTATGTGACTTAAAAGTCTTAGATATGGGTATTTTGGTCTCTGTATCACTTGAGATTTGCTAAAAAATGCTATCATTTTCAGTGGAATGGGAGGCCAATGCCGATGATAAGACGTATTTTAAGGCCGATATGGCGATTCAATGGCATATCACGTACAGCAAAAATGCCACTCCAACGGTGAGTAACCGGTTATTTCATACTTTTTAATGTCTGTTGACAAATGCCTCAAATTTACTCTTAACAAAACTAAGCTTTTAATTCCCGAGATCAGGGTTGTTTCAATGTGTTTCAAATATGCGTGTCCGTGATATAGCGTGATAAGGATCTTCTCCATATAAGTTTCGCTATGCGTTATATACTAGATACTGGTGTGCTTTCGCCTTCAAATGTATTATTTTTTCTAAACTGTTGTTACCACGCCTGTTATTCAAATAAAATTATAAAAAATATTTTGATAATTTTTTGCCATTTTACATTTAGATGATTTTTTTTTGCGTTCTTGCGATATTCAAAAATAGCACCGTTATTGATAAACGAACATTGAAAAAAAAACAAGAGAGTGTTTTAAATATTGTAATTTTAGGATTTGTACCTCGAGTTCAAAGATCCGAAAAAGTTGTCTGTGGAAACACAAGATGAAAATACTACCACGGTAATGTTTATGGACGATACCGCGGAACAGACCCTGACGTTGACGTTTATGGTAGATGCGGCAGGAGATTTCTATAAACTTTCTTCTGCTCAGTTGTCTTTTTATGTAAACAACAATACTTTTCCAGATGCCGACAGTAAGTATCAATCTGGGGTATACCGTAGGCTACTTTTGTTAGAGGTAATATGTATTGATGACATAACACGTATTACTGTAACGCGTACATGTATGTAGTAGGCATATTATAAATAGATAAAAACAACTTCAATTCAAGACAACCCTCTTATAATACACATTCTTCTTATTAAATATCTTATTTTACACAGTACACACAGAAGTACAAACTTTTGAGTCTTTTGCATAGTAATTAATCTTCATGCTTGCCACATCATATCATGTATATCTTTCGTTTTAGTGCTTCAATATAAAAACTTTGCCGTTTGTCAACCCAGGAAGTTAACAAGCAGAGAGCTGTCATGTAACACAGCCACTAGCGCATCGAACATACTAGAAGCGGCGTTACCTTTTTTGCACCATAACGTTTTATAACAGCTATAAGCTTTTTAACTAGTTTTTGAAGTTCAAGATCGAAGTTACCAAATGTACTTGCAGGATTAGCATACATATATGGCAGTGGCTATTAACCGAGATTTCCGCGGCACCACAGGGTCCCGCCAACACAGTTCAGACGTTCCGCAGTTTACCATTTGAGTCCGAGTATTTTACATGGGTTCCCCTCGCCTTTGGAGTGTTTCATTGGAATATCGATTAACTAAGGAGATCGAAACCACTGATATATAGTTATTATTTCATTTATTACGTCATGATTCATTTAAAATATTATTTTGAGGTTTATTATGAAGTCATAAGGTGTTCACGAGACGCAATGTGAAACCACAATAGATTTTCCAAGCTTGCAAAATATCACGTATGATGATGTCACAAAATTTCCATTGTTCAATTGCTCTTCGTAAATGAAATCCTGGGTACGCCACTGAACACAGCAATACGGCTTCAACGGCTTCATGACGTGTACTTTCATTGTTTGTTTCTTTCAAAAAGACTTCTATTTGCGTTTGTGAGAATTTTTTTTGAAATGCGCTAGTTTTGGAAGAAATGAACAAAATTTTCAATATTCAAATATATTTTAATAATCAATTTATTCCTATGTTTTTCGAATTAAATTAATACATAACTTCCTGATAATTTCAATTTATATTTACAATATTAATTCCAATGTAGATATAAATGAAACTATCGTTGCTTCGGCGAACTTGAATCTTATGGAGACCTCTGTGGAGATGTCGTATATGTGCTCGACTGAAACACAATTCAGACTTACCTCCAATGATACGACCAATGATACATCCATATATGTCCGATTTACCCCGCCAAGCAAGAAATCTATTCAACTACAAGCAATTAGATTTAAGAACAAGTCTGAGTATGGATCATGTGAGTATATATATATATCAGGTGTGAAAGCTCCGAGTTCATTCTTTAGTTTAGTAATATGAAAGAATTGCTAGATTATTTTGTTTTGCAAAAACCACCGCTTGAATCAGTTAAATTCACTGGCTTGGATTTCCTTCATTTGCTTGGAATTTAATAAACATCGGCACTACCGTTTCATCGAATCCAAATGTGTTTCACGACATGAAAGCAAAAACTTATAAATTTTTAAATATAAATATTTCGAAGCTGCTGAAATATGCTTCTCCATAATAAATTCCATTTTTGGTTTCACATCTTGAAAATTCAATCATCTCTGAAAATGTTCATCAATTTCAGCGGCCAAATGTCTCACGGATATGCCTCCGACAGCCATAAGTATGTCGTACAAAGTTTTATCTGACAAAGAAAAAAACATATGTGCTAGAATTGACTCAATCATCAATCTGCTAAATATTCAGTACATGGCCATTGATGGATCGGTAAATATATATATTTACTTATCAATTTATCATACTCTTTTTTGTATTTGTATAACTTAAGGGCGAAAATATTTCATCCAATCATATTCATACAAAACCGTAAATACAATTCCAGTGGAATTGTCAAGATATCACTATACTCGAGGACCGAGGTACAAACGTTTGCTCGAGATATTTTCCAGCAAAATATATTGAATTTTTTAGAGGAAGAAACTAGGTCTTTCCTTTAACAATACCATGTTCTATTCACCGTGAGAATCATATAAACTGCGAGAAGCAATGTCATATCGATAGCTTTATTTTTCATTTTAGATGCAAATACTCGAATGATTTCTATTTTTGTTTTTGTTTAGAGCATGGTAGCCAACGTACCCTTAACGGCCGATGCTACTGCAACTGGCTCCTGTGGAAAGAATTTAACAACTGTAATGATTGACCTCGGGAGTAAACAAGGAGTTTCTACAGGAAATTTAACCCTGTACTACTTTCTTAAATCAGTGACTTATGCATATTATGCCGATGATGTACTGGAAGCAGTTTTGGACAACATCACATATGTATACGATCCAATGTCGCCGTATTTTCCTAATCATGGATGTAAGTTTTGATATCATAAATTATTAGTGAATATCGGTAAAATCGGTATTTACTGAAAAAGTAGCAAAATGACAAAACCCGATTTTTAGCGGAAAAAATTTGAAAGCAGAAGTTGAACGAAATTTACTTAGTTACTACCCCAACTTGAAAAACACCTACTACCATGTTTACTTTGGCCAAGTTTTATTCATTCGAGTGCCAAGTGACGAATTTTTACTTATGGTTGCTGGGACAAAATCCAAGGAGACTGCATATATTTTACAATGACATTTTTAACTCTCTTTGACAGCTATGAATGAAAACGAAACCATAACTGCTGCTGGTCTCAATGCATTTCAAATTCCTGCTACCATGTCCTATGAATGTAGTGCATCAACTGAAGTTAACGTCACTGAAAAGATGATGGTTAACTTCACAGACACCAAAATGCAAGCATTCAATATACATGGTGGAAATTACAGTACAGGTACGTGCTATCAACTATTTGGGCTAATATATTATTGGATGGGCTATCAAGAATCATTTAAAAATATGGATGTGTTCCCTTTTATCGACTTCCTCATTTCTGTAACAATCAGCAAGATATCAAACGCGATGTTACAATCAAAATTCAAACAGAGCTCACTTCCTATCAAAGATAGATTTTTAAACACGGCTGTAAAACTAGGAATCGTTTTTGTAATTTTGGTGTTAACTATCAGTTTTTTCTTAAGTTTTCTAGGATTAGGTAGAAAGCAAACTTTCCTCGGAACAGCTTTAGTTTAGTGTTTGTTTCAGTCCAGATAAAGATGTAACAGGCAAGGTTAAAACTAGCTTAATTGAATATGTAAGGAAACTTGTAAATGGCAGAAAGTTCTGTATTTTGTATCAAAATGAAGGTTTTAAACACGTTTGCGCCATCTCGCGATAACACTTTCAAAACTAAATCAAACAATTTATTATATTTTATTTTAATAAATATTTGCTGATTAGGCGTAAAATTTTCTCTCAAATTATCTCACTTTTATTTTTAATTGCAGCTTCTAATTGCCAAGCCACCCCCACCACCGCCATACCTGGTAAGTATGTGCTGCAGTTATTTTTATTACGAAAGTGCAGTACATGATTTTATCACAACAGACATCACATTCATCATCCAAATGTAACGAATGTAGTGTGGATACAAAAGTCAGCTAACTTGCCAATTTATGCTCGAATATCGATTTTTCGTACCATGAACACTACGTGCGCAAGATAATCTCAGGAAAGAATTTGTTTCTTATATGACGAACATACTGTTTTGTTCACTTTTATTATGTACCTGAATCAAACCTGGAATGTTACACACCTCAATTAAATCGGACTTGGTCCACGTTGCTGTCTGTACGATGATATGGGTTGAATCGGAAATTTTGACAAGAAAATAAAAAAATTTTCAGCTCTGTTTTGTTTGCGTTAAGTACGCCGTTTATTGATAACAATTTATATTTTGCAGTTACGACACAACCTATTATACCGGATCCCTCACTGCCGACATCAAGTAAGTCAAAAACTATTTGAGTAGCTTTGAAGATATTAAAGTTAGAACTCGACCGATATCACTTTTTGGCACCGATACCGATATATCGGCCAACTGGAAGCCGATAACCGATATTAATAATAAATCATATTGTAAGCCACAAAATGGGCTTTTACGATGTACGTCGTAAGCCTGTAGTTTCATTTTGATATTTATTATCATTGCAGTCAGACTTTTATTTAACCAACTCCAGTTAATGTTTGAACAAACGTTATTCTGTAACTTTTCCTATGACTTCAATCTCAGCCTTCCCTTTTCCAGGTACAAATTGATATATTTTGTATTTATATATCTGTACAATGCTTCTGTGATCACTAACTCAACAGCTTCAAATCGATTCTCTTTATAGAACTAGCGTTTTCTGTCATACTAAATTTGCCGTTTTCTCATTGTGAGCTCTCTCAAAATTGTTACTCGGATAATAACTTTTAAGTTATAACCATGCATGAAATGGCTAATCATCTTCATCATCTTATTGGGTCAATTATAATGGATTCAGTTTTTTTTTGTGTAACTCTCAGCAAAATGATAAGCAACTCTTAATATAGATAAACTTGTTGCCCGAGAAATTCAAAATTGCATTCAGGGAGGTCATAAATTCGGAATCAATTTTAGCTTTGAGTTTTCTGTACAATGCTTCTGTGATCACTAACTCAACAGCTTCAAATCGATTCTATTTATAGAACTAGGGGTTTCTGTCATACTAAATTTGCGGTTTACGCATGTGAGCTCTATCAAAAATGTTACTCGGATAATAACTTTTAAGTTATGACCATGCATGAAATGGCTAATCATCTGCCATCGGGCATTAGGAGAGACAAAACGCAACAACGCAAAATGAAGGCAAGAGAAATATTGGAAAACCAGTTATGCACGGGCGAGAGCCGTTCAAGCACACAGCCCGACGCTGGCCCGGCTAATGCCGATATATTTCAGCGGTTTACTGCCGATATGATATATCGGCAAACACGCAATATCGGCCCAATATATCGGTCCCGCTCTAATTAAAATTAAATCGACCCAAGTCCGAAACATTCTCTTTCTTTGCGATGACCTCACATACTGATACATACGTCCAACACTGTGTCGTGTCTGATCAGTGTCGTATAAAGATTGACGAATGAAAAGTATCAAATAATTAGAGTATGCTGATTAATTAAACATAATAAAAAACGTACAGGCCCCAAATGGAAAGTGCGGACACTGAAATTTTGTTTAGTGTATGATATTTTTATCCCAGTGACGGCAGTGAGCATACTTACAGCACTTTTACATATTATCATAATTTACGCGTCGTGTTCCGTCTGATGGAGATCTTCATATCAGAAAATGATCATTGCATTTGGTAAATTTTTATTTCAGGCGAAAGGAGGATCAAAGATGGAAATGATACGTGTTTACATGCGGTCATTGGTCTGCAAATGAGAGTTTTTTATCAAGAAAAAGATAAACCAGATGGAAATCTGACGGTTTGTAATTTGTCGATGAAGATCTGCATTCTGCATACATGTCGTTTATGTTATGAGCGTGCCATCACAATATGTGTCACTTAAATGTGTTTATCTGTATATTATGACAGGCTCGGCGGATTAGCGCATCTTGCTAACCGTTAGGAATACACTATCCACCGCACCTCTGATTACTTTGCGTAGGTTCGCCAGCTCCATTCCCTCCACCATCAAGTCCATGCTTCCGAAAACAGATAACTGGCTAACTAATTCCATACCCGACATGGGATGGTACCTGGACGAGAGGCCGTAGTTCGCTTGAGCCTTCTTATCGACTTTCGTCTCCGCGGGATAAGTATGTAAATCCTAACCTTATGCAGTACTATAAACTGCTAACTGGACGAGAGGCCGTGGCTAGTCAATATGATTAAGCCGTCTTATCAGCTTGCCTCTCACGCGGGGTGAATATGTAAGAGCTATCATTATGCAGAACTATAAATCTTCACCAAATTTTTGAATTAACTCTCCCCTGTATAAATTTATACAATTCCATTATAACTGGGATTAGTGGCAAAAGAACATGTGGGTCTTCATTACCGAAATTAAAACTTTGAGTAATTCTTTAAAACCTAACATTGATTCACATAAAAATACGACTGGTTGAAAGAATGTATGTTAATTTCACACCTCATAAAAAGTACGAACACAATTTTCTCAAGGCGTTTTTTGTTGTGCTTGAAATTGTTTGTATGGAATGGAATGGAAAATTGGGTTAGGGGAACATATATACCATTGAGTCCAATTGTTTTGCTTTTTTTCTAACCAAATTTTGTCAATTTTGGAAAACTTAAGATAGGTGTGATACCAAAAAGTCTTTCGCCAGCATTCGATGCCAGTTGGAATTGCGCCACATAGTGAAACTAATCATTTCATATGTCGTTGCTTACGTGCTTATGTAGAAACTTAGGATTTATATATGTAATTGATAAAAATAGACTTGGTAAGTAATTTTGTTTTTGATGAATATATATTTTAAATTTCAGGAAATATTTTTCAACTTTGATGCGGATAACTGTACACAGTCCGCAGTTTGCACAAACTCTTCAAATGCTGTCATTACTTTTGACCGAACCGCGGACTACGAACAACAGCTCACTTTAACATTTACTAAAGATGATAAATCGAAAATGACTTATTTAAGTCAAGTTGATTTGGAATATACTATCAACAAATATTTTCCGAATGCCAAGGACACATCAGGTATATAAAATCGAGAAGTTTCCGATACTTAAATGCCAGTAATCGCGAGTTAAGTTGTGGAATGTCCCAGACCATCGTGATAGAAAGATTCCCTCTGATAAGGTAAAAATTCAGACTTCCGACTGTAACTTTAGTAGCAGCAAAAACTTCAAAATCCGTGTCCTATTTCACATTCATCGGTTTCATATCTCTATAATGAATTGTATGTATTCTTTATAATTCTTTAAATTTACAGGAAAAAAGAAGACATACACCAATACGCAAATGTTTTTGAGTGCTTCGGATACTAAATCCTATCAATGCAACAGCACATGGACTGATGTGCTAATGAGCAATGATGATAATGTTGTTGTACGAATTGTACCTTTGAAAGTTGAACCATTTGCTACATCAGATAAATTTAGGCCAGGTAATTTTTTCAACTTTTAAACAAGACACTTGTTGGAATAACTGTCACAATATTTAAAATTAGTTATTTTCTTAATGTCTCCCATGCAAACAATTTACTGAGAGCTGAGTACACGTTTACTAGCAAGTACTACACTACTCATTCATTTCATATGCAGTTTTGTGTAGACAGTCGATGATACACGGTTCTATCACAAAACTACAGGAACATCCGATATCTCTAATCCACTGGTTCTTTTTTTTTTCTTTGCGGCCCATTTTCGTTGCTCAATAAATTCTGTGGTCCATTAACTTTCTCATTCAAGGGAAAAACTACAAGAAAAACAAAAAATCCTTTTTGCAAATATAGACACTTTGAATAATGAAAATGTGAACTACCACCAGGGTTGCCATATCGTGCTTATTTCTAAGATCTGTGCTTATTTTCTGGGCCGCGTCTTATAAAGTAACAATGTGCTTATTTCTAAGAAAAGTGCTTATTTTAGAGTTGCGTGCTTATTTTGTCTTAGAAACGTGGATGAATCGCTCTTGTTTTGCGTACAAAGCAATTTAGACAACTAGTAAGCGTAACCATAACTACTACTATTGCGACAATGAGCAAGGGGGGAAATCAGTGCCCACAATACTACCACAAAACATAATAAGCATTGCGGGAAACCAAAGTATGAAGACTTTAGATCAGGGTTCGGCCACCTGCGGGCCATATCCGACCCGCGGACAAAAATAATCTGGCCTGCAATGCTTCACTGAAACTGATACCTACGGATCGTTAATATGTTGTTCTTGTTCTTCATTATTAATTCTTTCCCCCATCGTTATCAAAAAATCGCTTTTGTTTTCAATTACCGAACCAAAATGAAATTTTCCGTGCTGAGAAAGAATTAGTGACAGGCTACCCATTTAGAAAATGTTCTAATTTTGGTTTTATTCAGCATTTCACCTGATGTCAAAAAGGTATCAAGCATAATGCAACAAATAGTGTTTAGCCTACATTAAATGTTATTTGTAAATATTTTGCATAGTGAGACGACTTAAGTCCACGTGTTGTCGCAGTGTTCGCTCACTAATTAAAGTCTAGAACTTCAATTTCTAATCTGTATAAATATGTGGTTCATCAGCCAACCGTTTCAGTTTTCAACTTTCTCGAAAAATATGTGCTTCCCTGCCAAGATTTGTAACACTTGATTATGGCCCGTGATTATGGCCCGTGAACGACAAAAAGTTGCCTCTGCTTTAGAGATTGCGTGTGGCAGTGACTCCATAGCTATTTGCAATTTCGGAGCTGCGTACAACCGTGTTCGAAGCGACTTCTAATGATTAAAATTGGAAGACTCGTGTATGATCTCCTTCTTGACGCCCGTGCTTATTTTTGGCTCTGGGTAGATGGCAACCCTGACTACCACCCAGGGCCACTTTTATTTATCTCAAATATTTCCGTTGGCTCTGTGACATTTGTTTTTGTTTGCTATGACGTCACCGAACGTTCTGCGGACGCATATGATCACGTGCCATCGAACAACAGTGGCTAGAGAACCTGTGCTCTAATCCATACGTGTCAGTTTTATTTTAAATAAACCAGTCTTCTCTCCAAATTCGAATTATTAACTTTCCAATACATTATTCTCCATTCAGGACAAAAATGCTTCAGTGACCTTCCAGTTCCTAAACCAAATACAGGAAAATGGTACGTCAACAGCACGGGCAAGAACGACTCTGTTTGCGCTGCCTTCGAGTTCTCTTCATCAGTAAACATCACGTATGGATTGTTAGTCGATCCGAACGTTAGTATAGTTGTTTTACATGCTTTTCTTATGCAAGTTTCTGTCGGGTTATATCAAATAATTACATATTTTTGTTGCAGCCTAAAACAGTCACTATTCCTCTGGACAGCGTTAAGCATAACGTAACTGAAAGCTTCGGTGTTTGCATGCCAAATACAACAGTTTTAATGATTCCGATGGACAATGGAATGATGAATTTTACATTTGAATTTTCCAAGAAAAATATTAGCAAAGACGGAAAATCGTTCAAATTCGTCATGACAACCGCTACGATAAGTTATTCAACCAATACAAAATACCTTCCAAATCACGAATATGTTGGTGAGAATTTAAAAAAGAATTGTATAATTTGTAATCATGTTCAAAACTGTTTTGAGATTAAGTTGTTCTATTGCGAACAAAATCAGATGCGAAATATATACGTGACTTCTATTTAATTCAGTAGAGATTCTAACTTCTATATCCTATATCGTGAACCACTGGATGGAATCGAAATATATGGATTATAGAACTATATCTGCACGACATACCAATCTTTATTGTTTTCGTTACTCGCTTTCCAATATTATTGCTTTATCCTATTTGTTGTTTTCAGATGGAGGAGTGGTAATGTTGACCAACAATACTTTGGAACTATTTTCCTCTGATCAGGCTCACTCATACAAATGCACTACAAATGTTACCACCGGGGTACAAATGAAAGCATGGCTTTCTTTCAGCGATGTGCAAATTCAGCCGTTTGGCGTAAGCTCAACAGATGGTCAATTCTCAGCAGGTAATATAATATGCTCATTTTGCTATGTTATTGGAATAGTAAGTAATCCATATAGTTCTTATTAATTAGGTCATTTTTATAATTGTTATATGACGTTTTGTATATTACTGCTAAACGTATAATATACATTGCGTAAGGATTTTTATTCCAGAAAGGAAGATGCGAATTTATGACAATATGTGCGTCATAAATTTACATATAATTAAAATATTGTTTCGATCAAAGACATTAATCAAAATAAAACATGTCGTTGTTACTACATATCAATCTTCACTCTGAATCGGTTATTTTTCAACCTACAAAGGACGTAAAGTTGTCTTAGTTGCGTTTACAGATGAATTTTAAATATCAATATTCCATTAAAATATTTCGTCGCTATCGTCGAAAATAATTAGTGAAATTTTAATATTACGGACCAGCATGGCTATGCTATTTTAATCTTCATCGCTATTCTGAACTAAAAGTAAGTGATCAACTTAAGAAGGCGGAGAAAACAAAACGAATATCATTTGGTTACCATTAGTAACTACACATTAATCTCAGGCCTTTGTTCACCACATGAGGGCTCCAGGCACTAAAATATAAAAAGTTGAAGGAGATGAAAGTGATCCTAGAAATTTTTATAATCTCGAGCAAACCATTTCAATTAATTGTTAACAGCTGACGATTGTTCTGCGGATGATAAGTTATCAAAAGCAGCAAGAATTGGAATTTTATGTGCTATTGTTATAGCTGGAATTTCCTTGCTTACCTGCGTCTGTTGCTTTGCATACCGAAAATATAAATTGAAACAATCCGGCTATAAAGCATTCCGATAATTTTTGTATTATTAATCACATGCTATCAAAACGCGCCATATTACTACAATTCTAAGATAAAGTAATTTTAAACACAGTTAAAGTTTATCGAATATGAAGCATATTGACTTGACCGTCAGTGAGTTCTCAGCATTAACTACTATAGGATTACAGTGAATTGGCGTGTTTTGAAAGCATGTGACAAACTAAACGTTTATTTCTAATTTCACGTTACTACCATTATATGTGTTATGCATTATCCGATAATTGCCTTGCACCTTTGTCCGGCTATTTGATTTTCTTTTTTTTATATATATATATACATTTGATCAGCGCGCTTCAAAATCATTGTCCCTTTTATTTGCTCGAATTAGTGTTTATTTTGCATGATGTGAAATGACGGTGAATAATTAGCGACAGAAAAAATATTGAATAGCCGGACAATACTACTAAACTGAACTAACATTGAAAAAGAAAAAAATAATAATGTATATTATTTTATTTTTACCCGCTCATCATTCACCGTCATTCAACCCTTATCTTACTGCTCTTGCTCACTTTATGACAAATCTTATATTTCTACCAAACCGTGCTATTATATTTCGACTTTATCTGTGACCAAAACCCACTCCGATTTTCTCTATTCAAATTCCATTCTTTACCCTACACAATCCTCAATTTTGGAACAACAGCTGACGACTGTGCTGCTGATGACATGAGTCCGTTGATTCCGATCATCGTGGGCTCAGTACTTGCCGGTTTAGTCGTCGTCGTTCTGGTTGCTTACGTCATTGGAAGAAGGCGAAATTCAGGGGCTAACTACGAGACGATTTAACGAGGAAAGAGTTTCGAAAAGCTTTGGTTTACATATAGAATATTGTTCTTTGTTATCTTAACTTAGGCTTGTGCTAATAAGTTGTAAGTGTAAAATTAGTTCATAGAGATGATAAAAATATTTACGACCAATTAGTTTCTGCCAATTTTGGATCAAAAAACCTCGATGAATGTATAGTTATGGTTAAATAAAATGACAAATTCAGACCTAAAATTGGTGATAATTTAGCCTGTCAATAATTGTTATGTTTTGATTGTTATATTTTGATTATTGCGCGCATTCTGTGAAATTAAAAAAGTCAAATCTTTGTGCGTTTTCTTTTATCAAGACATATATTTGTAGTGATAAAATGATTTTACAATTGATGTTGTTTCCCAATATGTTTAGTGCTTCGATTATTCTTGCTAAAAGCCATAAAATATGAATGTATGATAAAATTTTGCTTTTGACGTTTCAATATATTGTAATAAAGATCATGACATTAAGTTATATACAATAAACTTTTAATCATAAAACGATGCATGTCTTGTTTTTTTTATTTGTGTAGCCGTGTGTGCTTGGTTAATATCCCAAAGATCATCCTTACTTCTAAACAGTGGATATTTCTCCGGCCTGTGACCCCAGGAAAATTCTTCCTATACTTAATTATTGCGAAATTGGTAATACCTATTTTGATAATATTTCGAAAGCGCATAGATTCATAGAACTGGTTTACATCTTTAAAATCAATATTGATTTAATTAAACATAAAACACTGACGTCGACAAAAAGTAGGATGAGTTATCTGATCTGTATTTAACATTGGGACATAAAAACTAACAAATAACAGTAAAAAATTAGGAAATTGTGTCAATCATGCTTGAATGCGTGTCTGTCCGGATGAAACGATATCTGAGCAGCAGATTAAATTTCCAATTTAAGGAAATTAACGAAGAAGTCGATGCTCAAGGAAAGCATGACTGTACTTAAAAGGACGGACAAAGTGAGATTTTCATGTTTGTTTCTATATGGTATAACTGTATCTATATAGTATAATTCTATTTTCTTAAGTATTGCAGAACATCTTCACATTTGATTGAAGATTATGTGAATAATTTTGAAGATTACCTTCCTTCGTAAATCTTCTTTATCTGAATAATCCTATGTTAAGCTGACGCAATAAACAAATCATTAAAAGCAATACACAGCATTTTATGATCAAAAGAATACTCGTAGCATCCGTTCCTAAATTCTTATCATAACACATAAATTGGCACTAGTTGAGTTAACATGAAGACTGGTCGTGCTTTTCAACCTCATTTTATCAATTCCAAGAATGGAGACATCAAGTCTCTGGGCGAGTTTCCGTCTGTCAATAATGATGTAATCGAATGCCTAACAGTGGATGAATAAAAATCATGTTGCCTCTTCAAACAATTATTATATCACTATAATAACCAGTTAAGTCACCGCCTCTTTATTGAAGTCAGGATCAAAGCTAACAGTTCATATTTTTTGTAAGGACTCGTTCATAACCGTACGTCAAGAAAAATAATGACAATTCTTATTTTGAGACCAAACACTCGACACATGAGCAAACAATAGACGTCTACGAAACTGTTGATTTAAATGATATAATGTGTGAATTATGCAGTAAAATCAGGTGCGTCCACAAAAATACACCCAGAATTTTCCGAAATTGCGTGACAATTAACATAGTAAAGCCTCGGAAAGTAAAACACGAAAAAGAGAGAATTTGTTGAAGTAAAATTCAGAGGAATAGTTCAACAAATAGTTTTCAATTTGCGCAGGAAAATCAATTACTTTGTTAAACGCAGTTTTGTTAGGAATTGAAGTTGTTTGCTACGATTGCACTGATTTGTATTAATGTATTAATGATGTTACCTTCCTGCGTGAGGAAGCCTGTCAATGTCGATGCCGCATATATTTCAAAATATTGTTAAAAACAAACAAAAAAGCTCAGTGTAATAACGAGATTATCTCACACCTTTTAAAACTTTTTACAATTCTAGAAACGAGCATTTGAAATGATGTTCACGTCACTGGGTTACAAATATGCTTGTAGCTGATTTGCAATTATTGGACATAATTTAGACGCAGGGGTATTTTTATGTTGTTTTCGTCCAATCGTTCATTTAAAATCCTTGGCTCTCCAAGTTTCACGCGTAAATGTAATTTGAGGCCATTTGTGTCGATATTTGCTCACGTCATGGTAGTCATCGTGTACATCTTTGGCGCAGTACAAGGACAATTGCTTGAAACAAAGCCGCTTGAAAATATGAAATACGCCGCTAAACTATATCCAACCCTTGTATATTTATTTGTATGTGCGCGACCCAGATCGCCCGATAATTGAAAGTGACAGTAACGAAGATGTGTTCCGATGTGTTCTGGTATGTGATACATATTGTTCAAGTCTTTTTGTTGCCATTTCGTAAGATCAGCGCATGAGACTTCGTTGCACAACTGACCCAGAGCTATTTGTTTCAGGGAAGTGTCGTATCTGCCTTTGTTGACGAGCACGTGGGAGGTATTTATGACAAAAATAACACAAAAGACAAAGTTATATTTGCCTTGTCTTCATTGGCGGACAATGCTCCTCGGCGGAATACGAAACCTGAAACACATTGCGCCGTATTGTTTCCAAAAGTGTTCTGGGTCTAATGATTTTTGTCGTGCCCTACCGTGAAAGGACTTTTTTTTATCGATCGTTCCTAGCGCACTCGAATGACTTGAGCTAGGTTGGGGTCGAGTACCGACATTTCGATGCGTCATTATTCGCTGCTCACATCTCTGCTAAACTTAGCACTTGTCAAGAGTTGCCTATTTTACGCAACTCTTCAATGTATGTAAGTAATCCATTCAAATGGAAAGTAAGATGAAGTCATAATTTATGATTTTTTTGCAAAGTCTTTGCGCAGGAATGAAGACATATGTTAAGTAAATAATGTAATCTATGATTATGAATCTCTTTATAGTAAATACTATGTAACCGTGTATATTTAGCATCAATGTATGTATTGACTCAATTGTACCGAATTCCTGAAATCGAGAGTGAAGATTAAAATATACCCATGGTAATTTAGGGTCAGTTCAGTGTTAATGTTATGGAGAGTTATGTAACCTTCGGAAACGTTAGTACTGTAACAACAATAGTGACCGTCGGAAGCCGGCGAATAGCAACGTCGCAAACCGGCGAAAAAGTCTTAGCTTTAGTGTTAGTCTACTTTCTGCACAGTCCAGTTTGAGATGAGAAGAAACCAGACCATAACTATTATTGATGTACTAACAACAGGAAATATAATATTTCCTCTAAGGTGGATAGCAGAATGTGTGGAAAAGATTTAAATAGGATATATTGAAGTTCACTACAAGGTTCTTTATTATTTTATTTAATAGCACCTGTCCCATAGTATTAATAGTTTTTATATATAAATTTGATTCCAAATACTGCAACTGAACTAAAAATAAAATGTAAACTTTCCAATAATATAATAATAATAACAGGTTTCAGCTTTAGCTTACATCTGTATTCTTTGGCTCGCAGCAATTAGAATCTTTCTAATTTGACGCCAAAATTTCATTAGTTTTGGAACTTAGAGAGTTGGTCCAATGTGAAAAAGTCGTGGAAGGAAAGGAGGTTGTTTTTTAATAACACAGAATATCATGTAGATAGAGCATATCGTTGTTGTTTATTGTATAACTAACGCTATCTGGGCGATTGAACCTAAATTACACTAATATTAAAAATGCTGATTATAATCGTGGGATTGTAAATTTTTCGATATATGACAGTTTATTTACAAAACTTTTAGTGTTTCAGCATCTGTAAAAAGTAAAAATATTATTGCTGACGCTTTATAGATATTGGATTCTAGAATGTTACGGGGCTACACTAATTGTAAATGTTCAGGGAAGCATATGAAAGACATCGCATGTCGCTGCTATAGTGGGATGCAGGAATGTTGTATACCGTATATTCTGTTAATCATTATGGAAGTGAGTAATTCAGGTTTATTTCTGGGTTGTTAAGGCATAGTGTTCACACAACCAAACATTTTGAAAATTTGTTGACACTCTGGAAAGTTCGTCGAGCTTTGTACAATTTTCAACAGGGCGTGGAGAAAACTCAGTGAATACCAATGAAATTCGTGCCTGCCATACTATCATCCTAAAAATGACAAAGTATCTAAAAAGTAACCAATTCACGACCAACAATGAAATAAAACTGACGGGAATTGCGATGTCAGTCTGTCACCATTATCCTTTCAACATTAAGTAAACTTGGGGAAGAATGAGGAGGACACATGAATAGAACTAAGTCAAAGTCACACACGAGAAAGTTGTTTCAATGTGAAACCGCAAAACCAAAATTTTAGTTCGTTGTGATGGAAATATACGAGTATATTTATGTTTTTTCCTACGGAGGTTCTCACATTATTCATTACAAATTGTCTGATCATGGCTCAAAGTAACCGGTCTCGTTTTTTTACCGAATTCAATAATATATAACTCTGGGCAGTTTCAAAAACAATTTCCATATTATAACAACAACGTGTTGGAAGTGATTCAATTCGGTATAAGCTAAAGGATTTGGTAAACATAGTCGAGTTGTCAATTTTGATTAGTCGAGTAATTTCATTTTTACAGCTTATATTCCTGTATATTCGTTTATTCAAATCCTCTTTTACGCTCAACTGAAAAACCTGCTGCGGTATTAAAAATGTACGATTGAAAATATTTACTTGGTTTAGGCAAAAATTCCTAAATTCCCCTACCGTATGTTTAGCATGATTTGATCTTGTAAGTACGACAATGAAAACTATTTACTTCTGTCAGTGTTACAAGTTTATCTATAATTATTCAAGTGAAAATGAAATACTATAAAATTGACGTCTCGTTGAAAGTACTTGAAAATAATTTAGCCACTTGAACAGATACAACAGTGATAAGTGAATTAGTGAAAACATTTTTGTCTCGCGAATCTTGTCTGCTTGATATGGCTGAAGTAGTATTCATAAAAAATAGTAGTTGAACACAGACTTCTCTCCTGCGTGCGTTTATCTAAAATCAACTACTGTTAAAAACAATAGCATGTAAGGTAGTATTGTATGTATTCTAACGTGGCGAATCTTCGCAACGCCAGAACATTGTTATCTTCGTAACCTACTGTTTTAATATGTAGTTCGCTCTCCAACAACAAGAGTAAATAGTTTGGGGATTCAATTAGTACGGCGCGCTAACCGATTGCCACAAAAACTATATTAAAATAAAATCCTGCTTAATTCCGGTTTTCAACTAATCTCGCAGAAAAGGGATACAAAATTAAATTGAAAGTCTATTACAGTAATAAAATTAAAACGAAATTTAGCGTCAACTCGCTGTTTTCCAGCACGCTGGTTCTAACGCGATAATTGTAATTGTATGAGTTATCGTACCTTTGTCTTCATGCAAATAAGAAATACTTCGCGTGACAAGTCTGCATTACGTATAGAAAGACGTGCAGTTCAGTAGATATGCTTGCGGCCAGAATATGTTCTATGTAAACATTTACATTACATATCAACCACTTTCCTACTCAAAAATTATTCAGAGCAAATACGAATATCTTAATATTGACACAGTATTGCTAACAATTCTCGAGAGTACTATAAAGTGAGTCTTCTTCGTCCGCGGTATTTTATTTCAAACTTGCATCGTTTGTAGGTAAGAATGAAAAATATTTTCAGTGCGATGACATAGATATGACATTTTAATTAGTTTAATATCTAACGTGTCTAGAAGGGCAAGTGTATACAAGCAAAATGACAGTTCTAGGATAATTGCTCGAAGTACAGGTATTGGATATAGTCATAGAAGCTGCTAGGAACGAATCATTTATTACCTACAACATGGCCATATTATTCTTAATATGTATTTGCACCAAGTCCATTTTAAAAAGGTAACGGGTTTGAAGCGAATTCTTGCTTATTCTTTATACTCAGGACAAGTGTTTGCTAGTTTACCATCCGATACCATGTAGATCTTATCACTTTATCAAGTTGCTTTCAACTTCACTTTAAGTGTTTTTCTTTGGAATGGGACTCGAACCCTTTTTTCAGTAAAATTCATGAAACATCAAGCTCTGAGTAGAAAATGAGATTGTTTTATTATTTTTCAGTATTATTTTAAACGATTTGCCTGCGATGAACATTTAGGCACATAATATGGTAAGAATAGGCAACGTAGTTCGTGGAAACAGCAAACTCATCATGAGACGATCAAAGACAAGCGTTCAGCTGAAGACTAACGCGCAAAAAAAAGCTGGCATGAGGTCACCCAACATCTTGGGCACCACATGCACCAAAGACGATCTTGCAAGAAGAAGTTTGCACACAGCACACAACGAAAGTCCAAATCGGAGGCGATCAATCGACTGCACATATCACGTTAGATTATTTACATTATTCATTCAATTTTAGTATGAAGGTTGGAGTGAAACCAAATTGGCATACTGGAGATTCCTTAAATGTTTTACAACAGAATTGAGCGCATTTGTCAAAGTTGTGTTCCCATTTTTGTGGTTAGAGCTTTTTAGGTTTTTGATATTTTATTTCAGATATGGAAATTATCAAACGCTTCAGAGGGAATGAACAATCTCAAAATAATTGACGTCCCGTTGACGGCGAGGGACAGCACTAGAAAATCAACTAATATATTTCCACCAATTTCTAATAAGTCATTGAGAAATCCAAGACTCCTATCGGCAAAATCCACAAGCTCGAAAAATTCACCTCGAAAACAAGTTCCAAACGGCATCGACTATCCCAATAAGCCTGAAAACAACAATATTAAAGTAAATGATTTTATGGCGTCGGAACGAGACAACTATAATGATTTTTGCCATGGGTTGCCAAATGATACAAAACAACCTTTGTCTGACTCAAGACATGAAAGTAACAAAGCCGTATTCACTTTTGGCAACAAGAAAAACGACGCGGCAGCAAACCGCTCTTCTCACATGAGAACCTCCAAATTAAAGGCGTCTAGTTTACATTCACGTTCAAGTGAAGGCAGTTGTAATTCCACGGCGTTTAGGGCAAAATTTGCTTCCAGAAGGAGACTTTCATTACCCGTGAATCCCACAATTCCAAGCTCATTACTTGTTCCTGGAAAAAGTCGGGAGTTCCACAAAGCTATCAAAGAGCTCTCGAGACAGACTGACGACTCAAATGGGAGATTAAAGAGATCTCAAACAGTTACTAGCATAATGTGAGTATTTTTGATTTGGGTCAAGTTCAATGGGGCTCCGAGTGCACTTAAGAAACCCTTGATTACAGTAACATCTGGATTATTTATGAGATAGTGATGTTATCGCCTTTCATGCGCTGAACTCAATCAACTCAGGTATTTTTGCCATTCCATTACCTAACTACAAATTAAGAATTGAACTAAAATTTCTTATATTATTATATATGTGTTCTGTGATTGAGCGAGCACAATACAGGCTATTGTTACTTCTGTCGTATCCACACAATATGTGTCCATACATATTGAGCAAATCGTCCTTATCCCCAAATATAGTTTCAATGTGAAGTATCAGCGAAACTTGCAATTTTCTATTCCTTTCAGGTCGCAGTCTGATAAGTTAAGCACACTGCTGTCGTCAAGCACGACAAGAGACGCAATGAGTTCACATCCAATTTCGCCCGTCATCCGACGTGACTCGCTGCAGCGAATTGAAGAAATTCCTACAGAACTCCAAGGAACGCCGGTGTTTTCCATAAACGAAATTCCCACAAGGGAGAGCGATCTAGGGAGTGGTGCTATGTCCTTGTCGCGTAACAATTCTCTATCTTTTATTAATGAAGATACACCATACTATAACTCTGCGGATATTAATACCTCAAGTGGAGATGAAAGTAGATTACGAGACCAAGCAGTGTCAATCCGTGCTACCCCTACAATGCCTACATATGTATCGCCATTAATCAATGGAAGCACGACTATAGATCCGTCTGTAAATGACATAGATAACATACCCGTAGTGGAAAATGATAATGTTGATACGAGCACAGACCACAACACGAACGAACACGAAGACACTATAGATGAAGTTGCACAAAACAATCGCTCTAAAATTGGAGAATTCTTGAACACACGTATACTCATAGATGACGAGGACGATGATAAATCTGTAATCGATGCATCGGTGCTGCAGGAAGAAGATGATGATCTTTGTGATGCAGATTTCAGAGAAAAAAGAATTATTCAGTGGATACTAACAGCAGAAACGGGTGACAAAGTGGAGCAGCAAGTAGAGTCATCGATCAGTCCTTCGCCAACAAACGGTAGCAGAGAAACTGCAATTACAGTAATTTATAGCGGATGACATGAACAAACCAAATACATAGTTTGCAATCGTTTCAGTCATCAGCATGCAAAGAATTTTGCGGAAAGTATTGATGCGTATTACGTCGTAAAAGAAAATGAGACGACGCAATAAAGGAACGCTTGACGCAAGAGTCAAGCATAGATGATAGACTATATTTTGACTGATATCAAGAATACACTGTGAAATGCATAAGCTTCGAAGTTCTATATTAGTGTCTTCCTAAATGGGGCTATCATGAAATCAATAATAAAGTACTACACGCCCCAAAAATGAAAATGTGTTGTTTTTAATTAATATTTGGACCTTTAAAGTATGCGCACCAAGATGGCGCACAACCTGAAGTGCTATGTGTGTACCGGTTAGGATTCAGGTTGTACGGCATCTTGGTGCGCATATTTCTGGAGCACCTAATATTTTTTCTGAATTCATAATAGTGTTGATGTCACGTAATCATACCCAATATGGAAGGAAAAGGATATTATATTATCGAACATCCCGGAGGAATGAAATAGTTTTTTTTATGTTAGGAAGGGAACTCGCTGCAACGTCTCCTTTTGCAAAACATTATGTCAATCATATCATGATCTTTATAAAAATATCACAGACAAATCGAATCCATCGTCCGGCAGTTTTATAGGTCTGTGGTTACAATAGTTCGGTTTGGAAACAACGTATTCTTAGAAAGCCGACAATGAACGCTGAAACAACACGTTTGCGCGGGATCAAACTGGCAAACAATAAAACAGAAGATGACGTCTGTTCGTATGAATTGTTTAACTTGACCTAGGCGTTCGCGGAAGACTTAACCGCATTGTTATGTGAACTAAAGAAATTGTTGAATTGGCACAATCTGCAATCTTAAATTTGATGTTGACAATTTGGCATTATTCGTTCAAACTTCCGCGGCAATGCGTGCAAAATGCGGTAAATATTATACGCTCATCGATTTCATTTTTCGTTTTGTATTGCTATTTGAATGATATACTGTAGAGCGTAGAGTATTTCATCTCGAGAAAAGTAATAACTTTTGCTTTTAAAACTTCATATGATTAAATATTTAATTAACTTATAATATTCTAAATGTTGTTGGTGGAAACAAAGCACTTCGTTATATTATAATATTCTTTTGATATAATGGAAACCTACGATATAATGCTAAAAAAACAACATAGTTTCAAGTTTTTCATTATTATACTATTTCAGATACCTTGTTAGATTTTGCTATATTTGTGTAGCAGATACAAGTCTTGGTGGGACTGGTTATTATCTCCCCACGAATTGAAATTATTTTATTTTCGCAAGTTCAACCTTTTTATTTAATAAATTACGATTAATTTTTTTTGTTATTAGCCGACATTAAATATTTCTATTACAGATATGACATACTGGTGGCGTAGTAATACAATAATATATGCATGCTTACGTTACGTAAATAAAGGTGAACCCATATGCTGTGCGTATTGTCTTGGAGAAAGGAAAAAACGGAAAGCAATCCTATATTCTTGCGAATTTCAATTTCGACGTGAAGCGAGGGAGCAATTTCAGCTTAAACATTTTAATGGTATTTCGATTCTTGAAATCCCGACAATAAGCTGGCCAAATCAAGGGTCCTTTACCAACTGTTCTGAAAGCCAAGGTAATGTTCTTTAGCCCGGAATTTCGCATTGTTATTAGATACTTGACGACGAGGACACTGCCTGAACAAATAAAAGTCGGCTACAAAGAGAAAATGAGCCGTCTCTTTCGATTATGATCTCCTTTATTATTTATTTAAAACGAGCTTACAGATTGGTGGGAAGTCACGTAGGGGTGGCATGAACAGTAAATTTTGATACTGAATCCGATTTGTCTGGCCGAATGCGACAATCCCACTTTATTAGAATTATCGACCACAGGGGATATCAGCGCAATTGGGTCGTGAATATAAAACGTCATAAAACCTTTATGACTAAACATAATTTGAAGTTTCTAATTTTGGATATATTCAATCATGGGCATTCGTTGAAACGTAGCTTTATGGAGTGGCCGTATATAATTATATGCATGACTCAGTCGCTTTTTGTTAAGATTAAATCCGTCTTTTTATCTGGAAATATCAAGACATATTGACGAACAAAACGTGTCTATGGGCGTGAATTTCCATCTGACAATGTATAAATCATGTCAATGTGGTTATGAATTGTCAATCTTACATAGTTTACTCACGACGTATGATATACAATCGTACAAAAAACCAATATGCTAAGTTAAACAAAACTGCTCCCGAGTTACGCTCACGAAATCCTTACCTTCGATCCCGGACGCATAAGTAACAAAGTTTGTATCACTTCTACGGCGAAAATGATGACATCATCCCAATTTAAAAAATGTAATATGGGATATTCAGCTAATCTCAGCATCACATTTTTCAGTGATGACTGGTTATATCAATAGCTATTGTCACTTGCTAAGACATTAATATTTCTTTTCATTTTATGGATCGTGATATTGACCATGAGTCTCATGATTCATATCAAAAAAGTGAGCATGTCTTGATTCAGGACTAACTAAAGTACCTAATCTTCAGATTTATAAATTGATAAAAAGCCTCAGTGGCGTATCTAGAGTGTGGCAGCCATGGCCATGAACGACATTTGGATAGGGGCGCAAAAATGAATTCCACAAAATATTTTTATCATCAGCTCTTTGGGTTTGAACAAAATGGCAATATAAACTCGAGTGACATCTCATGTGATTTATAGTCCATAGAAAACAATACAATCTCGCTTCAATCAATTATTCTTATTGAGGATGGGAAAACTTTTTAGTGAATTTAGAGGCCACTTCCGTGTCACATACCGTCATGATTTATACCATCCTTAACGCTTGTTCGTAAGTTTCAAGTTTTGAAGAAATAATAATATAAGAACTTACACATACAGCACACACAAATGAGATATTTAAGTCCATTGGCCCTTGAGACGGTTTAGTAAAGTATAGGCATTTGCGGAAGTCAATTTATATTGAATCTGGATTTTTCCCAATGTTCTTTTTGTAAAGCAAAGCTGTCAAGGGATTATTTCAAGTGTCCTTAAACAGGAAATGAGCCAAAAAGATCAGTGTTTACCCTCATTCACTTGTGGCTTTTGTATTACACCTAATAATAGGGTTACCATATTTTTGTGACTTCAAATCGGGACGCCTCGGAAGACAACGACCCTTTTAGCTGTGATTTTGTAACTTCACATTTTGTGATTTTACTACATAGGCCTACATTCCTACTTTTAAAGCTGTCTCGGCTGTCTTTATTGGCCATATTGTTATCGGAATTTCATGCGCATATTCTCTGTCCAAATATCGGGTTCAGTTCGAAAAATAGGAAGGAATTGACGTTAACGATACCGGTACAAATAATTCGAATTCAGACGAATTAGTATTGGTTTTACATGCGATACGTCTGTCATTAATGAGAATCAGCGGGAAACGAACGCATTCACCTTCAGTAAGTAGGCTAGCGCTGCGCTACACATAAACAACAGTAACGAGAACATGTTTGTGTATTAAGCTGGAAAAGCAGGACTTTTGGCTGACTTATCGGGACGTCGGGACAAAACGCTGAAAAGCGGGACTGTCCCGCCTAAAGCGGGACGTATGGTAAGCCTACCTAATAATCACATGGCTTTGATAATATAAATCTCAGGTTTTAAAGCACCAAAATCATTAATTACATAGATGGTGGTCAGGGAACGATAAGCAGCTTTGAATTTTTCGGTCTCATCCCGCCGTGACGTGTAATTTTGGTGCGATTTTTACGTTTTATTTCTGCAGTGTGTATTTTCAGTTTGGTGAAAAATCTGATTGCTGAGTTACTGGAGTTTAACGAATATGCCAATTGCCAAACCTCATACAAAAGCCTATGTTTCGCGCCACGTCGAATCAATATACGATGCTATCATACGATGACGAATGTACACTATTAAGATTAATTGAAGCTCAAGTCCGTTCACGTTTACTGAAGATAATAGAGATTGCAATAAATCTTTGTTGATAGCCAGTATATATTAATAATAAAAAAAACGACAAAAGCTGAAAAATCACGACCGTAAAATATTGGAGTATCTATCGCGTAGTATTGCAAATACAAAGTTGACTCGAATAAAATGGGATCTGGCGCAGCTGTCCAAGCCAAAGCTTAAGTAGAATACTTTTTTGTCAGATTACTTATTCAGCAAAAATCAGTCATATTTGAAAAATAAATACTTTTGAATCACAAATACTAATATATATATTATATATCTGAACCAGTGCTCTTCAACGGGGTATACGGTATACCCAAGTGTATACCGGACTATAAGTTGGGTATTCAACTGATAACGGGTATACGGAGGGTGTACAGCCTAAGTCAGGGATTCTAAACTCTAATATGATAAATTATAAAATATTCAAGCGAAGACAACAATGCAAACGCGGCACACATAAAATATATAAAATGTCATTTACGCAAAGAACCGACGTGAGCACATTGTTACAACACAAATTATATAGATAATGAGATCACATGTCTGGGTTGGTGATTTCGTCTGTCATGCACTTCGTTTGATTTACGTTGAACATTATTCCCGTTGACGCTAAGACCGTCAGTCAAATTTATAACTTGCGGACACTAGCATATTAGATTGCATGATGCTATTGCAGTACAATGTGTGTTTAAAATTTAATGTTTATTTAAGCCTTAAATAAACATTGGTATTTGTAAGGTATACAAAGTTCTTGAAAACTTGTAAAAGATATACCACGATAAAAAAGGTTGAAGAACACTGATCTAAACGGCATTGGCTTGGCAATCAGAAATGTCATCATCACACGCCTGAATAGGGGAAGGTGGGGCACGTTGGGACATGGGGCACAGTGGAAAATCAGCTCTCACACTAATACTATATTTGGAATCCGGTTCGCAGTTTGATGTTTCAATCCGCCCTTCGGCGAGTTACAACGTCCCCGCAAACGGACAGCGGACGGGTAGAGCGACGCAAGCTATGAGGTGAAATTGGTTTTGGGGGCCACCGTCTGATATCTTTCAGCTATTGTCCACTGTGAAATATTTATAACGTTGGCGAGTGGATGTGCCTTCCGAATTTTGCCGTAGGATGATCTGAAGATATTTGTTTATTATGGGGAACAATGGACCGGGGTTCAGTGGGACATGCCCTACATGGCACAATTCGACAGTGTTTGATACAAGTACCTAAAGACCTAGAGCTGCGTCATATTTTTATGTAACATTATGGTATCTTTCGACTCATGGTCCAATATGAAATATATTCGAGAATCAAAAATATTTCCAGATTCAGATTAGGAAATAATTTAATTTGTATGCGAATTTTTTGGTGAAATATCTGAAATATTTCGGTTGAACATTGATTTTAAAAATCTCAAATTTGAGGTCTCCTTGTTCTTTAGACGATTATGCTAATTAATTTCTTATTTTTAAGGGTATACTTCGTTGAATTTTGACAGAGTGACCCATTGTGCCCCAGGGTCTGTCCGAATGTGCCCACAAGTGGGGTACAGTGGGACACTTGACAAACGTTTTTCAAATCATTTTGGTGGTGAGATGTGTGTCGCAAGGGAATTTTTTAGTCGCTGAATAAAAACTACATTTACCCCTCTCTGCATTAATCCCGCAAAGTTATATGAATGTGCAGAATAAAGGGCTCAAAATATGCAAAAGAAAAAAAGTGTTCCAACCTTCCCCCTACGTGCTAATAGTATTACTCTAAAACAATATTTTTTTGAAAATCATTCGTAATAAAGAAGTTTTACTTACTATTTATGAATTTGAGAACGATTTTTGCCGTGGTAATCATACCCCACACGAGAGTGTGGTTGGCTATTTTGGAAATTTCCATCAACTTCAAGTGAGTATATAAACATTTTACTTTTATGGAAGTGAAGATCAATATTTTTTCGTTACCAACTGGGAATCTTTTCTATCAAATGCAAATTAATAGACGATGAAGATCTATTTCAGAACAGCACCACTTAGCCCAAGTGAATTTACTGATAAAGCGAAATACATCAGTTCTAGTGAAAATAATCTGGACCAAAAAACTGCAATATATACTGCACATTATAGACACTGTTTGCTTTGTCTCATTAAAAAAAAGTGATGCCCCATATAATGATTGCCAACGAATACATCACATTAAAAATCTGTCTACCATTTATTAAGCCAATTTAAACAGCGTGGTTCAATTAGTGGAAACACACCGTGTATTCCCGACAATATCATTTAATAATAAGTATCATTTATCGTAATTAAATTACTATCGGGCGTATAAGAGGATGAATATTGTATGCAACTTTGTAGTTATCAAAGGTATTTTACGGAGATCAGCTAAAATGCCGAAAATAGTTTGTGTACCAAGATTACTCGGATCTGTAATATCTCGCCTACAGTAGAATCGGGAATAACACGAAGTAGGCCGGGTGACGAAAGGAATTGAGCTCAAATGAAGAATTAAAATAATGCAATAGCGTCCCCACGTGACCGGTGACTATAATCCGGCAAATATGCATGAACATGAGCTGTAGAATTAGATGAAACTTCTGGAACGACAATCTGAAAATAACGAGTGGCCAACAATAAGGCTTACTATATATACAACACTAAATATCTGCGATAACAACAAAATTACTGGTCTGGTGGTTAGCTCTGGTTCTTAAACCTTGGAAGGACAGAACCACCCTGTAGTCCTAAATGGGCTTGTGCATAATGCGGTTAACAAGAAAACTTCCTCCTTGGTACGATACGGAAGATGTGCTGATGACACTGACATCTGGACCAAGGCAATGGTTGGAATGTGCCCCATGGCTGCATAAATGAGGTACGATTAGCGAGGCAGTCTCAGACTGTAACTCAATCTACTGCCAAACGAAAACCGTTGGCTAGACGGCGTGGCGCATCGCGCTAATCGTTATTAATACGTTCGCCATCGCACCTCTGATTGTAGGCTGTGGGTTCGCATTCCATGTGGGGTTAATTATGGGCGAGGGGATCGCTGGACTCCTCGCCGCCGCATGGTTGTTCACGTAACCGCCAGTCGGTCACGGCTTCCTCCACCATCAAGTCCATGCATCTCAAACTAAACAAGTAGATGGGTAATTCCATACCCACACGACATTGACTGGTTACCGGACAAGAGGCAGTGGTTCAGCATATTATGATTACGACCTCTAATCGGCTTTCCTATCCCGGATAAAGGACACATGCCCATAACAGAGACCCTGATGCCGAATAATCGAGTAGAAACGACGCGTATTTTCAACTACAATTTACACAGTTTTCCGGATAAGCCACTGAGAAATCACATAATTGTGCATAGCACGGGTTTGTAAAGATCTGCCAACTAAATGACAACGCTCCCAGTATTTATGCAATGTGATAAGTAACTTCAATCGTGTTAAGTTCAGGATGATACGGTAACTCATCTTCTGATCCTAGTTTTGTGAATTGTCCCGAGCTGACAGTTCATTCTCCTTTAACACAAGCATCTTGTTTACAGTAATACATCATATAAGTTACTATGTTATATCAATGGACATGCATAAACAACCTTCTAGGCAGATTTGCAAGGTGTTGAAAACTGATAACATCGCGTTCCAGGGACAGTGGCAATCATTTTTCTAAATGTCCTGTGATCAGTATGTTGCAAATATGCTACCCAAGAAAAACGAAATATTAGAATGTAATGGCAGGCACAAATGAGTTAAAAAGTGTACATCAATATACACTAGTGCAGTGGTTCTCAAACGCCTCGCAAAGGGGGCGTGGACAATTTTTTGAGTGGGCGTAAAGCTAATTAAAAATATTTGTTAGATTTGATCTTGCGTGCCCGTATACATTTCAAATATTTATATACCTTCCATCCATATAGTGTTTTTGGAATAATACATACTTTCACCTTACTATCTGTTATTTGTAGCTTATTGTCAGCTATTTATTTTTGAGATGGGGCGCGAGACTTGACAATTTTTAAAAAAAGGCCTAAAAAGTTTGAGAACCACTGCTCTATTTGTTTCTCGTATTTGGGCATCTTTTACACTCTAATATACCACAAACAATGCTGGGCCACGATTGTTGGCTGAACGCCAATGCGAAGAAATATAATAAATATTCATCTATATTATGAAATATGACTCTGAATCTGGTAAGTTTTTTTGATAATTGTAGATTAGAATCTTGTTGGGTTAGTGCTAGATGTAAGGCAATGAAAAATATGACCTTTATCTGGAAATTGCCAAAAATCAAACATAAATCCATCAATGAATCAAGTTGTCCAACTCGATTGTCTACATATAAAGTCAACATGAGATAACAAAATGAGTAATCAGTGAATTAGTTGCACATTCATCAACAAGCAAATATATAACATTATATTCTTAAGAAAAAGTTATTATAAAATAATAAATAGGAAAAACGGCACCAAACCAACAAAGGCTTCGATAAATTCATAGCAGTCTTGTGAAAACCACTGTTTGAATTGAGTAGCAAACCGTTATTGACTGATCATGCTTTAACAAACTTTTTAAAATCCAGAACACTATAAATGACCAAAATTTGGGATGTGTATGGTGTAAATTGATTAGGTTCCACATTCAGGATTGCGTTAGTAAATGCAAGATTGCGCTGCATGTATTGGATAAAAATTGGGATTCTATGATATATATTCTTCAATACAGCAACACTTTTCAAGATCATGGAAGGAATAATGAAGTATAAAATCTGATGACGCTAATTATTGTTACGCAATAGTTTGCTACTAAACAAGGCTTACCATCTGTTAGGACGGATTTTTCATTTCAAAATTTACATCATGCATTGTCTTTGCAGGGTTTATTATATTTTCTTGTGACATTTGAGCTGAGGGTTCGGATTTATGATGATCAACAGCAACATTTTGTTGCGAGCTTGCCACGTGAGCATGCTGCTGATGTAATGATGGCCCAGGTTGCTGTTGCATAGATTTTGGAATAATATTCGGTTGACTTACACTTGGAAGTGATACATGTGCTTGAGATGCACTTCCAATATTCGGCGGTTGACCTACTATAGAAGCTTTAGTAGCAGTAGGTATTGCATCCTAAATAAATATAACAAAATTTTTTGAATTATTATCCCACATTTCATAAATAAAAAAATTTGTACTCCCGAAGTATGTGAAGCAAGATGGCGGACACCGGAACATAGTATGTGTGCCAGGTCAGGGTTAGGCCATAATTTTATTCAAATTTTTCTTAGTTTAGTCCTATTACGAGTTCGGGGACTAGCTAATCGACTCCCGTAGTATTTGTACCTGGAATTATGGCCTAACCTGGTACACATACTACGTTCCGGTGTCCGCCATCTTGGTTCACATACTTTGGGAGTACCAAAAAATTATATCTAATACAAAACATGAAATTACACTGACCTGTCGAGTATGGAGAGCAGAAGTAGGAGGCATATTCACAGCCGGTATTTTCACTTTACCATCTGCCTGTCGTGGAACTCCCTGTTTAAAAGCCGTATCAATGTACCAAGTGTTAATTATATATAAAATTTCAATATTTCATAAAAACATACCAATTACTTACCACAAATGTAGAGTTGGTATTATCTTGAGGCAATGAAGAACTCATGCCTAAAGAAAATAAAGGATCAGCATATAGTGAAAATATAGCATTATTGGCATCCATACAAATGATTATATTATTAACTAACTATATTATTCAGTTGACCGTACCTTTTTGCCCGGGATGATCAAAAGCAGTTATGGATGAACTCGATGCAGCACCTTCAGTAATCTGTAAGCACAAAACAATGTTACCAATGTCATTTTAGAAAATGGTTATTTTGGAAAGTATTTCAAATTATGAATATTACAAATGTAACTAGAATATTCAATACAGCAAACAACTGATCTCTGATCTCGGCATAAGATATTGAACAGGGTGTATTGTACACCTTGTTTACAAGCATTCTCACCCCAGTTACTCCTTAAGTCTTGTGGCCGAGATCCATCCATTCATAGAGCAATTACTAACCAATGCCTGGTATCATTTCTCCATTCGGTACTCCCGAAGTATTAAGGCCTAATCCTAACCTGGTACACATCCTACATTTCGGTATCCGCCATGTTGGTTCACATACTTCGGGAGTACCCCCCATTCATTAAACACACCATCATGAGATTGTATTGATAAAAAATGAATTATATATTACCATATTTGAAGATTCAATATTTTGCTGAGCTTCTTTGGGAGTATCCTGAGAAATACAATTACACAAACTATTACGTGAATTGTAATAAACACAAATCACTATATAATGTAACTCTTTAAAATTGATTGTAGCTTGAACAGTGTAATTTAAAAAAAACTTAAATTACATAATTTATGCTGCATGTCAGCAACAGCTTTAGAATTTAATTGTAATAGCTATTTTGTTTGGTTTTTATGTTTTAGGAAAAGATTTTGAAATTTCAATATCGGAATAAATTCGGAGCAAAATCCTAGATCAGTATATGAACACTAAAGGGCGCTCCAGAAGGTAACTAATTTTGTTCGCCTGTTTTACATCAAGTTGTGTAAAGAGACTGAAACCTATGGGTAAGGGGTATATTCACTTGGTTAACACAGACAGTGCCCGAAGTCGTAATAGAACTACTAACACTTAGGAAAATTGGAATAAAATTATGGCTCCAATCCAAACCTGGTACACATACTACGGGAGTACCCAATAAAGTGTATACAGTTTTGAATGAAGTGTTCACAAATAAGTTTTCAGTTTATTCGCATGAATTGCAATGGCAGAAGCCAAGAATTCTCACCTTAGATGCTACAACAGAAGTTTGAATCTGTGATAAAACATCCGTTGGTAACACTGATCGTAATTCTTTATTTTCACTTTTCAACCTATTGGTTTCTTCAGTGAGATCTTTAATTTTCTCTTTGAGTTCATCAACTTCATCGCGGACCGCTGACATCAGGTGTTTTTTCACCAGATCCTAAAAATCCTCCTAGTTAACATATGTATACACTGATAAATAGATGGCAGAGGACTGGACAGATTTTGCTACTTGTGATGAAATTAAACAATACTGAAGATTCATAACCTAGAAACCAGTAACAAAAACACAAAATATAATTTGTAAATCCTTGCAAACAAGATGGCAGAACAGATACTCCAAATAAAGATGAAACGAATCCAAAAAATTCCCCTCTAAAGCAATCTGTGGAAATATAAAATGAGATTTAACTTATAAAGCTAATTTCCCCTACATAACCTTCGCAATAACAAGATCTGAGATAGTTATGCTCTATAATATCAACACATTCATGATGGAAAATTAAATTGTGCATGAAAACCACATATTTGAAAGAGGTGTTTGTATAAATGAATATGGAAAACAAAGTCATGTTATGAGTCCCATGACATTCTATCGCTGCTCAAGTGATTCATATACCCGAGAATGACAAAATTGTAGCTTCAAATAATAAATACAACTTCTGCTCTCTTACTACTATTATAATATATCCAGCAAAATATTACCGGTAATAACGAGTTGTAATAACAGATTGGAATAAAGTCAGAAAAATACTTGTGCAATCACATACCATCGCAGCTTCGATCTTGTTGTCAATTTTAAGAGTTCTTGAGGAAACACTGAAAAAATAAATATTTTGATTTGTAATATAAGATGGATTATAACATGTTACTAAAAATTGACTGAGATTTAGGAAACTTATATTGGGTACCAATAAGCTGTGGATTTTGTATATGGACCAAACCTATAGCAATAGATATTCTATTTCCAGGGTAAGAAAAATGCATCACAACTGAAGAGAGAAAAACTAAAAAACTGTACATGATAAAAAGTGGTAGAAGTCTCTTTTCAGGAGTAAATATATCTATCAAATGAATGTATATCTAAAAAAATTTGTGTTGTATGAGTTGATGAATATAACTGGTAATTGCCTCGAGAACAAAATAAAAAAAAATTCGAACCAATTTTTGGTCACTTGAGGATGCGAATTAATGTATGTATAAATATATAGTTGATTCAAGATGATCACAAATTAAATAATATCATAAAAATAGAAAACAAATATTTTCATGTATCGATGGGTAGGCCTTGCTGTCCTGAGTCACATGATTATAAGTCTCCATAATTATATAATATATAATTGAAATATGAAGTAGCCTATACAAATATCTGATATTTGGTCTCAAAAATAAAACAAAATAACAGACATAAACATTATTTAATCATTGTATATTAGGTACATTATTGTATTGTACACTGTGATTACCTCATATCACCAGTAGATGGATCACCAGATGTTCTTGTCACATAATCATTCATTGCACTTCTCAATGGTCCAAGAGACATTAATGGCACATCTCTAATTAATAAAGCATGAATGTAAAACTGATTTCCAAAATACACATGAGATAAGCCAGTACTACTGATATAACATGTAGACATTATGATAACATATTTTCAAATCTTGAATGTTCAACAAGAAACCTACGGTAATATAAAGCAATATGGAATGGCCGGTTCAAAATTGAAAAGTTGGTCAATTACAATAAATGAAGAATTCATTTTTATATGCACATGGAACAGGACAGCTGCCTGAAATCCCTCGAATAGTCAGTTAATTACCCGATTTAAGATTTAACAATTTTGGTTGCGGAAAAATTAAAAATAAAGTGGTCAGATGACTTACCATGAAGTGACCAGATTTGTGTTTATGCTAAACTTACATATGTTTGCTCAAAGGTCTACTAACCTTCCATCAGTTTTCAAATGTTTTGCTGCGAGTACGGCTTCCAAGTTGATAGATGAAGAAGAATTGTTTGAGGGAAAACCGGCAGAATATAACTGTTGCTTAAGAAGAGATGAAGCGCTGTCAGATGGTTGCAATGAAAAAGGTACTGCAGTTGGTGACATTAATGAGTTTGTGTATGAGAAAGTATGAATAGATGTAACATCACTTGTAGTTCGTGTTTCACTAATAGATTGAGCAACTCCAGTCATTGGCGCCTGTGTGTCTGAAAAATCATACCAATTCCATCTGCCACGCATGCGCTTAACTGGGTGTGCAGTCTCTCTTTTTACCACTTTATATACTCTTGTGCCAGGTGCTTTTACACCAGTCACTGTAGATGGAGTCGATACTGGCTTTGTCGTTGCTGTGATGGTCGGTAATACTGTAGTTGTAATAGGAGCTGGCACTGCAGATGATTCAGTTGTATCAGAGGAAACCTTTTGTAGTGACTGAGAAGAAACTGGAATATTTGAAGAAACAGTGGTTGAAGGTTTAGAGTTTTGCTCTGGTGTGTTCTGGTCATCATGAGGTGACACTTTCGAGGTAACTGTGGCTTTATTCTGAGATGATTCAACCTGAAAATTTACAGTTGTTGAGTGAAACAAACATTAGTCATCTGATAAATACACACTGTACTTGCTGGAAAATGTGCAAGAATACAGTGTTCTCCCCAAAGAGTTTTTGCTCTCATTGTTAAATGGGGCTTAATAATCCTCTTCAAATAAAAAATTTTATTTGAGGTGTTTTAGGTTTATGTACCAACCTAAAGTATTTGAGCAATTCTTATTCTAGCAACTTATTGATTGCTATGGAACTGTAAAAAAGGAGAGCATAATCTCTTTCCACAAAATAGCAAGTATGTTACTAATGTTAGTAAGCTTTTGTTAGATCATTGTCTAACTTCTTCAGACAAAACAAGATATAACTGCAAATATGAAAGATCAAAATTGTCAATTCAAGTTTCTATAATATACTTCCTAATATAGGCTACTTGATATTTCATGGAATAAGGATTATGCTATTCCTATTTATTTTTATATTACCATCTCCTCCAAATATCCTTGTGGCAAGAGACACACACAAACCCAAAGTAGGAAATAGACAAGGAGAAAGAACCAGCAGTTCAATACAAAATACCCTGGTACCCCCTGTATCAGAACTTTCAAATGTAATGCTAAAAAGTCAATACCATTTTCAATATTTCACAATATCATTCAATTCGTTTTAATATGATATGGGCTCGTTTGCTTGGTTGATTTAGAAAATTTTCAAACGAGACATACCCTTTTGTCTGAATCAACCAACTTTTTGTCTTTCACCACAGAACCAGTTGCATTGTCATGCGGTAATTCTTGTGGTGATTCCAAATGTTCACTGTGTTGATTATACAAAGTTGAGTCTGTGGAAATAGTTGTAACAACAGCTGGTAGTTCATGTACTTTTTTGACATCATGGCTAACATCCTTTTGTGCAACTTGCTTACTAGGAATATTAAAAGTATCATGCATAGTCGTCTGTCCCACGTGAGATGGTTGCTGTAAATGGGGATGGTGAGCACTATAGTGATTTAAGAGTCCACTGCCATCGGGATGCACTGCGATTGCACCATCATGTGCACTGATGTTTAATGTGTCTTCTGAAGCAGTACTCTCTTGATCATGATCGACATCAGTCGCTCTGGAATATGAAATGTCAGAATACGATGCATGTGACTCATCAAGGTCATCGGCACTTTCTTCTCCATCTCGAACAATTGATGCGGGCCGACCGTGGCCACTGTCAGTAACACTGGTGATTTGAAATCCACTTTTCTTTTTAGTTGTTGGATTGGCCTGCTGACTGGAACGACTGGATGAAATGAAAGATGAGTATATTTAATGCAGGATTAGGTAGTTATTAGGAAACCCCTATTTCACTTTTTACTCCGAAATATTTTCTCTTGGGTTATACTAGATAGGTGTGGACAACCTCATGCTTGACAACAAGGTGATCTACTAAAAATACTTTTGCATATAATTCACTGATTCTGTATATACTCTCAGCATATTTTAAGCAGGCTTCAACTAAAAGTAGAAAGAATATTAACAGAATTACTAAGATTTCTTTTCTATACAAAAGATGTTACTACTGAGCTAGATTATCTGAATAGTATTGTGCAATTCTTCAAAATTACTTCAATTACTACTGGTTATTAAGAATATCATTCAAACAACAGCTATCCTATAACGAATATTTTCAATTTATATAAAAGTTAATTGCTCATGTTTCATCACAAGCAATGTTTTAAAATAAGAATAATAATATTATCTTACTTGGAGTCAGCCTCATCCAAGACAATTTCAGGATTATGATTACTCATGACATGCTACAACTAATTCTACCAAACCTGAAAAAGAACAACAACAACAGAGACTGTCAAGTGAAACATACTTTGATTCGATAGCTATACATGCCTAATTTACATTACAGTTTGTTATTTATGTAATATCATTTTCATGCTGCTAAGAATTGGATTTGGACCATATTGTTTGATGAATTGACCTATTGAATTCCATGGATGACAGTATGACACATCAAACGCCTTTGACGATTTACTGAATTTAAAAAAGGGGTTACAATTATTTGGCTAGTCATTCTGGGGTCTGGTGCAGTTTCGTACCTCAAGTACTTCTAGTGGACGTATCCTAACCATTTTTGCACATGGCAACTCTAACCCCCACCTGACTAGGACATCCGAAAATTACGTCACAACGGCGTCACAATCACGTCATAGAGCTTGCCAAAGTATACCAACGATCGCCCGAAATGGGATCTGCGCTAACGATAAAGAACTTACTAACGGCAGCGATATCTCTCATATCGGGATCATTGCAACAAGAAAAATAGCTTTCTCGATTTCGGGTGATTGTCTGGTTCGTATAGTTTGAAGGGCCTTATGAAGTAATTTTTGGATGACGCGGTCTGGTGGGGGTTAGGATTGACATGTGCAAATTTTTTTATGCTACGCCCACTAGAAGTACTTTAGGTACGAAACTACACTAGACCCCAATTCTGTATATTACCCAAAAATTATTTAAACAATGGTAATGAGTTTTGTAATAATGGTAACAATGGAGAAAAGCTCTTTTAGTAGAACTGACTACCTGTTGAAATTGACAATCTCAAGATAAAAACTTTCTCTAATTTTAAGAGTACTTTCAGACTTTCAATTAGCATAACAGAATTGTTTATCTATGACGGGAGTGAAGGACCAACTAAATACATCAGACCATGAGTTGCCCAGTAACTGAATGTAGTAATTGATATATCTGTATATCGTAATTCTTAACAGCCTACATATGATATACCATGGGTAGTTTAATCACAAGAATTTGATTGAAACAAAATCCCAATGCTCGCTGGAATTGTGACTCAGGCGAGCAAAACTCACTTTAATTCCAAGCAATCACTTCACAACTTGGTGAAACGCATTTTTCCAGCAACCTCAACCAGTTCACGTCAAGCAGATAAACTGAGAATAGTCAGATAGTAGTAAGAACATGAATAAAAACATTTGGCAAGAAAGTTGCTTTGAAAGCTATACTTTCAGGAAACAGATGGGAACCTGGAAACAACCTTAGCTGAGACAACTTGACATCTCTCTGGAACGAGGGCATCTGGCACGGCATAGATGCAACAGATAGTGCCATGCTTGTCTCGATAATAATTTAAATCAATTGCAATATCTGAATATGCGTCATGCGAGTGCCACATTACAAAAATTGCTTTCTTTCTACTAAAAACTTTGGAATGCTAGATTCATTCAGTAATTGTGAATCATGATATACCCAAATAAACTTATAGTGAAAAGATGATTGTATAGCAAAGATAGAAAACAAGGTACGGTATAACAAAACAAGTATGCAGCACAGGAATAGGCACGACCCTTCCTTATTTTTTGATGAGTTCTACAATTTTCTAGGCATTAAAATCTATGAAGCATGACAGGCAGCATTTAGTTACCGTATGGCATATGGCAAGAACTACCCAAAACAGTTTGCAATCACCTTCATTCTTACAGCTGTACAGCCTTAAAAGATAAATTTGAAAAGCATAACCCCACCATTCTGTCATTTTGCATCATCTCAATAAAAATATTACAAAGTTTTCCCTAATGGCTAATGTCTGAATGTGCTTACCATATCATGCCCTGATGAAGTTTTTCTGAATAGAAATTCGGAACGTCGGCAAATTATATCGTTTTGCTAACACCGGTTGTGCTTTATTTATTATCGATAGTCTACCTACTGCTGTAACTGGAAGTCAACATCGCAATTATATATTTACGAATATACGGTACACATCGCTTTTTTATTTCCCACTGGCAGACAGGATAATATTTAAAACGTTAAAAAAATATATCTAACGTTAGATTTTATAGCTAACATCTAGACTCCAAATTTTACGTCTAATTCTCAAACAAAACATCTAGTACATCTGGCTATAAAATATCTTAAGTGCCAGCCCTGCCCAACAACGATGAGCATCCTATATAACTAAACCATTGGCGTAAGTGCATACGATACGTTCGGGCCACAGCACAGGTCACTGTTTTCAGAACGTCGTCAAACCTAGAATCCGGCGGACAACGACGTAAAATGGTTGACAGCGAAATATATAACGATGAACTTATGTACTGTATTGTATATGATAGCAGCGACTAGAAGTTTGGAAGACATTTATATTATACTCGCTGCGCATCGTGTTAAGCGTCTTGAATATCCGCGGTGGGTACGCAGTCCGCTGGTCGTTTACGGCTTCCTCCACCATCAGGTCTTCTAAAAAATAAAACTGGCTAACTAATTCCATACCGGTACCCGACATGGACTGGTAATCGACCGGACAATAGGTCGTCATTTGCCATACGATTATTGTCTTTCCCATCCCATACTTACTCCACATCTGTCAGTGCTATTCTGTTTCCCGTGCAAAATAGGAGTAGAAGCATATATATATAGAGAGAGGGAGTTTATTTCGTTTTGTGAAACCAAGAAAACAATATATACATACATACATATATCAATATCAAATAAACAGATGTTTTCGGTATATGACTGGGAAGCAACGATACGACCTTCGGGGGTCATCAGAGTCATTTGTCACCCTATTCAATTCAATTAAATAAGCATAAAAATAAATAACAGGTTCAGTGTCAATATATAAATACCTCTCATTTTTGTTTACTATACAGTGTATACAATATTTACATGTAATTACCATTTTTTATTATCAATTGAATTTCAAAAATATAAAAATGATCGAAACGAAATAGATTGGAGCTCAGGTAATTAGATACAAAATATTTGGGAAATTAGCTATTAGCTTGGCATATTGACTTTATAAAATGAAGTATGTAACATTTTATAACACGATTTGGGACAATTTGAATGTGAACATCTAATAGTCATAATCGAATACGTAAAATTATATGAAATCATTTTACAGAGTAAGTATCATCAATGACATTAAACAACATGATAGGCAACTCTGACGTCACTCCATAAGACTACAGGCAAAACATTGTATTTCATGATACGCTCCAATGCACATATTTCTCGTCGCCTTTCGCGTCCGTTTTCCGCTCGCTTTTGCTACTCGGCGTCTTTTTTACGTGTAGTACCTGCCTTTTTGCGCCTGTAACGAAACAAAATAATCTCTATATCTAAGAAGTTTTGCTTACTTGGAAAGCTGGAATAACAGGCAAGCTGTAAAGAGCAATTCTGGACATCATAGACTTTTTTTTTATCAGAGAAGATTACAAACGCGATAGCGGAAAGATTTGTGTGGAACATTTTGCAGATAATGACAAAGTTCAAAGTTAGTAATTTTAATGTTTGCGCTTAATCATTGATATTTCATTTAAAGAGGGTGTCATACAAAACTGTGCTGCGATACAATTCCATAACACAAAGTTTGCACCTATCGAACTTGCTTTTGTAGGTGAATTTATGAGACATATTACATATTCAGTTAATCGTAGGTAACATTGCTGGTACATAATGCATCGTAAATAGGTTTGTTTAAATTTTTAGGAATTTAGCTCATAGCCCACTAATTAATATTATCTTCTATGCAGGAGGTTGCAGGGCTGAATTCAACTTGCAGCCTTACCAATCACCTGACGATGCTCATTTAGTTTGGCTCGAGCAAGTCTTCTTGAAATGCTTGTGTGGATGGAAACTACCTATATTTTTTGCCTTCCTCCGATTTTAGACAAATTTATTCTGAGGGATTTCGCATATAATTCTCACTGATTGTTGGCTGTTTATAATTCCTATTGATTGTGAATTCTGATTATAACAATGAGTTGAAAATTTTTTTACCTAATTTACTGGCACCTTTTTCTTGTCAATACTCCAAGCTGAGGTAATAAACATGACAATTCATTTATGTCATCTGGAAGCAAAATATGCACACTAATTAATAGTTTGGCACATTGAGATAATACATCATGACAGAAAATACAAGTTAAAGATATGTATGACCATCACATGGTAATTAAAATTAATGAAAATTAATAGGGGCTGTGGAGTATGGAAAGTTCAAGACAAAGAAAAGAACAAATGTTCATAGCTCATGAACTCTCAATTTTGCCTCCATTGCTTTGTGAAGGCCAATATATTTCGAGTGGCTGAATTGGTTTACCTTTATGATAGCAACGATTTTGTATTTAATATAGTGAGATTATTTCAATTTAATTGAAGTGATATAATTTCCCAAAGCAATGCTTGAATCGTCTAGAATAGATCAGTGGTGTCAAACTCATGGGTTTTCGAGAGCCGCATTGCATTTTGAAAATTGTAAAAAGAGCCGCAAACAGTTTTTGATAATGTATACTCAAAAGATATTTTTAAGATAGTTTTAGTTTGTGACATATATTGTGATGCAACTAAACAGTTGGATTAAGTTTTATTATTTTCTTCAATTTCAAATGCAATTACATATTGATATTTGCATTCCACTATTATTGCAACATTTGCAAGTTACAGTATTTATTATAAAAAATCGTAAAATTCTATGTACAACCATCAAAATCATTTTTGAACAAGCTTTGAATAAGGAAAAAATAATACATACACTAAAAATAACTTAATCTAAATATATGAACCTAAAATTAACAAAAATTCTACAGTATAAACTCAATGTTTTAATAATTACATTTGTCCTGGCGTTTGGCATCTTTTTTGTGTCACCAGCATACTAAGGCCAGTCTGAAATGATTTTATAGTACCAACTCTAACTAACGAGGCCACATGATCATGGGTTTATCTGGATCTTTACGAATGTTTAATTAATTCCAGTAATGCAAAAAAGTTACTTTTATCATTTCATGTATAGATCAGTAAAAAAACAAATGACAGATTTTTTCGACAAGACATTTCGCACTACATTGCGTGGCATAGGATTGCTTGAATTATTATTGATATTGATTTTTAGTAACTAAGTCGTTGTATAATTATATTAATATACAAACACATGGAAATTTTCTGTTCGAAGTTGGTTTATTGACTGCTGAGCTTATTGTGTTTTTTGATTGTATTGATGGAAATATGACAAATTAAACAATGTGCATCAGAATTTTGTGAAGAGCAGAAATGTTACAACTCCCATTTTCTTCGAAAATGCCACCTTCTTCATGTACTTTGCGTTTAATTTAATTACTCAAGTGTTTTATTCAAGTATTCTTTTGCTAGCTTGATGTGTATTCTTAATTGGGTCAAAATGTGGACAAAAAAAATTAATATTCCAAAACTACTTTCAGTAAATTGTTTTCTGTGTGAATAATCAATTTCACTTTAGAAGGTTTGAAAAATCTATTACATTTAGATAAAAAAAAAACTTCCAAAATACTATTACAATTATTGTTAAGCGTTCGAGGGCCGCATTGGAAGTTCTCTGGGGCCGCGAGTTTGAGATCCCTGGTCTAGATTGAAGTTGTTCAAAAAATATATGATAGTATTTTATCATGAATGATGATTATACCCCTTCCGGAATTTCTTCTATAGTACTACCAAAAGTTGATGAACCAAATATAACACAGGTGCAGTGAGGTACCGGTAATCCTCATTTCCAAAGCTGTTTTAAGTATGTCTGGCGTGTTTTGTGCCTTTTTACAAATAAGACCGCTTATGCAATCTTACGCTTTGGAATTTTTAGTTATTTTCCTCAAGCCCTGCAGGATGTGGGGGCCATACACAACTCTACCGGAGGGTCAAATGTCTTTGCATGCCTCCATAGGTTGTTTTTCTATTGCAAATTTCTATTTTCAATTGCATTATATTTCTTGGAATCACACTGTCACTGATATGTCGCCAGACTTCTGATATCTCCCCGTCTGCTACAGTTGTCCTGTGAATAAATAATAAGAAATTGAGGTTAAACGAATAGTTGAAAGTTTTGCTTTATGTCGGCTTAATTTCTTGATTGATATACTTACTATTTCTGCTATTGCCTCTTGTGCTGCAAGAGTCT